TATATACCAGCCAAACAGATTGCATCACACCATAAAATAGAAAATAATATTTATACAAGATCAAGCCTAAAGTGGCTGTGAACGTGGGAAACTGTAATCAATAAATTGAACATAACTTAAGAACAGTAAATCGTATAATAATAATAGTCTATAGGTCAAAATAAAGCTTATAGTCAGAAGAATATAGGTATACATGATTTAGCTAATGAACAGTTATGCAATATATATATATATATATATATATATATAACATTGCTCCATTAATAGATCTCAAAAGTTACCCGTAGTTTAGTCTTCACTAGGATATAACAATTATTTTTTTTGTTGTTTTCATTTTACGTTATTTATGTCTTTTTGTATTTCTTTAAAATACAATTAAATGTCAGAAATTATTAGGTGGTTGACCACAAGTGATTATAACATTACAACTAACTTCTATTCTGTTCAAATCACAACTTTATAAGTGAACTCATGAATATATGTAGATTGTTTCATTAAGTTTTACTATGTTTATCATTGCTATAATGGTAATTATGATTAATAATAAATATATATTTAATAGTTTAATTGATGAGTCGATGTAAGCTAGACTATCGTGGAAAACCTAGAAGCAATGGAAGGCCATTTCATCCTATTGTGGGGCTCCTCAACAGTGCGTATCCATGGTCCCGCCTCGCGAGATTCGAACTCAGGATATTGCGGTCTCGTGTGTGAACGCTTAACCATTAGACCACTGAGCTGGCATCTAACTGTGTTTATGTATAACTTCAACCAATCCACAAAACTGTGCCACCGGCCACTATTGTTTTTAGTGAGTTGCTATCTCACAACGGACACGGCTGAACTTCACTGGTCACGGCTTTTTATTAGAACTTCATGAATTACCTCTTGAAGCCAGTCACTAGTGAGCACGTGCTGATTATTATCGGAAAGGAGGTTTTGTGGAAATTGTGGTAATTTAACAGTTGAATTCACCAGTCAATCCAAGCTAGACCATCACCAAAGATCGTGGGATCGAATCCTGCGAGCAGGACTGTGGATGTACGCTGCTGAGGAGTCCCATACTATGACGAAATGGCCGTTCAGTGCTTTCAGGTTTTCCATGGTGGTCTAGCCTTGATCAACTCATGAATCCAACTAATAAATTACTGACATATCCACAAGCCCCTTTTCTGAAATTCATTCTTGTTATAATCGAATAAACAGAAACATTGTGTTTCTAACTTTTCGTTTAAACATAAATTTAATGTCGGTTGTTTATTTACACCGAAGAAGTGGCTTACATCAAGTCACGAAACGTCAGAAATATGACTTTTTTACTCATTGGGATTTAACAAAAATATATTTATTATTAACTCTCTACCCAATCGTCAATATATTTCAAAGTATTAAGTTCAACCTTTGTATAGATACCAATAATTATGATTGTTATTCAAATAAAAAGCAAATCCGATTTTCATGAATTCAGTAAAAAGATTTAATGTACAGCTATCATTAATGTAGCCCGTGAATTTCAATAGTAATACATTTATTAATATAGATTTAGTTAAATTGTTATAGTTCCCCTGAACATTTATTGACCACTTATTATATTAGTTACACTTTCGAAAACAGTACACCAATTACTGTGTAACTAGGTACATTTTGTTGTTGTTTTTTCCCCTAAAAATTAAAAAAACAATTTCACTACTGTTAACAAATTATCGTCAGGCAGATAATTGTGTTGTTTCTTAAGAATTTTACTTTTGTGAAGGAAATAATGAAGAATATTTCATTGGCTATGAAACAATATGGTGATTTTCTTCTAGTCGTTAAGTAGTTTTTTTTAAAAAAAAAGACGGGTAAAATATCTTCAAGGAAATTCCTCGACTGTTTAAATGTCTATTATTGAACGATGTTCTATTGTTTACCACGAATAGTTCTTAAACTAGTCTTATTTTTTACTATGGATGGTTACTTCATTTACTCATTTTTATTAACTACTTATATTGCATAATAGTACTAAAACGAAATTATGTGAAAATAACAATTAATAACATAGCTACTTACAATTTAAGTACTTATTTGATAAGACAGACTTTTAAGTATATTGTGTACAGTAGTTTATATTAATGGAATAAAATTCCCATCTATTAATTCTGTAGGCATAAATTCTGCACTTTGTTGCCAAAGTCAAATAAATGGGACAAAATATGTTTAAATAATCGAAACATTATACAACGTGATTCTGCTCGAAATATTATTTACACTTCACCAATGATATTTCATTAGAAATAAACATGTTATCATCTTACCATATAAACCGACTCATTGAAAGATGTTTTTGTCATTATGAAAAATTAATTGCTTTTCTATTAAGTACATTCATTCTCATTATTTAATTCATTACAGTTTGGTTCATGTGTATTATATCGCTTAATTAATCGATTTCATTTATTCTATAAAATGTATAATGACTTATGAGAGATGAAAATTCATTTAAACAGAACAATGATACTCTACAAAGTCTATTTTTGAGGATTTCAAAAGGATGAGTGACTAGACAAACTGATCTTACATTCTGAGTTCAGTTTTCAATCAGTGAACTATTACGCAACCTTCTCTATATGTTCTAAGTCTCAGATCACCTAATAAAGCTTTTTTTATAAATACTTTGACTGTGTTCATTCGTCAGGTTACATAAAATTTAATATGACATACAGTGCATTGCAAATGTGTTCATGCATCTAAATTATGCAATGCCTAATCATCTTTAACGAACATAAAATTCTTAACGAAAAACTTACATATCCAAGTAGACAGAGTTGGTTTAAGCAAAGCTCACCAGTATCCCGAAATGACATTATCGTGTCTTAGACACTAGAAAAACATACATTATCTTGACTCTTCATTAATTTAACTTCTCCACATTTTAGGTATGTGTTAAAATTAGTGAGTCTTAAGAATCCTATTAAATCAAGTTATGAACTGCTTGAAAGCTAAAATGAGGTAGAACAGTTTAGAAAAACTGCCGTTCTAAGGAATTATATGAGGTAGATTTGTTTTCAGAGAATAGCACTTCGTGATCGACTGTTGTAACACAGCCCTGGAATGCAAAGTTCTATATCCATTCCCCTTAAAACCACAGTAACAAAAGATTCTTGAAAAATTATTAAAAGTATAGTAACTAAAGTGGCTATGCAGCTCTTATTCATTTTGTCCATTTGGATCTTTTTCTTTAAAACATCCCTTGAGAATGCTATTACCGACACAATATCCGTCTAAAGTTTCAACAGGGACAAATCAGTGGGCCAAAAATATCATTTTATGTCGAAACATAGTCATCGTCACCTTCACTATTGTCAGAATCGAAAAATTCTTCAAAAGGTGATTAGGGTGCGACATAATGGCAAATAACCTGCAGATGAAAACCTAGATACTGTAAAAAAAATTCTCAGGAGAACCTTTGAAGAACGCTACTAGTGTAGACTGCATAAAACTCCCTTCACATACACCTTTTGGATGTAGTCGAAGATTATATTTTAGAAGCTATAAAAGGTGAGCTCCCATTTCCAGACCCTCCCTTTGACAAGTATTGAAAAGGTGACAGATCCTCAGGTAAACCCTATTCAGGAACCCGTTATAATGTACGACTCTCTGGTCTTCTACATCAACGTAAGAGAATTCGGAGTCGAAATCTAGAATGCTAAAATCTACATGTGAACATCGAGCCACATGTGTAGATACTAACATCAATTTGACGTTAACTACAATGAACTGATCACAGAGGTCAGTGCTCCATATATCAATGCACCACACCTAAACAAAAAGATGTTCCTACCGATCCGATTATCCAATTTAGAGAGCTACAGTCGTGAACACAATGTTTAAACAAGAAATTAGAACGTGAGCAATATGTAAATGTGTTCTTGTGAAACGTGTACTTGTAAAAATGGAAACTGGTATGGTGATAAAAGAAATAAAGTAAGGATCAGAATGGAAAGCTAGAATATATAAGAAAAGTAATAAATAGGCAGTCACTCTTGGTTTGCCTAGCGGATGTAAGTATGAAGGTTAAATATATATTATGAATTTTTGTTAGAATATTCAGTGAGTGGTCTTAATCTACAGTAACTGTGGTGGACCAAAAAATATATTTCGAGTATCTTTGGAGCTCACATTAGTGCTACTCACACGTAGTAGTTCTCCTTAAGTTGCAGTAAGTGTTTCATTGAGCACTTAAGTCAGTTTCTTTGAACCCATAGTTTTCTGTTAAATTTAAGTAAAACGGCTTTGCGAATAGTCCCTTTATTATTTACAATGATCATCGGTATATAACGACATCCGTTCTGGAGTTTTTAAAGTTCGATCTAGATATCCTCTAATTACGAGCTGGGTCGAAGGGACATAATTTTATGATAGTACCTTGTCAGTGACCGTGTCACTAGCCACACTTCACAAGCTAGTTAGCTGTTGGTAATTTCACTCCACCAAGTAGTTGTTTGTAGGGAGGCAATCAAGTCATGATTTAATCAGTCATACCCAACTAACTGTCTCTCCTGATTTAGAAAACTTAAACGTATTTTGTGGTGTTTCGTAAATCGCGTCCATAGACGGTACAAAGATTCAAGAATACGTCACTATAGCTTCGGCACAGATGGACTGATTTCAGGAAGCTACCAGTTAGATAAATTATCAACTATGGGACGGATACATACTTTTCCTATCCACTCTGAAACAGCAAAAACTAGATACCAGGGTGTAAGAATCTTAACTCTTAGTTGGAATGTGTTAATAATCTCACTCTTAATGTGCATTCCTTGTCTCGACCTGTGTAGATCGTTCTTCATTATACAATTCATTAACTCGGTGACCTAAACTTTCAGTTCTGACCGTCAGTTTTACTTGATGCAGATTAAAAACTAGGATGATGCAAAATGTAACTCAAAACATGTGAAATCATTGTAAAACTCGTGGATTTTTAATTGATTCTTGGTTTTGTTTAATCGTTTCCAATACAGCTTTACATAGGTTAATTGTCTTGGAGCTGCCGCTAGTTTGACCAATCAGAATAATGGATCACGATGAGGATAGCAGTGATAGAGATTGCGGTCTTGTTGAATCTGATGAAGAAACTCGAATGGCTGAAAAGGAATTGGCTGAGGATGCACAATGGAAAATATTCCAGAAAAACACTTTCACGCGTTGGGCTAATGAGCATCTGAAAAAAACTGATCTTCTTATTGAAGATTTAGAGACTGATTTGAGTGACGGTCTTCGTCTAGTTGCTCTTGTCGAAGTCTTATCAGGACATAAGTTTCGACACGTTAACAAAAGACCAACGTTCAGAACTCAAAAGCTCGAAAATGTAACTACTGTTTTAAGATATCTGGAAGAAACTGAAGGCTTGCGCCTCATCAGTATAGGTATCTATGGAAATAAACCTTTTAACCAGTATTTCAGACAGCAGCCATATTGTTGATTGCAACTTAAAGCTCATACTTGGTTTAATCTGGACCCTTATTTTACATTACTCTATATCTGTACCTCTAATAGCAGATGAAGAAAACGTCCTCCAAGTAAGTGGTAAATATGTTTTTTTGATCTTGAGTTTTCGGCTAGTACGAAATACCTATTGTTGTATGAAATATTCACGAACATTTCTGTCCGTAATCTGTTTATAACCAAATCACGTTTCGCTACTTCTTATTCTGTCTAACGTCCAGTAGAATATTGATTTATAGAACCATCCACTGTTCTACATCACTCAGTATCTTAAGATGCGATGTAGTAGCTTTGTAACGGGTAAATTTTTTGATTCACAAAGACCAAAAGCAGTCTTAATTTTTCCAACGCTAACCACTCTAATCGATGTTGATCAAATGAGTCTTCGTTTGCTGTTCGCCTTAATATCAGTGGCAATTTGTTGAATCGACCGTATGATCTATGCTGTAGCCTTAATTGTTTGGAAACTTGGGTTTTAATTTCTATTACAGTGATTTTTTAAAAATTAAGTATGTTGTTTGTTTATTTAATTGTCATTATACTATATCCTGAACCCAGCTATTAAATTGATGTTCAGATCTCAGTTGGCTGGCGACAAGTAGTCAGTATTCAGGCAGTAATGACGAGGTTTTCATGTTTTGATTCTGATCCAGTGTAATTCAAACTATATTCCAATAAATTGCCTTTTATTTGTTAACAGGATGATAGAAGCCAAACTCAAGGTCCTAAACAGCGTTTGCTCAGTTGGGTCAAACAGAAATTGCCAATAATCCCAATTCGAAATTTCACCACAGATTGGAATGATGGTATAGCTATTGGAGCTCTCGTTGATGCTTGTGCTCCTGGACTTTGTCCGGATTGGCCTCACTGGGATCAGCAAAATCCTTTGCGTAATGCCACGGAAGCTATGACAGCTGCAGATGACTGGTTATCTATCCCCCAGTTAATTCGACCAGAAGAAATGATTGATCCTAATGTTGATGAAAAGTCGATGATGACTTATATTAGCCAGTTTCCCAATGCTTGTTTAAAAGAGGGTGCACCACTGCGAGCTAAACTGAATCCTTCGAAAGTACGCGCATATGGTCCAGGTAAGTTTGGTTCATCTTTTTGTATCTAACTAAACCCGAATTATACTCGTCCACATTATGTAATTCCAGACTTCATTAAACTACGAGTTACCGTTAGTGATGTTGTTTCACGAGTTATACGCAACTCATAAGTATTGAGTTTTTTAATCCTTCCATTCAATTTGCTTTTATAGTAAATCAAATATCCCAAGTTAGCTAAACAGAAGTCACCAAATGTCTTTGTTTGACAGCATATTCATATACATATTGTAGTTTAAACAAGCAATATTAATTCAAGTTGTCTCCAACTTTTATAAGCACGGACCCAAAGCACAAATTGGTTTTGCACTCAATAATTGACTTCTATAGAGGATAAATCTCAATTATATACTGTATATTTTTTTGGCAGTAACGTTTTCTGGATGATTTGCTGATTTCACTTAATGCCTATCTTAGTCCATAGTGTTGATAAAGACGCAGCAAAAGGTGTGTTGAACTGTTTCCGCTGTTTCCTCAATCCTTGTGATCAACTATATAGGAAATCAAGCGTGGCAAGTTAGGCTACCTAAGGCACTATAGAATTTACCTTTTTTATTTCGCACATAGTATCAAATAATACTATTGCATCAGAGTTATATAAAAACCACTGTTAACGTCATAATTGGTAGATATTTGATACTGACAAAACAGTAGCGCATAAAGTAATTCTCTGTACCGGTTTTCATTGATCATATAGTTTAGCTGTCAAGCCAACATTCACACCTAAGAATATACACATGTTCAAATCCTGCAGGAGTTTTACTCAACAACACATTGTCCCCTGATTCTGCGTATCGTTGCCTTCAACAAGCCATGACTAGTTTAACTATTTGTGAGTCTTCACGTATCGTATTAACTAGATTGTCCAATCAGATGTCAATTAAAAGTTTGATAATTTAAAAATTTAGAACATATAAACTTTTGTAACTGATTTTTGGTAGAAGTTTGGTATAAACGGTGTCTCCGACCACCGATTACTTCACTATTGCTTTTATAACCATCCCTAAAACAAACAGCCGTGTTTCTCTACCCTTCTTATCTCATTCTAACTCAAATTTTTTGTATGTTGAACTTTTTTCTATATATTTATAACTGTTAGGCTTGGAATCAAATGAAAATAGAATTGGTACACCGGCTAAATTCTATGTAGAAACAGCTCATGCTGGCAGAGGTCAGTTGGAAATACTTGTAATCAATTGCAGAGGTGTCAGAGAAACGGTAAGTATTAGTAGTTTTCATGTTTTACATCATACGTTTTCACTGTTATTATGTTTAAGAAATCTGATGATTAGTTGATCGTAGTTAAATGCCATAGTTTTGCCAATAATCCAAGAAAATATTTATTTTATTTCTATACAATAATTATTTTCTTTACATATAGTTTGTTAATATTTCGTAACGAAACTAATTAGGATAACTTTTATGCATTCTTGAAATCCGTTGCAATTTATTCATGACATGCAACATTTCACAATATGAGTAGGTTAAGTATTTCGTTCTCCTTTCTTTAAATATGTGGTACTAACTTTGACTAAAAGTTCGGTGAAATTTCAGTGGGCGTTACAAGATGTGGGTAGCTGTGAGTCATCACTAAAAGCTTTTAAAATCTTTTATTCATCAATAATTAATAGTTAAAACGAGTGTGAAGTGTAAACGAAACTTAATTCGAACTAAGCTCGAACTCTACAGAATAAAAAATAAAGAGTTTTTAGAAGGGATAATCTCTTTTTTAATTTTGTTTTAGTGTGAAGTGATTTTCGACAACGAAACAAATCAAACTTACTCTTGTGTGTATGAACCACGTTTAGAAGGTGAATATCGTATAGTTATAAAGTATGGTGGACATGAGATACCTAATTCACCTTTTCGTGTTAATGTCAAGGGAATATTTATAGACCCAAGTAAAGTAACTGTAAGCGGTCCAGGACTACAAAATTCAGAACTCAATTGTGTTGGTCGTCGTACTCATTTTAATGTACACACTCAGAGTAAGTTTGTCTTTTTAATGAATTATTACATCCCATATACTATAAATGATACTGTTCACTGAAGTCTTGTACTCTTTGAAAAATCAATGATGCGAATTTTTAATTTTTGAATAAATTAAATATGCTAATAAACACTAACGTAAACTTTATACCATTATTCAATAATTCGTCTATTTGAAAAAAACGAGAGTTGGACTGTACTCCAATTCACCATGAATAATCAAATTTGTTTGAAAATACTACGTAACTTGTGTGAAGTACCTTTCAACCTTTTTAAATGCTTCAAAAAATGTAATAATTTAGTGCAAAGTACTTATATTTTAAGAAAAACGTGAAATATAGATTAAAGCAGCTGATTGTAATAGTATTATCTTTAACTAAGTTTTATGTTGGTCCGAAATCGTTGGTATGTGATTTTTCGCAATTATTAACATCAGCCATTTGACAAATCATAACCCGTATTACTAAATTTCTACTAGTGACTTCGTATTGATGCTGTAAGCTTTAATCTGATTAATACAACCTATCTCGCTAACCTCATATTTCATCTTACACTACACGTTAAACTATGTGGTTACTACTTTTTGCAAGACTTGCTGTTTGGCAAGGATTCATAGTCTCATCAACCAATCTAACCTCTCTCCATATTGTTATAACTGTGTCCTGAGTCCCTATTAATGTAAAACGTAATAATACCGCCAACTAGAGAACAATAAATTATCGATCGGACCAGTGACGCATGAAATTTGTACGAGCAGTCTAGAATCCTTATCGGTCCTGCTTCTGCCTAGTCCAGAACACCAATCTCAGCCTCTGCGATACGAATAATTTATTTCAAACATACTGGATTTATATACCAACCAAACAGACCACATTGTACCATGAAATAGGAAACAACAAGATTTATCCAAAAGTGGCTGTGAATGTGGGAGGTAGTAATTGATAGACTGGGTATAACTCAAGAATGGTAAATCGTATAATAACAGTTCATAGGTCAAAAAAGCTCATAATAAGAGGGACACGCATATGAATAGTTTAGTTACTTAACAATTATACGACAAAAAAATATACGTATAGTAATTTTCCAGTTACCATTCATTATTCTTATCGGGATATAACAATATTGATACTTTTACGCATATGCTGCCAAAATCAAACAAATTACAATTACTAATGGACAAGCTTTAGCATTTCAAAATGTGAGTGAACATTCAAATCCAGGTATTTGCTCGTCTCAACGTGTATGCTATTTTATCGTCTCTTGCATACAATGTAGTACTTAATTCCGAAATTCTCAACTGTATCGTCAAATATATTTATCAATATCTATTATTTCTGTCCTTATAAGTTAGTTCAGTTAATTATGAAATATAGAGCTCGGATCACGTGATATTAACAACCATTTACTAATTTCATATGTGCTCATATTTACTAATCAGAAATATTTGTGTATAAAGGAAACAAAGCAATTTATTACACACGATCGACCAATTGTATGTTTTTACTATCGTCATACCTACACAACTTCACTTTTTTAGATGCTGGAAATGGAATAGTAGATTGTTACATTGTTGATCCACACGGCAGAACTGATACTGTCAAACCACGTATTACTTGCCCCGGTGGTGATGGGTGTTTTATTGTTGAATATACACCAAAAGAAGTTGGTGTCCATCAAGTATTTGTACAGTTTGCGGAGAAACAGATACCTAATTCACCATTTCAAGTTGAAATAGCACCTAGTACGTTTCACATTGTGTTGTTTACTATATTTTGAAAGTGAATATTTTGTTCATCTAAATTGGTTATCATTTAGAAGCTTAATTCAGTCATTACATAGTTATTGTTTTATTCAGGAGAGTCTGGTAAAGGTAAGTTTTAATAGCATGTTATTTTCCTCATTTTACATAAAAAAATCCATCGTTTTTTTAAATTTAAAGACTTCATATTGCGATATTATATGGTACACTTCTCCGCACCTAATGTCATATGTATGCTTATAAGTCATTCAGAATCCATCTGTTTATAGTGTACTGTATTTGTTCGTAAGTAATCATATTAGTTGACCTTATTTGGTCGTTTTTCTGCATCCTTTTCTCATCAAACTGATATTTGCATTTCACTGTTCATTTATATTATAAAGTTGTTTTTAAGCGTTGTATCTGCTCATATTTACGTTTCTTAACTAGAATTTGTAATTCCGAATTACAAATGACTAGTACTCATTATTGTATCGGTAAAATTGGTCACCAATGTCAATATTATATTGGTTTTTGTTCTTGATGTTAACATTTCTAGTGGATTTTTCATCAAAATGATAATGTTCATTCTGTATATTTCATTTGCTATATATATATTGTTGATAAAATTACATGTTTATGGGAATTTATACCGTTGAAATTGTACTGTTTTCTGATTGTGAATGGTTCTTGAAATCCGGTTTTACTTATATTCAGATTAATAAACTTCAATTGAACCTAAAACAATACTATTTTTAGTGGAGTTTTTTAATCTACCCGTTTCTTTGTTTGAAAATTTGAATTAGCTGCAGCAATCGCTGCTCTTTCAGCAGTTATACAAAATTCAACATTCAATCAAAGTGCTAAACAATCTATACATAATGAAGTACCGGAAATAAAGAACACTTCAAGACAGAATGGTTTTCATGAAAATCCTGATGTTGCTCTTGTGGAAACATTTGATAATATGAATGTAGAAAATGGAACTGTCTCATCTGATTCTTTATTGATGAATTCATCTGAACGTAAAAATGAAAAGAAACAGTTAGTTGATAATTCTGTCAAAGAAGAATCATTTATACACGAAATAATTGAAGGTGACATAAAAATAACTGCTTGTCCACTTGCATGTACATTATATTATATATGTGCATGCATCTTACTGGAAATTAATGTTTCTATGCATGATATCTGTTCTACCTACATACAATTTTATTGTTTTTATATAAATAAAGAATTTATTAAATGTTAATTTCTCTCACATTTCAGAAGTTCATCCTGAGTTAGCTTATGCTACTGGAAGAGGTATACAAGCTCGTGGTATACGTGTACAAGATCGAGTGAAATTTTCTGTTCATACTGAACGAGCTGGTGATCAAGCTCCACTTGCAGTTACAATGACTCGTGCAGGTATATGAAATACTGACTTTGAATTTTATTACTAAATTTTCTGGTTAATTTCAATTATAGCTGTGTTATTCGAAGTCGAGTTGAGTTTCGATAGCTTGAATATTATCAGTTTACAAGCACTTATACTTGATTGACCTTTCATTTCCTCACCTGTCTAACGATACATTCATGTGTGAGGCGTAACAATACCACCTAGCTGACCAAACGAAAGTAGGTATTGCGGAACTCAAATTCGCGACCTATTAGTTGAAAGTTGATTACCTTAGTCACTACGCCACCTCTTTTGTTAACTTCATATCAACCGTTAGGTAATTTCATCGAACTTCACTTTAAACATACGACACTCAAATGGTAAATAATCAGTAGTCTAATTATTTGTTTGTTTACAGTTCACAAAAGATAATTTACTTTTCAAAACTGGTAATTTCTTCATAAGTGTTTGTAATAGTACGCAGCTAGTAAGTGAGTGGTCGGATTTCAGCGACAATTTTCAATAAAATATACCACTCCATATATTTTCAATGTAACTTAACCCTTATAACCTAATATAAATAAATAAATAGTAAGCCAACATCTATTTGTAATCTTGTTTTAAAAAAAAACAACAATACGTGGTTTTTGTTTTGTTTAGGTGAATGTTGTAAATAAAAAAAACCCGAATAGAGTTCAGGAGATAGATAATATTGGGCGCGTATTGTTAAAATGCAAATATTGTCACTCTAAAAAATGAAACAGAATATGCTCTACCTACATGTTTCTGTTTCATATTATTATTAGTGTGGATATTGACGAGTTTTCATAGACTTTAAATCATGAGCCGATCTTAGTTAGACCACCACTGAAACCTGAAAGCAAAAAACGGCCGTTTTGTCCAAATGTGGGGCTTCCGAGGAGTAGACTCACTACCCTGCATCCGGCAATCGAGCCCACGGCCTCAGTTTTCGTGCTCAGACGCTTAACCCCTAGAGCAATGAGACGGCATTCAACAGTGTTAATGTTTCACTCCAATCAATTCACGATATTGCGCGACCATCTGTCTTCTGAGGTAGATAATTATCACGTCCTTCCACGATAATACTCACTAGTGACTAGCTTCATATGTTCGTTTTCAATTTTTCTTAATAATTTGCCTATAATAATATGTAAAGAGGTATATAGTTCTATGCTTGCTAAGAAAAAATGCTCCTGTTTGATGTGAGTGTACATGTAATGCAAGGAAGTATGTCTAGGATCATATAATTGAATCAGTTGTATCGACGATAATTTTATGGTTTACATCATTTGTTGATCTTAGATAATCACTAGAAACCATGAAGCATTGAAAAATCGAACTTTTCAGCAGTACACATCCGTGATCCTACCGAATATCGAACTCAAAACCATCAGGTTATTAATCTAACATCCAGTGATCTTCATATCTAACCTCATCTATTGGTCGCCAATAGTTTTCTATCAAATGTGTAGTAGCGGGGTTTTTCTGATCCTTAATTGAATTGATAACCTTTTGAACATTATAACAAATTTACCTTCCAACCGTTAGACTTTGATTTGTTTTAAAATGCGATAAATTTATTTTGATTCAGTTCATTATTGTTTCAGGTTAAGTTTCCTCTTATCTTTCACAGTAAATGCTTTAGATATAATAAGAATTGAATATAAAATTTTTTTAAATGTTACACAATTTTACTGTCTTTCCATTCTGAATTTTTTCATTTTTTAAAAATTGTCTTTCTACGAACAAAAGACGGTCAAAGTGAACCCGTGGAAATTCATCAGATTGATAAGTTTTTATGGGATTGCTTCTACAATCCACAGCGACCTGGGAAGTACACACTTAATGTACGTTATGGCAATGGACATATTCAACATAGTCCTTATACTGTAAGTATTACACCTGGCCAGTAAAAGTATGTTTCTTTTTGTATATTCCTCACCAAGAAATTAATTTTTCTGTTTAACCACACAATTGTTGGTGTAAATGGATGGCAAAATAAGTATTCGTCACACAATAGGAAAATGAGATTGTGCAGAGTTACATGGAGGAAGGTAGACACAACATGAAAAAATCTATAAATCAATAAAAATTAGTGAACGAGAGTAGTAAATCATTGGATAAACAGTTCAGTTAGGAAAAATACAACTGGAAAAAATTCTTTTGGTTATTGAAGATTCTCTTGCTTTTATGAAGAAAGTAAGAGAAAACTACAGCAGGACCGCCGCTGGCTTCTATTCTGAGACATTTTTGATAACGTCTCAAGCCAATGAGTTAACCTTTCTCTAGTACCCTAACTAGGGAGTCGATTAAAGATCGATGGATGCCTGTTATGTAGAGCTTTCTTTCATACCACACCATCATGTCATAAACTAACCATCTTCGTGTTTTTCAACCAATTTCAACGTCAGCAAATAATACACTATGTGGAATTCGCTGGGTTGATATTCGTAGTATATATCCAAGTCCCTGAAGCCAGTGTTTTAAACCAGTTACACCAAGAAAGTAACCTCTAAATAGTTTCTCTTTGATTCCAATAAATATGGTGTCGGTTATTCTTGTATCATATTTTCCTCTATCTAAACTCAGGATTTATCACTGACTTACAATCGCTTCAAGAGTAGTTACGAAGTCGATAGACTCCATACTCGTGAAATGGTGCCAGTCTTTTCACAGGAGTTTAAACATTTCAATTTAACCGTACTTAAATACTGTCGTCAAATCTATTAATCACAGTCGTAATTAATATTTAACACCCTGAATCGCTGAAAAAATTATTAGATTTTTTGGTAATATAATGGATGCGTGACTGTTGCCTTGACAACATCCGACATGACCAGGTTTCTCAAGTTGACAGTTTAAGTAGCAATCTTAAAAACTGAAATTCGTCATCTATTAGGTGTTGTGAAGACTGTTAAATTTGGATTTGCTCATCACGGACTAAATTTTGTTAAATAACCATTAAAGATCAGATCTGATTGCTCCTGCTATGAGATTCATCTGTAGCAAGCATGCGCAGACGACTTCACTAGGAATCATACCAAGGGCTTTTAAGCCTTATGGAAAGCCCTTAATAACTGTAAATTCAGTCGATTCTAATACCGTGCTATTATCGTCTATCACCATTGATAATATTTGTTTCACACCTGACATGATCCGTCATGTGAAATAGCTGGTTGATAAAATTGTATATGTATAGGCTCATACACCGTACGGGTTTGACTGTCCATTGTTTATACTGATTACCTAAAGTCTATTAAGATGGATTACTTATTTATCCAGTTCCAAAAACTGGTAATTCTCTCCATCACTGAATGCCTTGGCTATTTACAGAAATCAATTTTGTGTGATGTATGCTACTAATGATGACAGATATAACAGTAACTGGAAATGGAATGCTTGTCAGCAAAAGATTGAATTGAAAAGAACAGGGAGGCAAACAGAGCATTATGAATAACGGCTGAATTGGAGGAATCATAAAGTATGTAAAGGACAATTGAAGGAAGATATACAAATGATGTATTTAATGTATGACTTTCATATTTTACAAAGGCAGTGTGATTTCGCAGAAAACTATAACTTGGTTTTTCCCACCTGAGTTCTCATTCACTACGACTGAACTGACTTTGAAAATAAGCATTTCATCATTATGTGTTTGATACATCTTATTTTCATTAAAGATTTGAAAATGTAGAATACACTTCTCACATATTTGCTTTTCTCTTGTTACTTCTCTATTTACTAGTGGTATACCTTTAATGGGAATCATCTATTATCGTCGTAAAATTGCTCTAATTCACATAACTATAGACTTACTAAAGAAATTTAATTTATTTAAAATGTAATGTTTATAAACAAATGAACAATCCAATTCATTTGTATTGATCGTTCAAATCTTTCCACTGATGTTTTGAACTGCCATTGATCAGTCTCTTTTAGCATATGTGCATCCTGTTCAGATTTCCTAGATATTCCTAATTAAGTTTCTAAGAGTTATAAGTAGAGATGAATAGTGGCTAGCAATGGAACCAGAAAATTCATCTCGTCTTATTTGGAGCCCGTCAGCTAGATGTACCTGCATCCCAGAGGTACATTCAGCTGACCAGTCCCCAAATAAGACGCGTCCTGGATTCCATTACTATCCAACATTCATCTCTGCTTAAAATATATAATCTAATCATTGTATATTTCTTAGTTGTTTTTGAATTTCGTCCGATTGATATTGAGACAATTGTTCAATGAAATAAATTTATGTATCAACCTTCGAAACCGTATCAAAACAAAAACCGAGCTTACTCACGATTACACATACAGATTCATACATTCCAGTATTGTGTTGCTATGTGTGTAGTTATAACGAAATATAAATTAATTATTTGTTTTTGATTTCGTACTTTCTACTCTTTCTTTCTCTCTCTCTCTACATATTGTGTGCTATTGATATGATTTTTTCTCAGCTTGAATTCAGCAATACTGTTTTTTTTTTGTCAATCCAAAATGTTACTATTGTATCATTGTAAATTACAAAAGTTCATATGTGTTTTTGTGTCTGTTACAAAAGTCTTAATACAAACTCGACTGAACATATTTTAATCTATGATAGTGTTTTGTGTGCTAGAATGTCTGCACTTCATTGAATGTCTAATGTACTAGACTGTTCATGTGTATAGAAACATTTTTTATAAAATTATCTCTGATTAAATTCATTTTGTATTGTTTGTTTGAATCGTCATATTGATGTTTAAGACTGCACTTGATCAGTCTCTTATTGGTATATGTGCATGCTGTACAAATTGCGTCGATATTGCCTTAAGTCACAAGGATTCTAAGCAAACATGGATAATGGCTAGCAGTGGAATCCAGGACATGCGTTTCATCTTATTCGCGGCTCGTCGGCTGAATGTACCTTCATTCCAGTGTTGATGTTCACTCCGGGACTCGAACGCGATGGCGCTTGAAGCGAACGATACTGGGTTCACGTGTCGGAGTAAACATCAACTCTGGGATGCAGGTACATTCAGCTGATGAGTCCCGAATGGGATGGGACGCGCGTCCCACTGTTAGGAAAATTTAAATGTCATATCAAGAGTATCCATGGTTTGGCCAGTTGTTTTTAAATTGGCAATATACAGTAAAATTCTCAAAATTGATATGAAGTTAACGTTACATTAATGAGAGTTGAAGTGGAATATATATCAATTCATTATTTATCTGAATCATCTAAATTTCAATGTTATAACTGCCCTATTGTCATAATCATGAATTAAAACATTCTTATGTTGCTTTATAACATCAATGAAATAAAATTTGAATATTGTTATTGTCATTCTTTTAGCAGTGTAGTGGACGAAGATTTGGTGGGGTAAACCAATTTGTTATCTTCTGCAAAATCACAATAAGCCTTTATAAAATAGGAAAATCACACATTAAATACATCATTTGTACATCTTCCTTCAGTTTTCCTTTATATAATTCATCACTCTTCCCATCCTGTTATTATTATCGACTGCTGTTCGTTTTTTCTTCTATTTTTTCATCTTTCCTCTGGTAAGCTTTCCACTTCTAATTCCTGTTACATGCTACTTATGTATGTACTCATAAGTAGTGCACACTACAGTAGTGCTATTTTCAAAATTATAAACCTAGGACGTTGTGGTAAATGTAAAACACAGTTTGTTGATGATATATTCTTAACTAAGAAGTTATGAAACGTTAAGTATATCACTTCAAAATTCTCTTGAATGTATACTATATCATTCTTAGTTATATAATCCTTAAAATGTTGATATATGTATGTGTATGACATTTTCTGTCTTTATATTATCATGGTATCAACTACCGTCACAAATGCATCATTGTCACGTAAATTTAAGCTGATATTAAATTAGACTATTAGTTAACCAAGATCATAAAGTGTACTTTATGTCTCTTACACATTAATACAAATACGTATTTATAAAAATCCTTCACGTTGATTGGATGACTTATTCAGTATACAGTAAACCGAAGAACCATGTACCTTTTTATATTCGATAATTTTGTTGTTTGATTATATTTTCCTCGAAAAAGCCTGGACCAGATTGCCAGGCGAAACGTTGGATTTACTTAAAATTCATTCGCTGAGATTTTACAAATATATTCTTCTTTTTAAATCTAATCAGTGTTTTATGTATTGCATTTATCTTTCTTGCAAACAAACAGTTTTATCTTCGGTCTCACTTAGCATAATGTTTTTTCCGTATACATCAGATTTACATATTTTGAAGTGACAGATAATTCCCATTTAAACATTAAAATTAAAACACGAAGTTCAGCTAAGGGATCTCTTTTCAACGAATTTATTATCAAGCTGTACAATCGTATATATGTGGAAATTTTTTATTAAAGTACTAATTCCGTGAGGAAATCTGAACAGAAATAACCAAGATGATGTAATAGAAAGATTATAATACTAGATTATGTAATACGAATAATAACATTAGATTTACTGAATATAATAAGATGATTAGGATGTTTTTGTCACAATAACTAAAGGTCATAGAGGTGTAAAAATAAATAAGGTGATATGATGAGCATTTAGGAATAAAACAATGAGAATATAAGACATGAGTAAAGAGGGGAATGCAATAATAATAATAATGATAATAATAATAATTGGATAATCAAAATAATTAAGGCCAAGGTAACGATAACGACAAGATGTACTTCTTTTGTACTCATAGTTTTGGTTTAAGCTCCTGAATGGTAAGAGCTTCGGCTATTTTTAAGAGTTGGATACGAAGAAATCTGGGTAGATTTGAACGAATCATGTAAACAACCTTAAAATCAATTTGTGGATCAGTAGAATGGTTACAGTCGATTAGGTGTTTAAGTATAGAACTCATGACTTCATACTTTGCAGTTAAATTGTATTCTACCCGATCTTCTATTTCATAACATATTCAGAGTGCCTGAATTGGACTTTTCAGTAACAAATCAACTGAAATCTATCGGCTAGTCAAACCCAATTATTTAATTGCCTCATGCCTTCCGTTTACTGAACTGAGCGTATAATTTGTTTTTTTTTGCCCGAATATTTTACATTGAATTTATGCTTTTCTCTGTTTGTAGATTGTTGTAGGTCCACATAAGAAATCTGCTATTCGCGCTTTTGGACCAGGCTTAGAAGGCGGTGTTGTCAATCATCCCAATTTATTTACAATCGTGTGCAATGGAGATGGTTCTGGATTAGGTTAGTTGTGTTGTGTTTTCTTTGCCTCAACTATTTACTGTCTCATTGAAATCATGAACCAATCTCAGACAATCACTGAATATACTAAAAACACGAAATTCAACGAAGGATTCTCTTTTCAACGAACTTATTATCAAACTGTACAATCGTATGTATATGAAAATAGTTTGTCAAAGTACAAGTTCCGTGAGCAAATGTGAACAAAGAACAACCAAGATGATGTGATAGAAGGATTATAATTACAAGATTACGTAATACCAATAATAACAATAGACTTAATAAGTTAGTAAGGAATTATAACATGAATGTAGTAAGATGATTAAAATATTTTTGTTACAGTAATTAAAGGTCATAGAAGTGTAGAAAATAAATAAAGTGATATCATGAGCAATTATGAATAAAATAATGAGAATATGAGACATAAGTAAAGGGAGAAATGCAGTAATAATAATAATTATTATTATTATTAAGGCCAAGTTAACGATAACAATAGGACGTACTTTCTTTGTACGCTTAGTTCTGGCTTGAGCTCATGGATGATAAGAGCTTCGGCTATTTTTAGGAGTTCAATACGAAGAAATCTAGGTTGATTTAGACGAACCGCATACACAACCTTAAAATCAAACTGTGGGACAGTAGAATGATTACAGTCGACTAGATGTTCAAGTACAAAACTCTTAACTGCTTCCCTTTCACCCTTGTAGAACCACACTGGGATATGTTCCCGTAACCGAGTTGAAAGCGAGCTCTGGCTACGGCCAGTGTACCTTGTTCCACAAGAGCAGCTGAAGTGGTAGGTGCACATGCAGGCAATCAGACGGGGAAGCTTGTCTTTTATGGATACAGAAAATAAATTCCTACTCGTGAAGGTTATTCGCAATTTAGCTGCAGTAAATGTTTTTCTAATAGTTGTTGTTAGACGATGGGGTCCCCACTGGGTCTAACTTTACGTTGTAATTCGTTACTAACTTATTAAGTCTAGTGTTATTGTTCGTATTACGTAATCTAGTATTATAATCCTACTATTATATCATCTTGTTGTTCACATTTCCTTGCGTATCTAGTACTTTAACAAATTATTTTCATCTATATACGATTGTACAGCTTGATAATAAGTTCGTTGAAAAGAGATTCCTTCGTTGAACTTCGTGTTCTTAATGTTTAAATGGAATTATCTGTCAATCACTGAAAACTTGAGAGTTCTGGCTGGTCGTTTTATCGTAGTACGTGACTCATTCATCAATGCTATCTATGGATCCGTATCCAGCAGTTCAACCTAGGGTCTTCAATCTCGCGTTCGAACTCTTAAGTTCTTGTTCACCACTCACTGGTGTACAAGTCTAACTTCAATCGGTCAACGATTGTGCATGACCATCTTCAATTGCTTCCGGTGCACACCCAACACAAATAAACTACACTAGCCACATCTATCTATTGTCTTTTGTTGTGTAAAGTACAAACATTGGCATGTAAATTAACCGTTGATGAGTGAACATGGTTTGTTTATATGTTAAACTACTTCGTCATTTGCCAACTTCGGTTGACATACATTTTTTTTCCCAGACTATGTTGGTTGGGATTGCCAGAAATCACTTCGTGTTTATTTTTACATTCGTTAATAATTTTACACTTATTTACTCTCAATCTAACGGATTTTAATAAACATTACTGGGAGTACTGTTTAGCAAGTTATGTTTCAAAAAAATGTCAAGAATCGTTTGTAAAATGAATTTTAGGCTTAATTGTTTCATGTTAACTATTCATGAAACGCTGGACTGATGGTATGCATGTTCGAATGCCCTTCCTTGTTTTCCTTCTCTTTGGATAGTATCATCTACCCGTAACAGAGACCGAGTAGGTTAACTTACACTTAGTAAACCAATTATATAATGATAAGACAAAAAATATTATCAGCCTTATGGATTATTGTACTTAACTTATATATGTTTAATATCTCAAATCATACTTAGCAAGCAGTTTTATTTATTAAAGCACAAATTATTTGACGAACTACCTTTGGACTAATCATGTAAAAAAAAGAGTTAATGTATTCATATGTTCAAGGTATCTCTAATACATCATTGCTAATATGATAAATAAAAGTGAAGCTTAGAAATGCTTAAAATATAATATAAGACGATTTTTTTTCTACCATAAATTGTGAATTTTATCTCGGTAATCTCAAGTGATATAACCATTAGTCACAAGTATTTTGTATCTCTAGCCTACTAAAACTGTAAAACAATTCCTCTCTATTTGAATATTACTCACTCTAATACTGAACTTCTTTATGTTAACCTTTTTATTGTGATCTATATATACACTCCACATACACACACACACATACCACTCATTCATTCATGTGATCATTTACAATCTAGACTATTGTATTTTAGTTACTTTTAATCTCATGACGTCATTGTTATATACAATTGAGATGGGAAGCGCAAAGCAACCTTAAAAGTGCATAAAAGTTGAAGGTTATTAGTCTGGATTTGTTTGACTTTTGCCAAAGATAACTCGAATCCAACATCAATGTATGTAACTCACTTATCAAGTGTATATTAGAACACTCACCATTCATCCGCACTTCAAATGTGATGGCTAGTGATAATACCCAACTTCTCAAATCCAAGATAGGACATCCAGGTTCGAACCCGAGACCCAGAGATAACAGTTCACGTACTTAAACCACCAAGTCACCTCTCTATCATCCATCATTATTCACCAAGTAGATAGAGGATCCACTTTCATTTTGATGACTTAACTACCATTCGTAATGAATAGATAACAGTTTGTGTACGATATTCTCCATCTTACATAATATACGGTTTAACCGCATTTCACAGACATTTAAAACTGTAACTCCCGGAGCACATTTTTACACTGTGTACCTGAGAGTTGATGATAAAACATAATTATGGTTTTCTATTTAGAATGTCCAAATAATTTTGCTGCTCTAATTAAGTAGTTATCATAATTTATAAGCTGTATTTTCAGTCTAATAATCTGAGTATTATGTCTTCAGGTTTTTTGATTGAGGGGCCTAGTGAGGCTAAAGTACTGTGCCAAGACAATGGAGATGATTCTGCTCAAGTAACCTATACGGTTTCACAACCTGGTGAATACGCAGTTCATGTTACATGTTTCGATGAAGATATCCCTGGATCACCATATATGCCTATAATAACTCCTTGTATTGAAGATATTCATTCTAATAAGGTATGTGAAATGTAGAGACTTATTTCCTATTTAAAAAAGGTTCTTGTCATCATATAACACTTGTGGCGTATGCGATATATCCGTCTGTCAGCCGAAGGATGGGTTTACTATGCTTCAGTTTACTCATCTAGATATGATGGGTGTAAAATCTGACCATTCGAAACAGGCGATATTCGTTCGTTTACTGGTATTTGATCTTAGGTATCTTCGAAGCATTGCTCGCGTTTGTTGAGCCATCAAGTGAAGAAGAAACCCGACTTTAGTCCATAAAGTCACTGACTGGACTATGAACTCGATTACGTCATGTAAGTAGGTACACACTACCTAGTTGAGATCCTCTCCATTATCGTAACCAGTAGTTGGAAAACATAGTTAAGGATAGGTCACAATGGAACTTAAATATTAAGTTCCGAAATATACTTACACTTCATTAGTGTTATAACGTGAAAATGCTGCTGATTAAGGGGTAGCGAATTATTGATCGGACAAAAGACGCGCAAACACGTAGAACAACCTAGGGTTCTGATTGGTCCCGCTTCCCTGTCTAGCCCAGCCAGTTCAGTCCAGAACGCAAGTCACAGCCTCTGAGTTATGAATCATTATATTTCAAACATACTTTGTTTACATACCAGTCAAACAGACCACATCGTACCATAAAAATAGAAACAACATCTGTACAATATTTAACGAGTGAAATAAATTATGGCCAATAGGGAATGCCCATTTAGAGTCCAAGGTCATCATTAGACAACATGATAATGATTCGTATATTCCCCAACATCGCTAACAATTAGCAAAGATGGAGAGTGGCTAGCATTAGAATCTAGGGCGCGCGTTTCGTCCTATATGGGACTCTTTAGACGGATGTACCTGTATCCCAGAGTTGCTGGTCGAGTGCCGGAGGGAATACCAACTCGGATGATGATACATTCAGCTGACGAATCCCAAATAGGACGAAACGCGCGTCCTGGATTCTACTGCTAGCCACTATCCATTTTTGCTCATAAAGCTTGTGACTTAAGGCAATATGGAGGCAATCTGTACAGGATGGACGTATGCTAACAAGAGACTGATCAACTACAGTCCTCAATAACAATGGAACGATACAACAAACAACACCAAATGAATTTATACTTACACTTTGTTAGTTTCTACCTTCTACACCTAATTTTTTCATTACAAGTAATACTGTTCCTACTTTTACTACTTTGGTATTTGTCGTGATAATTTATTCTTCCTGTCCTATTATTGTATGGTAACTTGAACTAATGCACATATGTATCATATTACTTACAGACTATAAAAAGTAAACAATGTGTCGCTGTATATTTACATTGGTCATCTAATTGCCGAACAATCAAAAACCTATGTTTTTAGGCATTAATGGTAATCCTGTCTTTATGCACAATTTGTTCAGCATTAGTTTGTTGTTTCGTATAGATCTCATACATATTAAAGCCTACAGAATCCTAGTCGAAACTATCATTGACCGACTAAGTTGACTTATAATCATAGTAGTAGGCTATTTGTAGCATAAAGACGAATAGTCTTGTTAGCAATGAGCTTATTTTTCTTGATTTCACACAAGCATTTTATACCTTAATTTGTTCCATATATTTTTAGTTGCGTGTTTATGGTCCTGGTGTTGAAAAAATGGATCTTAGTATCGGTCATTCGACGGAATTTTATATTGATGGTTTACAGGATGCTGTTCCTCCTCAACTTTCACGTTCCCTGAAGGATTCTCTGTTGCACGTAGATTGCCATGATACTACAGGTAATCCAGTGCCTGTCCAATCTAGTATACGCTCTGATGGCACTGTAGTTTGTACATACAAACCTATGTCTCCTGGGATTCATACCGTATATGCTTCAATAGCCGGTATATCTCTCAAAGGCTCACCATTCAGGGTAGGTGAATAATTTTTATTGTGAAATAATACATCTTTAGTGTGTTATTTTGCAACGACTAATCCTGTATTTTATTCATTTAGGTAACCGTTGCTCCAGAAATTCAACCAGATAAAATGAAATTATGGGGTCCAGGTTTACAAAGTGCTACCAGAAAAAAACCAGCTCAATTTTTCATTGATCCTCAAGAAGTGTTTTCTGGTGAAAATGAAATTGAACTAATGGCCAATAATCCAGTTTCTGTTAATATTGTAAATGATCAAGGTCATACGATTCCAACACGTTTAAGTAAACAATCCGATAATACTGTTCGTATTGAATATACACCAACTTCATTATGTACAAATGTGCATATAACACCTTTAATAGGTGGTACACCAGCGAAATCCTCTATACATGTACCCGTTGCATGCGGCTTTGATATTTCAAAAATTAAAGTTCAAAATTTAGATACAAGTCAGTTCTAATTAAGTTAATTATGTTTATTTGTTTTTGTATTTTAATTAATGATTATTACATATTTATATTTTCTAATATTTTCTAACTTATATGTAAGTCACTTCTATTCAGAGACTGACTGACTGATTCAGAGTAAAATAAATATCAGAAATAGGATTTTGGATATTGTAGTAATTTAATAGTTCAATTCATGAGTTGATCTAAGCTAGACCACTATAGAACACCTGGAAGCACTGAAAGGTCGTTTCGTCTTAGTATGTGACTCTTCGACAGTGCGTATCCTGCTCGCGGAATTCGAACCCAGGACCTATCGGTCTCACATGCGAACTCTTAACCTCCAGACCACTGAGCCGGCATCCAACGGTGTTAGTGTCTAACTTCAACCAGTCCACGAAATTGCAACACTGACCACCATTGTCTTCAGTGAGTTACTATTTCACAACAGATCCGGTTGAACTCCACTAGCTTTAATTGACTCATCAATTCAACTAGTAGAATAATTAAATTACAGAAATAAAATTAACACAAGTTTGAGTAGTAAAAAGAAACCAAAATGTAATATGTTCTATTGAAATCATACAGAACCATCTTGATAAAAAATAACATAACATTGACATGTTCAAACCCATAACAATTATAATTTTTAATCCGGAAAAAGGTTTTATGGCGATTGTAGTAATTTATTAGTTGAGTTCATAAGTCAATTAAAGTTAGACTACCATGGAAAACCTGTAAGCACTGAACGGCCGTTTCGTACTACCATAGGACTCCACGTGGATTCGCTGAAGTTAGACATTAACACTGCTGGATGCCGGCTCAGTGGTCTTGAGGTTAAGCGCTCGCGCGCGAGACCGAAGTTCCTGTGTTTTTGAGTTCCATATGCGGGATCATTCATGCACACTGCCGAGGAGTTCTATACTAAGACGAAACGGCTTTTCAATGCTTCTAGGTATTCCATGGTGGTTTAACTTAGATCGACTCATGAATTCAACTGTTAAAATTATTGCAATCTCTACAAACCCTTATTTTGATAACATCCAGTTTCATTTGATTACAATATTACAGAATCTCTTGGTAAAATATGAGAATCATACATTGAAAACTTCATTTGCTAATTCCCATCATTTGTCATTCACATTCTATATGATTCTTTCTATTCTCTTCAATGTGATCTTTTTAACTTTCTGCTGCCATGTTTACCATTTCTGATAGGTGTTACATACTACTTATATCTATTGATATAAGTAACATACCACACTATACTACTCTTTAGTATGATCCCATAAATTGAAATAGTTGTAGAAAAAATTTGAACTCACCATATATATCTGCTGAAATTCAAGCGCTTTTAATCATCACTGATCTAACATTTAATATTTGTTGTCAATTCTTAATTTTTAATATAAAAGTATGTCATGAAAGTAATTAGTATATTCATTGATCTTTGATATCATTAGTAGTAATGATATAACATCAAGAGTAAAATTCTATTATTTTACATAATTTAATGAATATTTATTATTATTCATCATTGTAACTGGTTGATAGTTGATCTCTTTACAATGTAATATGTATAGTTGATTTTGTAAATTCATTTTCGAATCATAGTTCAGTATATATATATAATTTAATCATCGATTGCCAAATTGGTTATTGATTATTAATCGGTGATCGGTAAACACTTATTTTGAATGTACTTTTTCTTGACTACTTTACTTCAACTGACTGTATTAAGTGTTACACTTACTATTTTGTACTTGTTTTTATTCTAGAGGTTATAAAAAAACGAACAATAAATATGATGATTTGTTAACAAAACTGTATTGAAGTTATTTAATCATTTGATATTCAATTGTACTATGTTATAAAGTTTGAATTCTCATTAATCCTTTGTTCAAACAGCTTAGAAGTCTCTCCGATTAACTTACTAAACGTATATCAAGACTTATATGTATGAGGTATCATGTGAGATACTAACGGTAATCGGTGTTTATGGATTGTTTGTTGTATGGTCAACAATTTATAAGCATGGATTTGGCGTTGAAACTGGCCATTACATATATACATATTCAGGTTAATAGGACTACTAACCAAATTTTTGTTAAATTAAGCGTGAAGTGTAAACGATTTGGTTAGGCATAAAATATTATAACTATAACAGAAATGAAATATAATGTATGGGAAGTTTTCTCGGAAAATGTGTTATCTTTGTGTCGTTGGATTGGCTCATTGAAGTTGATCATCCGAAAATATTTTTTGTGAATCTTCCATGGTTCATCTGAAATCACCTGTTATTGTGGGCAGTCAGATGATCTTCATACTTTTTTATCTGTAGTAAGTCTCTACTACGACACTGACTAATTTTCATCTTCCTAAGTAAACCGATATTTACGTTACTTTATGATAGTGCCCATCTCACACCATATCTTCAATTTGCTCCTCTATATAAAAGAGAGGCCTGTGTTTTCCTAACTTTTTAGTTAACATTGTTTTTAGCGGAAACTTCAGAAGGATAGATGTTTTCTATTTTAACGTTTTACTTGTAGCACTTAAATGGTTAGTAATTGAAAGTTCAATTTATGTTATAGTTGTTGTTTTCGAACTTATTCTAGCAAGTAATTCAACCTCTGTTGTCATTTATTTTGAGGTGATAAGAAAACTAAACAGTGTTTGTGTATGTTAAACTTTACAACTAATATAATCGTTCATTTCTCTTACTTGTATCGCTTTCAACTTAATAGTATCCTTAACTCAATGTTTATAACACTTTGAAGCTATCAGTGTTACATCCCTTCATTTACTTTACACCTATCATATAAGGAATATTTAATTGTCGTCAGTATTTACCTATTACTGTAACTTATAATCAAGTTCTATTTGTCATGTATTGCCTACTTATTATTTGCGAAATAATTTAATATATCTTTCTGTTTTTAGCCATTAATTCACATTCAACTAATCAATTTAGGATTTACACTAAAGATGCTATAGATATATTAGATCATTTAATTGTAAAAATTCAGTCTGTAGATAATCCTGAAATCTGTTTACCAGTTAATCTAAACGTTGAAACAACTGATAGTATTTTATGTACATTTACAATCAATAATAACACACCATGTACTTGTTATAATGTTCAAATTATGGTAGATAATGAGAATATTCTCCATGAGATGAATACAATTAATGTGGTGAATAATGTAGAATCAACTGTTGTTGACCCTAAAAACACTAACGATATTGATTTGTACAGTTGTAAACCTAATGCGAAAGAATTACACCAAACGAGGATCCCTGGTGATAATAATAGTAATAATATTTCTTATATGGAAATTAATAATAACTGCTTTGATGAGTCAACAAAAGACAATTCATATGGAAAAATTAATGATATCTTAGAAAAAATAGATAATCAACTTCATGCAAAGAAATCCTTCATTAATGGTGATAATCATGCATATTCAAGTTGTCCTCATGAAAATACTCATAGGATTTTTGTTACTAATGGTTATTTGAAAGAATTTGAACAGAATAATAAAATGGAATTGCTTCAACATATGAAATGTAACAACCATTTAACAACTTCATTAAATGAAAACGAGTTAACAATTAGTGCTGATTGTCATTTGGTTAATCATGATGATAGTAATAATACTGCACATATTACAAACTGTACTCCACTGTCACCAGTTCAAAAATATCCTCCCAGGCCATTTATAACTGAAGAGGAGAAAGTAATTTCAAGAAAATATCACTGAATTCATTAAATTTTTTTCGTCTTGATGCTTGTATCTTTACATCTTTCAACCTTATACGTATTTGTCTTTAATTTGAACGCATGCATGTTATATTGTCTGTGTATGCCTAACCTTTTTTTTGCTACCACTACTACTACTGACACTGTTGCTATGTAAACTACTCTGAAATTTGTTTTCATACTTTCATCTTGGTGTGTTGTTGTAGTATGACAACGGGAACAAATGCAAATCTATATCAGCTTCTACAGTGGTTATAGCTGCCTGACTGAGGACTGCCTATCATTGGAAGCATTGACGCATGTATCTTCATAATTATCATTTATTATACCCTTTCATTTCTATTCTTTATCAAAGTCATTTTCATTTATAAATATCTCTTGGCATTGCATGACGAAAAATTGTGTGATGAATCAGTTAGCATGGTAGATCAATGCTTTACTCTTCATCAATTACTAATATTTTTCTTACCTTCACACTTTATATTTTAAAAAAATAGACTGAAATAATAGCCAAAAGTAAATGGCCTCAATCGATGCCGGAACAACACGCTTATCAAATTACAGCTCAAGGTTCAGGACTTGATAAAGCTATTGTTAATGAACCAGCTGATTTTGTTATTAATAGTGAAAACGTTCCACCTGCTCCATTGAGTGTAACGATTGCTGGACCAAGTGAAGCAAAAATTCATTGTATAGATAATGGGAATGGAACATGTGGTGTCAACTATACACCATTACTACCAGGTTGTTATACTATAAATGTGGTGTATAATGATGAATCACATATATCTGGTAGTCCATTTTTTGTTCAAGCATATCCCGCTGATAAACCAAATTTAACAGTAGACGATGTCATCTGTTATGGAGTTGGAGTAGATTCTTCTAATGGTGCGTTCCTATGTTTATTGATTGGACTGTCTATCACTGCATGTGCTCTCTCCCTGGTTTGCATATTTTGTAGTTGATTGATTCGGGGAATCCAACGTTGCATGTATAAAACATCGCCTGATAAAGTATAGTGGTTAATAATTTGTTAATAATTTCCCCTTCCTTATACTGTATAGTTTTTAAAAATCAAGCGTGAAATTTTTAACCTATGTATTTGTTTATCTTCTCTCGTTTTCGATTTCCTTTTTCACACTTATAGAAGTTCATAAAGCTTCCTACGTCAAGTTCACTGTGGATGCATCGGCTATTGATGCACACTCTGAAGGAACTGTCACAGCTGTTCTTACTGGTCCAGATAATGGAAAATCAGCCTGTCAAGTGTTAAGCAATAAAGATGGAACATATGTTTGTAATTATACTCCATTGGAAGAAGGTGATTTATTTGATAGTATAGTCTTATTGGATTTTGTTTTGTTTGTAATGTGATGTGACATACTACTTCCAAGATATTGTGGTTATCATTCTACAGTATTAATCTATCTGTCTTTCATTCACAGAAAATTATTGATATGTTTGCCTTAATGATACGTTTTTAGCGCTATTTATATGTGTCAAAATTGAAAATCTAAATTTTGTCGAACATCAAAGTACTTATAGCACTAAACTCATTGTTTCTTATAGATTAGGGTGGATACTTATCCTTTTGAACATTAAAGGAAGTCTCAGAAATTTACCCTTTGAATCATAACCTGGCGGTTGACTATTACTCATTTGTCATTTTAAGCAAACTATTTCGAGTTCACAATCCCATCTCTTGCCAATTTTTTGGAACATCTTCATTAGGTTATCGTTTCTTTAACCATTCTAACGCGTTAGATATTAAATGCATTAATTGAACTGGACAATCATGCTATACCTCGAGGTTACATTCGTTGGCAGGCTATGGTAATTGAATTGGTTACCTAATCATAGTTACCAACTTCATTTCCGTGTCCCGATTATCCCATCTATCTTTAAATACACCTGAGTTATACGTTTACGCATTTAGTATTTAGAAATACGACTTTATACACTGACTTGTGTAATCTTTAGCTTACTTAAGTGATTCAAGCATGAAGGGTGTACACAAAAAAACCTAGAAAGAAGCTCAGATCATGGTAGCATTAATAAAAATCTTGTGCACGGTACTGATTGCTTGTTAGAAAAATTTATGTCTCACGTTAAAATCCAATGAAGGAAAATTCTCCTATATCACTTATTTTTAATTCTTGTCCAGTGATTCAGCAGCTTACTTTCGTTATTGAAATTACGTGTGCAGATTGCTTTATTTTATCTATAAAACATTCAGTAGATATATCCTCGGAAAGCATATTTGTTTCTGAATGGACTAAACGTGATAGTTAGCTCCATTCATCAATTGGCTATACAGTTTCATTTTAGCCCTGTCTACCTGTCACTTTTTCTTTCATCAAAAAATTCCTACGTGCTACTACTTCAGACTAAGGTGTGTTATCATGAGCCAAATGTTAACCTCCAACTTCACGAATAATGTTTATTTGAAGTAATTTTTCCTTCTATAGATTAGTAGTTTTAAAATAACCCTATAGTGATCATCTTTCAAACTATTCGACTCGCTTATAAGTTATCTAGTTGATGCGTAGTTTTGCTTGATGATCTGAAGGTATCCTGGAAGCGAACGCCGATATTCTATTTTCTGAAATGGTAGATATCTAGTTCATGTGTTTACTGTTGGTATATATTTGAATTTTAAACATCTAGTCATCATATTCCTTTCCCAATATGAGTACTTTTTTATCGAGTCGTATATTGTCTTTAATTTATTAATCATTCCATTTTTCTATCAGTCGTTTTATATTGGATGAATTTAGTATTATGTGATTAACTCAATTGATATAAGTGAATGCTGATGAGTCTTGAATTTTTACATTTTTTGTTTTGTTTTCTAATGACATCGGCGACCAGGTCAACATAAAATACATGTAAATTATGAAGGTTTACCAGTACCAGGAAGTCCCTTTCATATTAATGTTGTTCCTGGCTGTGACCCGAGTCGTGTAAAAGCCTATGGACCTGGTTTAGAAAATGGACCCCATTTAAAACCTGGTGTGCAGACAAGTTTCACAGTAGACTTAACCGGAGCTGGACAAGGTGGTTTAGGTTTAGCTGTTGAAGGTCCAAGTGAAGCACCGATCGACTGTCAAGATAATCGTAATGGTACATGTACTGTTTACTATACCCCATCTGTTTATGGCTCTTATGCTGTATATGTACGATTCAATGATGTAAATGTTCCAGGTAAGCTTTTTATGTTAAAGCGCTTTCTTTAATTTGATTTATTCATTGGTTGAAGTTGTATAACTTGCTTAAATATGCCTCTTGACAATTTATTCACAATCGGATAGTACGGACGTTGTAAAGTCTAAGGATTAGAAGTTTTGTCCAGTTGACCGAGTATATTGCGTACTGTTTACGTGTTTACAGAAAATACACCCCTTAATAACATCATTTACATTAACCCTTAATTTAAGCACATGCCCATCTTAAGCCAACCATTTAAGTCCACTAATTTGCTTTCATTTTACATATTTCATTCTTCATATAAATATATGTCTATTCTGTCATAGTATAAGCTGTTTAATACTTCGAAGGGGCAAAATAATCGAATTACAATATTTTACAAATACAGTATAAGAATTAATTATTTCATCCTAATAGCAATGGGATTGGAAATATGTCCATAAAGTACAGTGATAAAAATTAAATACCCAAATATGAGTCAATCATTAAAACACACGGACAACATCAGTCCTAGTCTACTGTAAAAGAAAGAGAAATCATGGAATAAAGGAATAACTCAAAATCTAAGAGATAACAAAGCGTTCGTGTGACTTATTTTGAACAGTATCAGCTAGCGTTTCTAACCATTAATTATCATATTATCGCTAACTTCAACCAAGTAGTCTGAATCTACCAATACGGCTCAATCTAACAGTCAATTACTTCATGTGTTTATTAAGTGTTCCTACGGAAAATCAAACCTTCATGTATTTGAAAAATAATTTGTGATTTCGTCAATCGTCTTTTATAGTAATATAATTATAATTTTTTTATCTAAGTGTGGGTGCAGATAGTAATATTACAATTGATTGATCACTGGGTGGTGATCAATGTCTTGCTTGTCTAGTCCTTATTAGTGCAGATCGAATGCTATCGATCATGTTGCAATGTGGCCACCAGTCTAGGTGACTCGACACTGCGGGCACTATGTATTGAGATTTAGATGGTGGTTGGAGGTAGTCAACAGGAAACCCTGGACCCCGGTTTCGTGCTACTTGGCACTCGTCAGCAAGGTGTACCTGTAATCTTGAGGGAACTGGTGCTCCCTGGCGGATTCGATCTCGTGTCACCCAGCTTCACAGTCAGAGACGTTACCACTGAGCTATCCGAGCCGTGACTAACCTCCTGTAGGACTGAGATGTAATTACAATTGTAATATTGTTCACGCACTTTATTTGAGTATATTTTGACCATTTCCTTCCCCATACATAAAATCGTTTGCCTAGTTGTTACGTAATCAAGATGAAGCTCTATTAAGTTATTACATGGATCTGCTTAAATTTCTAATCTCATTATTCTTTATCTACATTTATCAAATAGATAAATGCCCAAGTTTCATAGTTTGTATCGTTAACTGATCTTAGCTAGACCACTATTAGAAACCTGGAACCAATGGACCGCTGTCTCGCACTAGTATTAAAGATTCCTCAACAATCTACATTCACTACCTTATCACTAGAGATCAAACCCACAGTAATGCTTAATTTGACCACTGAACCGCGAATCGATTGTGTTCATGTTTAACTTTAATTCACAAATGTTGAATTTGTTGGTATTTATTTATTACAAATTATAAAATACGTACTTCATGTTACTACTGATCATTATTATTTTTATGCTAAAATTGATTCAGGAAGTCCATTTAATGTAAATGTTAATCCGAAAGTTGATCCCAACCAAGTTAGATGCTATGGTTCTGGTCTAGAATCGGGTTTATTACGTGCTGGATGGCCAGCCTACTTTACTGTGGATACAAAAAATGCTGGTGATGCACGCCTAAAGGTATGCTATGGATTATTTTTAAAAAATACATGTTTAATATCTAATTTGATAATTTACTTTACAATTGGAACTCATCAACTTGGTAAATCTCATCAGATAATACTGTTGGGGATGATCAGTGAACCGTCTGACGTTCATTTCTAGTCATATTCCATCTGACTGCACATCGGTTCAATATGTTCAATAACAAATAATTCTTATCTCTTTACAAAAAAACTCTAAGAAACTGCCTCTTATAGTTACTGTTAACTTTCGCTACCCGTTTATCAGTAAACTTTTCTAATTTTCCGACTAAAATAATTCATTGGTGTTAGTTAGAGTTCAATGCTTAGTTCCAGGAACCCTATTATATGTATCACACCAAGTTTATTTAACGTGTGGTAGAACTATTTTTAATTAACTTAGATTTCATGTTTCCAATTGTAATTGACTTTTGATGCTATGCGAATTTCATACTTTGAAGTAAATGTAATGATGATTTTACTTAGAGTTTTTCGTTTTATTATTTCTTTCTGTGAACTTTTTTTTCAGGTTATGTATACTCCTAAATCTGGTGGGGAATTATGTCCTGCAATTGTCCAACCTTTTGGTGGAGGATCAGAAAAAGACTCAACTCAACAACATTATTATAAGGTTACATATACTCCTGAAACAGATGGTCCTTGTCGAATTGAAGTCACCTATGATGATGTTCATGTTCCTGGCTCACCATATGTTGTGAAAATAAGAAAAGCATCTGAACCGAACCTTGTTCGTGTTCTAGGTGCTGGTATTAAAGGTCCTGTTCTTGCTAGTCTACCAGCAACTTTTACAGTTGATGCTCGTGAAGCTGGTATGGGAGATTTAACTTTAGGAATTACTGTAAGAGAATTCATATGTACTTTATTTTGTTTTATTAAGTTGTTTTACTTAATTCATTGTCATCTGAAGGAGTTTTATGGATGTTGTAGTAATTTCAATAGTTGAGATCATGAGTCAACTGAAGCTAGACCACCATGAAAAACCCGGAAGCACTGGATGGCTGTTTCGTCCTATTGCGAAACTCCTCAGTTTTAGTGAGAAGCAGTGAGCAGTGGAGTTCAACCGGGTCAGTTGTGAGATAGTAACTTACTGATGACAATGGTAGATGTGTCGCTCAATTTCGTGGATTAGTTGAAGTTAGACATTAACACCGTTGGATGCCGGCTCAGTGGTCTAGTGGTTAAGCGCTCGCTAGGTGGGTTCGTGGATGCGCACTGCTCAGTAGTCCCACATTAGGATGAAACGGCCGTTCATTGTCATATATACAGGATGGAATTTCTACTCAAGAAACCTTGGACGTGTAGGTTTAGTTAATAGATAGTTTTAGTCGTCTAAAATTACTCAGAATCTTGTAGGAACTAAAGATCCCCGTGAACTTCTAAACAATTTTACTCAGTGTTATGTCTAAGACACTACCTGTAATTTATTTTCTTGGATAGATAAAATTCTACCAGCACTAAGGAGCTGAAAACATATTATTATTACTTGGTGATTAACACGGTTGAAAGAAACGTGTATTTGTAACTTTACTTACAAGTCCCTGTAAACTGACACGCATTCTGTAGTTATTTTCGGAATATAAACCATTTGATTATCGTTAGATGGGCATTATTATTATTATTATTATTATTATTATTATTATTATTATTATTATTATTATTATTATTGAATATCAGCTAAACCATTATTTTGTTAGAAAACTAAACACTACAGTAATTATTGTTATAATGGTTGAATTCGCTTAATTTAAAACACTTGTGTGGTTTTAGAGATAGATAGGTTCTTTCCAAAAATAGCGTGTATGTTATTCATTATCTTCTCTTATTCGTACTTTTTATGATTGCCAGATTTGCAGTGATTTCTTTCTTTCTCTTTTTTTCCCGGTCATTTTTAAACAAAACACTATCTTTGTATGTTATAGGATCCTAAAGGACAATCTGTCCCAGTCCGAGTTGTATCAGTGCCTGTAGATAGTGAATCTGTTGCTACTAATGGAGTAGTCCCATCTGTAACAAGTTTAGCCTCTGGTGATGTTAGTGATACGGGATTATTATCTTGTACATATGAACCATATTTAATTGGACCCCATAATATTCATGTTATGTTTGCTGATTCTGAAGTGGTGGATAGTCCATTCACTGTTCACAGTGTAGCTACTGGTCGAGCTGATTTATGTGAAATTAAAAGTAAGTAAAACTTATTTTAGCCACTTTTTTGTTTTTGTTATTGGCTTTTGTCAATTGTACCATTAAGTATCATCTACTTAAGAAATACATTTTTATTGAAATAATTTTCAGGTGGTATAAAGAAAGTTATACCAGTTGGTAAAGAAAATGTCATTAAAGTGGATACTTCATTGGGTGGTAAAGGTCGTTTAACTTGTCAAGTTATTCAGCATCCAATTAAACAATCTTCATCTGCTGCTACTCTTCTCCCGGTTGAAACAGAACATAATGGTGACGGTACTACATGTGTGTATTATACACCAACACAATTAAGTGAATTAAATGTGGAATTGCGTTATGGTGGTCAACTGATTCCTAATGGTGAATTTGTTCAGAAAGTAAGTGGTTGTTTTTTGTCTTACGGTAACAGCAAATAAACAACTGTAGATTGTGACTCGAAATTGCCGAGATAACACCAATATTATTATTGATGTGGGTCAGGTTTGTACGATCTTGATGGTACAAAACAAAAGTCCACTTTGTGTTTTATGAATATTTGACCAGAGTCGAAATTAGTTACTATTTTATGTTCATCGAAAATAGGACCATTTGTACACGGATTTTGTAGACTTTGGTATCCCGATGAAAACCAATGTATAACTGAGCGTAGTTGAGAAGCTTTATGGCTTAGATTAGTAAATGATGAGTTACTCTTTCTGAGTAAATTTGTCTAAAAGACTTATGAAGTACAACGTGCACAATATTATTGAAATGGGCATGCGAATATACCTGGATATCTTCATTTGCTTATCAAAACGTTTACCAGATACGAATTTTTGTACTTGTCTACAAGTTACACCCAGTTGCCCAAACCAAAGTAGTACATGGGGAATTGTTCGGACCTGCAACTTAATGATTGGAAGTCAAACACTTTGACCAGTGAGCCACCACTCCAATCTTTATTAATACTAGATATTTCCTTTATGTGTAGCATATTTTTAAAATCCGATACCAAGTGAATCAGTTCTAATCATAACTAACCTTTAGTTTTCTGGAAACAGTTATTGTCACTCGAACTTCAGTACAGAAATTGATCAGTCTCTTTTTAGCATGTGTGGATCCTATACGAATTGCCTCGATATCGCCACTAAGTCTCAAGAAATTTGAAGCACAGATAGATGTTGGCTAGCAGTGGAATTTAGAATGTACAGGTACATCTAGTTGAATAGTCCCAAATAGGACGAAGTGCGTGTCCTGGATTCCACTACTAGCCATTATCGATTACTGTTTAAAGTTGTCATAACTCACCTTCCTCATATTCTGTCTGCCATTATTATTATTTTTACTATCATTATCATTATTATCATAACTGACAGTTTTTGTGAATTTTATTTTCTCATACATTTAGGTAGTCTCCCCTGAAGATATTATAGATGAAAATGTAAGTGGATTATTGTCCTCACACTATAAGGGGTTGCATGATTAATTCATAATGATTTTATGATAATTAACAATTTTTTTCTGTTAGTTTTATGTATTGCTTCTCGCCAAATTGATTGTTTTCCCCTTCTTTTCGTTACAAAATCTGCCCTTAAGTGACCACATTAAACATGAATTATTTATTCATTTGTAACTGATTTAATTAAACACCAATGAATTTTGTTTTTTTGTTTAATAATCCAGTAAACATTAAACAGATCTTTTTAAATAAAAAAAGTGTAATAACTGTATTGATACATCATTTGAATCATCCTTCATAACTACTTTGAATACTAAATCAGCAGTTCTGAGGTTAAGTGCAAAGTACTAGGTGAAGAAGGTGTGGATCGGTTCATGGGGAAATATGTCTATTAAATACTGCCTAACTCAATTGGTTGTATTTACTGACGTAGGAGTCGTTTGGTAGTCTAGAAGCGCTTGAATCAATGTGTAGAATCATTTTATGAAATCAGTAACTATTGGATTGAGTCATGTAGATAGGTAGATGAAAACTGCCTTGTTAGGGCCAGCAAGATTATCGTAACTAAATGGTTGAGGACGTTGGATGATCACAGTGTCACAGATATCTTTCTTTAGATTTTGATATTTCAAATAATTTTCGACTTTTGTTCCACAAATTCATCCATACTTCTCCAATCTGATTATCTATACTTGATATTGTCTACTGCAACTGATAATGTTACAGCTTCTACTCTGGTATTTGTTGTGATTATTTCATATTACCGTGATGATGTAGTGTGGCAACTTGAATGTATCCATATATGTCAAATCCTACGTTGACTGACTGGTACGATTCAACTGGATCACTTCTAAAGTTAATATATTTTTTGTAGTTAAAGCTTTTTATATTTGTGATTTTAAATACTTAGATTTTTTTAGTATTATCTAAGACAATGAAACTGACATTATTGTCGAAAATATCATTATATACCATAAAGTATATCGTTGTTTGCTTTGAAGCTCGTGTTGATAAATTTTTCAACAAAATATATATATGGTTAAGCGCCACTCTGCTCGATCAAGTGAAGCGATATGAACATAGAATTTTCCTTAACCTCTACCCTAACTATTATTTGGTTGTATTATTTTTGATTGTATTTTCTTCAGTCTCATTCGAATATGTACCGACCTGTTGTATTTCGTCTGCCAGCTCCTCGAAATAAAGCAAAAATTGAAGGTATTGTTTTTATAGTTTCTGTTAAATGTTTTGATTAACAAAAAAGACCTAAATCTGTTATTGACAAAATTCGTGGAACATGGAGCATCGTTAAGCATGTTAGACATGCTAAATTTCACATATGTATAGCGAATGATGAAATATTGTTTTAAATAAGGGCTGACAAATAAAATTCTACATATATGATGAACTCATACAAACAATCTGTATAAACATAATGGTGCAGAATGAACTACAATTATTGATTGATTGATGGTAAAAACAACATGTCCTACAACAGAACCTATTTATATCCCATATTAAGATGACATATTTACCCATTTCTCGTCAATCTGTTCTCCTAATAACTGTATGCACTACAAAGTATTTTACGATTTTCCAATTAATACCCACTCTGATAAGTTCAATGTATGTTGTAATCTCATGTTAACCATGATGACTAATTTAACCCGAAGCAAATAACCGTGCATACAATCATTTAATGACGAGACTATAATTTGTGGACGAATCAGTCAGGTAAAAGATAACAGGTCTTAGATTTTGGCGCGAAATTCATTCATCCACTTGGGATTATATCTGATGTCAGTTCGTGATGAAAACTCCAAATCTAATTCCTAACCTTGAAAATCAACTGTAAATTGTAATTCTAATTTTTTACACAAGTTTATAATCTTCATTTGGTCCTAGTTGTTAAGTGGACTCTCACAAGGTCACTTTAGCGTCCCTCATAGGTCGTTTATGAATTATAGTCTCATCCATTTAATTTAAAGGAATATATATATATACCACAATTTGAATGTATTTTACGCTATATATATATATATATATATATATATATATATATATATATATAACCTTTGAACGGTACATTAGAACATGTTCAAACAATTATTGGGATGAGAACAGCTTTTATGATCAGATTTATTTCTCATAATTTTGGGGAAAAAATTCCGATTAGATTAGAGTCTCACAAATATAATTTATTCTATTATACACTCGACGGCCTATGCTCCATTGGGAGTAACAGACCTAAGTAAATAAGTAATTATATACTCCATACCTAACTGTAGTGAAAATGTTCAAACAAATCATGAGAAAACTAGTTTATATCTGTTTTTTCAATGTTTAATATATACGGAATGCCTAGAATTTTTCTGTTCATTTACTAAGTAAAATGGTGTATATACGATCATAGTTTTTACTGGGGATTTCATTTTCTTTTTTCTTATTCGACAAGTTGAAATGCGCTACAGTGGCGTTTTCAAAAAAGTTATATCTATATAACTTTAGATAACTCAATGAGCTCATGTACTTTGATTCTTAATATTTTTGGTAGTTAGCTAACAATAAAATCCAGAACGTACTATTCGTCTTATTTACAACTCGTCAGCTAGATGTACTTCCATTCTAGTGCGTTGACATTCACAATGAGATTCGAGTCCAGTACCTTTTACTATAAACGAATAATCCATTGTCCATTGATCTAATTTGTTCAACACGTATAATGCCTGACAGGTTGCAATCCCAAATATCAATAATCAGAATTTTCTTATTAAAAAAACTTTATTTCTGTTTTTACTATGATTATGTCGTTATCTCATATCTGTTCAAGATCATTTTTAACTCACTATAATTCTTTTCTCAACTATTCTTTCTTGTTATTCATTTTAGCCATTGTATTACGTCCGTCAGGTTTGCAACAACAAGTTCCAGTTAAAATGAATGATGATGAAACAATTACTATAACATATGATCCTGTTGAACATGGAATGCATGAATTACGTATAAATGTTCATTCACCTGTAAAATCTGGTTCACCAGACAGTACAATCTCTATGCCATTACAAGGTAGTCCATATAAATTTTATGTGGATATTACTGGTACTGGTCGAATTACTGCATATGGTCCTGGTCTTAGTCATGGTATAACTTCTCAATTAGCTGAGTTTACTATTGTTACTAAAGAAGCTGGTGTTGGTAAGTATCTCTGTTGGCTTAACGTAACTGTTATCATATATTTCTTTATTAGTCTCATTCACCAAGTATCGGTTCATGTACTTAGTGATCAATGAATTGTAAATTCATCTAAGTCCTACATGAGGTTAGTCACGACCTGGACAGTTCAGATGTATTTTCTGTGACTGTGTGGTACGTGGTCGAATCCATTAGAGAGTATCAGTTCCCTCAAGATTACAGGTACACCTTGCAAATAGTATGAAGCCTAGGTCCACAGTTTTCTGTCGACTACCTCCGACCACCATTTTACATCTCCAGCTACAATTTATTCTTAAGGGCTAATAATACTACCCCATCGCTCAAATCTCGAAGTATGTGGAGCACGGTTTGAATCTACACCTTAATCACTGAACCACTACTTCACTTTTATCATAATTTCTGTTTAAATGAAAATATAACAATAATTTAAAAATCTCTGTGAAATTAAGGAATTAATCTAATGAGAAAAAACACCATTAGTTGTTAGAATCAGTGGAAGTTTATTTGTTGAATTGATATTAGAATCGAAATACGTCTGCAAATCGTATTTTTCTGTCTTTATCTGTAAGCTTTCAAAATTACTCAATCATTGAAATGTGAATAGAAAGTTAAGTAGTTCCCTTTAGTTCAGTCAATAAATGATAAACATGTATATTTATAATTATTAGTAATTGTTTGGTTGAACTTATAATATTTATCAATAGTACCGAATAAACGTTTATGCAATTAGTAAAGATATTACCGTAATAAGAATAATGATGTAACACGGCAAAATTCAAATATCTTCACCACTCTCTTCATTGAAAGTTTATCTACTAATGACTAATATTAAAAGGGAATTCTTGGAATTCTAGTAAGACTGATTAAGAGTTTATCCAGGTTGGATGTGAAGTAAATTATCACTGGTTGAAATAGATAATAATGATAAAATATTGCGAATTGATTGGAGTTAAAAAAAAAGTGAAAACGATCAAATAAATCGAGTTCAGTAGTATGAATGTTTAGACCTCTCTACAAGGTTTGAAGGTCATGGTTGTGGTTACACACTGCTGTGGATTCTTATCCAATAAGACGTAACATGTATCCAGTCTTACTTGCTTTTAATGGTCAATGTCTAATAAAAGTCAATCCATGACGTAAAATTACCAAAAAAATATAGACTATCTGATTATACACTTTTTATTCTGTCATATTAAATAAAACACATCAATAATTATACAGCATAATTTTCACAAAGGTTGAATATTGGCTGACAGCTGTTCTGAAGACTCGTTTTTCTATCCTGTTTGAAACTTGTCGGTTGGTTGTATCTGTATCTGTGTATTGATGCTCACACTGAGACTAGAACCCAATACCTTTCGCTGTAAACACCAACACATTATTCAGTGAGCTACTGAGTCCAGCTTGCCACTAGAAAGTATGACCTGTGTGGATTTTATTTTGTGAGAATTTTCCTGTTTTTGATGTTATAAGTTGTATATACACGTTAATGATCGGCTGTCTCAGTGGATAACACATTGCAGCTGGAGGCGAAATGTACTGGGTTTGAGTTTCTGTGTGGAGGGTATCGGCACATCCAATCAATAAGTTCCATAGATGGCAAAACAAGTATCCTTGATACGACTGTTGACCATTATCCAAATACAACAAAATATTACAACCAATTGGCAATGTTGAGTAGATCCACTCAGTATGTACAAATGTCAGTAGAGATTCTTACTGTCACCAGCGGGAATATACAATCCTTTGCAAATATGGACATAACTAAAAGGTACAGTGACTAAACCCTTTTATATTGAATTTAAAATGTAGATCTTTGGATAATGTGCGCCATACGCACTTTTTTTCAATTCTTCTAATTTGTTTTTCTTATGCTAGGTGGTTTGTCGGTGTCTGTAGAAGGTCCTTCCAAAGCGGAAATACAATGTGTGGAGAATGCTGATGGTACTTGTAGTGTCAGCTATTTGCCACTTGCACCTGGTCAGTATACAATAACAATTAAATTTGCAGATGAGCATATACCTGGATCGCCATTTATCGCTAAAATCACAGGTAAGCCAATTAATAACGAGACTGATGACCTCGTGGTTATTGTTGTTTGTCCTGTGATTTTCTTAAGAACAGTGTACTGTAATTCCTGTGTTGTAAATGTGTGTACATAGATTTCGGTTATTCAATCTGTTATACTTTGTCTTAAGAATAACCCATAACGAAGCAGTTACTAAATAGATCGAGTAAGACATATGTTTCAGTTTTCTCGATTAATCAAACTCTTTAGACTTCAGGAATTTTATCATGAAGTTAAACACTAGTGAGTACGTTATTATTATTATTATTAGTGGTGGTAGTGTAAAGATTTTGTGGAGATTCTTGGATTATTTTACATAGTTTATAAGCTGATCAAGATATCAAGCGCTCGTCCGATACCGTAGGTTCGATCGCTTGCGACAGGGTCGTGGATTCACACTCCTGTGGAGTCCTTTACCAGTAAACACTAGCTGTCCAATGCATCCAGATTTTCAGCAGTAGTTTAACTCAGATCAGTCCGTGATGTAATTTACGAAGATTTAGTAATCTCTGAAAAATGTTAATTTATTCCCTGAAATATATATGTATGTATATCTGGTTACTGTGTATATAGGCCCTAAATTATCGATTATGAAAGGGAACGGTAGGTTCTTCGCTTCTGTTTTTTCTTAATTTATGCACATTTATTTTCAATAATTAAATTATATGTGCTAAGCACCCTATTATGTAGTGAATTATCACTTATACACTTTTTTAAAAATTTTCGTAGCCTTATGCACTACTTATTACTGTTATTTGTTCCCCGTAGATTGTTGTTGTCCCCCGCTTAATTTTGTCTGTTACAGACTAGTATACGCAATAATAATAATCGCAATGTCCTGTTCGAAACTATCCTACATTAGCTACTTGAGAATAGTAGAAAAGAAAGGTTTCTTAACCTCGTATACAATATGAACACAGTTTAGCTAGACAACCATTGAAAATCAAAGGGTACTGAACATTTGTTTCTCCATACAATCAAACTTTGCTCCAGCATTTCGTACTCACAATCCATTCGGTGATGAAACCCTAAAAACGTGGGACTTCGCTGTGAGCGCATTGTTTTCAGACCTTTTGCTTGGTATCCATCCATGCACATTTCCATCTTCATTACTATATTACTGCATGACCGTCAGTGATGTCTGTCTAACGCTGAACAAGGTTTAACTTCATAGACCACTGCTCCTCATTAATAAACATCTGATTACAAAGAGAACTAACACTTAGATCGTAAATCAACCACAACTCGGTCCCTAATGAGATTATGAACACGCCGTACTGAGAAGCCTTATAATATTTAAACGAAACAACTATTCGGTCCTTCCTCGTTTTAAATAATTGTCCAGTTTGAATGAGTCCATGTTTTAAACTATCTTCATACATTAGAGTTGGTGACTCTATCCATATAATCTCTATGAGTTGATTTCCAACCAAGGAATTCATGTGTTATGTTGTAGATTTGTTGTATTTTTATTCATTCATGAATCTTAATCGTCACCACTGTTTATATTCCCATATTGTTTTACCCTTTTTTATGGTAATAGACGTATGCTTACCATTTTCCTTTCCTAACCCAAAGCACGCTAGGTTCTTCCTAGTTAATTTGTAGCTTATTTATTTTACTGAACTAGAAATAGGTTCTGAGGGGAGCAAATAGCTCTCCTGCTTCCGCGTTTATTATTGTTGAATGTCACCGTTCATGTAAAAAAATTTTATGTTTAATACTTAAATGTTTATACACTATTGACCTGAAGAATACACTTAAAATAAGTAGGAACCAATTATCTGAATCAATTGTTTAACCGTTCAAATACAGTGGACTTTTGTTGTTCATAATATGGGTGGAATGATCAATTGTTTGGAAACTGAATCAGTGGGAATGGTGAGAAGGGATTTGTAGCACTTTAGAAAAAGAAACCACTATCTACTTCAACATGCAATGCTATATGATGTATGTGTGAGTTAGAAGAAAGTTAAGAGCTACCAAATCAAAATTTATGGACTCATCAACTGTTAAACTAAGCCTATGTCTGTAGATGCAAGCTATCTAATTGGGGTCAACACAGCAACCATGAACATTGGTTGAAGTAACATCATGGCTCTGAATCAGTCACGGTGGAACAAATGTATGTACTCTGTATCTTACACTAGATCTTCATAACTTCAGTTTTTCTTTTTTTGCAGGCAGTTTAGTTATTTAGTTACTTGTATTATTTCGCATCGTGCTTATCTAAAATGACTCCGTTGTTCATTAATTTAATACCAGCTAACTCTTCTTATTGATTTCAAGTAGTTGAATAGTCAAATTCTTTTTTTTTACAAAAGGAAAGGTTTTTCGTTCTTAATTTTGCGGAGTTTTCGATACTTATGTTGTTAGTTGTAATTATTATGAAAAATTGTTACAAAGGGTCATCAAAATATATAAGCACCACACAAACCATTGCATTTGGGTTGTAGGCTGGGATACTGCTCGGGTGATCAAACCGAAGCAGATGGTTTTCTAAAGAGGTCACTTCCCGAGCCTTTGACCTGGAGGTCTAATCCACAAGGCAGTGGATACTTGTTTTCACAAGTCATGTATAGATATCCGAAAGAAGAAAATAACTGTCTAATAAAATTGTTCCCCTGTATCAAGAAAACAATTATTGTTACATTAGACTAGTTCTCATCTTTCATGCGAAACTTTATTTACATTGCAACGTTTGAAATCAGTATTCTGGTGAAAGTGAATTCAATAGTTTCTGGCATCTTTTTCTTACCTTGAAAACGTCTTTTTAGTTTAATGGAATTTTGTTTTGATGCAAACCTGTGACCATCACTGATAAGTCAGTGGATCACATTGCATACTTTAATTACCTGGAGAAACCAAATTGCCAGTCTTGTTTTTTTTTCAAAAAATTATTCTTAGTCAATCTCATTATCAATTCTTTATATTGTTCCGTTTTTCCGATACTCTACAATCAATATTTGCCGTTATAAAATAGATTACAATACTATCACCGTTCTTTGGTGGTTTCTTTCGATCCTGCCCATTCTCTTTATAATGGTACTTTACTTAGTTGTAAGATTCACCATTACCGTATTTCCCAATTCTCTTTTTTCATCCCAATAAATATCATGCTCTCTTAAGTAAAAGTATCTTTTGAATATGATTTCATTCTCTTATTTACGAATGAGATGTTTCATTAAATAGTCTTTGTGTGTGACTGTAATGACGTACTGTTGAAACTAAGTTCTGCAACCCTAACTTATATCTTTTTTATATGAAATCTTAATCGGAGAATCGTTTTTTCTATTCAGGTGATTTATTGAAACGTTCTCAAGTAAGCATGGGTGCGCCAAGTGATATTGCTTTGGAAGCTGTTGATGAAGATATTGCCACTTTAACAGCTAGTGTTCACAGTGCATCTGGTCGAGAAGAGCCATGTGTATTGAAAAGTTTGCCTAATAATCGTTTAGGTATGTGTATGCCTTTCTTATTCAATTAATTTTTTTATTTAATGAAATCCAAGAGAAAATAGTGCATTATGGTTGTTTCTTTCTAACCAGTATACTAATGACTTGAATCCCGAAATAATCGACTTAACTAAATGATAGTCTGAGCTATTACATATATATCACATCCATGCACTCACATCCCACCTTCAAGGTCGAAGGTGGGTGAGAGATTCGAAACGAGATAGGCTATTGGAGGAAGTCAATTAAGCACTTACTCATTCTCCTAGCTTACTCGTCTTTATTTAGATTAAAAGGACAAATTTATGCATACCAATTGTTGTGGTTCTGTTTTGACAGTTGAACCTAGCACCTTTTTTCAATCTCACTTGCATAGTGAGTTTAGTGCATCACAGGAGTCAATGTATCGTAACTAATTTGAACTCAAAGATACATAATTCAGTTAACTGAGAACCGAAAAATTGCCAGGAAGTAAAAGTGAGGTATATCTTACTCACCATTGTTTCATGAGTCTTTAGGTAGGTAGGTGTACTGTGGCTTGTGCTACTGATGTCGACAGACATAAGTAGTATGTATCATCAATCGAAAGTGAAATGCCTGGTGGCAGACGATTAAGAAGATCGAAGAAAAGAGAACCAGAACGAAGAATGGTTGGTGTGGAAACGAAAGAACAATAAAGTTTGAGACGATCAGCCAATTTCATCTATTAATTATCATAGGTCCTAAACGTTTTTGCTTATCATGCAATTGTATTTCAAAGCATTCTTTTGTATATATTATCTCAATTTTTTAGGTATTTCATTCACTCCTAAGGAGGTTGGTGAACATCTGGTTAGTGTATTTCAAGCAGGAAAGCATATAGCCAATAGCCCTTTTCGAATTCGTGTTTCTGATAAAGAAATCGGTGATCCACGACGTGTACGTGTTAGTGGACCAGGTTTAATATCTGGTTTATCCAATAAACCTAATCAATTCACAGTGGATACACGTGATGCCGGTAATAATATGGTTTTTTGTGTTGTACATAATTTTTCGAGTACTATATCTGTTTGAAGCACCACTGATCATCATATATTTCCATTTTTTACTGAATCTTTTTCTATTAACATATAAATTAAATAACTATTCAAATGCTCTGATAGACTAGACGTATACCAGTAAATTTGTTTCAATACAACTTATATGGCATTGTAGTAAATTAGTCGACTCATATAAAACATTACACATAACAAGTGTCTCTGTGTAGTGTATGCTACTTATGCTGACAGATATAAGTAGTGTGTAGAACAAATCGGATGTAGAATGTCTTCCATCAGAAGATTGAATAAAAGAGAACAGGAAAGGAAATAGTGAGCAATTGTAACAACAACGGAGTTAGAAGAATTATGAAGCACGTACAGGACAAATGAGGGAAGATGTGTAAATAATATATTTAATGTATGACCTTCGTATTTTATGAAGGCACTCTGTCATTTTGCTCCAAACAATAAATTGGTTATTCCCACCAAGTCTTGGTTCACTATATCAGTAGGTTTTTTACGAACCAAGAAGCTGTTTTTCTTATAAGTTTAGATACTTAAGTATTTAGTATTAAAATAATCTTTAGTATAGTGAATTGGTGTCATAATGGTGTACTCCTCGATCAGTAATATCATCATTTCCCGGGTTTCTTCCTCCGAACATAGTGTATGTTACAATCACATTTTCGTATGCTGATCCTCTGTTACGTATGATATTTGGTCGCATTTGATAATTACTTTAAAGGTATCTTTCAATACTATAATTTATCTTGAAGTTTACGGAAACATCTAGTGAATGATTTGTAATTATAACTGTTGCCTACACCAGTACATATGTACTTAGTAACAAATCAATCAATATGTTTAGAATACGTACCTTCAGTTATATTTAAAACGATGTAGAAATGGCATACTGAAACTTCTCAGCAGAGAGGTAAGAGGTGAGCACATACATGAACAAATGCAGTTGGAGTAGTTTGTAATTTCTGTTCTCTTTTTTAATTATCAAGATCTTTGATATATATATTCAAAGTAACATTTTTATTTTTACAAAGTTATGTAATGTCATAGATTTCGTTTATTTTAAAATACTCTGATGCATGTAGGTTATGCTGGTTTAAGTCTCTCTATCGAAGGTCCAAGTAATGCGGATATAGAATGTCACGATAATAATGATGGTACATGTACTGTTATCTACACTCCAACGGAACCTGGTCAATATGCTATCAATGTAAAGTATGCTAATGTTCACGTCCCAAATAGCCCATTCTGTGTTGATATCGGTGGAGAACCTTCAATGAAAATGATGGAACGAATTACTAGACGACGTGAAGCATCAAAAGTTACATGTGTTGGCAGTCGATGTGAATTAAGTCTACGGCTTACAGGTTAGTGTACAAATGGAATTTTTTTATTTATTATACTGTGTGTTGTTTAATTAAATACCGTATATCTTGGTAACTACTGTTTGTATTATATATTTGCAAGTGGTATTTGTAACATCATATTGTAACTTAACTATCCTAACCAAAGTAATAACTCATTAACTTGGAATTCGTAATTCGATGCTTCACATTCGAGTTCATATGACTGTGAAATAATAAGCAGTATATCATAGAAAGAATAATTGTCATTTCAGTTCATTTTCTTTTTTCAATCTGCTGGCAGAGTCCCAAAATATCCTTTATCAAAGTTTCTAGAGGACCGGAAACACCATAAAATGTTTTTTTTTCAATAAGAGTTGAGTAGAATCCTCGCAAAAACATCTAGAAAATGCAGAATCATATGCCAAAGTCTTAGTTTGATATTCACCTATAGTACTACCATATTTATTATGGTTCCAGAAGTTTCAATAACCATCCAAGGTCGTGTGTAACTTCATAAATACTCTCGTTTTGTCTGTACGTAAAACTAACCCTATAGCAAAGCTTTTACGCGCAATTCATGCCTCCTCTCTGGTGTTCCAGTTAACTTGTGGAAGTAGTTTGGACCATCAGAACTGACTAGGAAGATAGCTTAGGCGTGTCATGGTAGCAAGACTTATCACAAGCCAAAAATTTAAAAAATATATTGAAATGAGTTCCCTGCGTTTTTATTACAAATCGGTATAAATTTATATTTTAACGGAATAAACCAATGGGATATTTCTAATTAGGCTTGTCATATTTCTTGAAATTCTAAATAACAGATCTTAACTAATTTATTTCTACGTTGCACTCGTCACTAATTGATCAAAGTTCAGATGCCATATTTAAAACCAAGGAGCACTGGATAACTAACTGTCTCATCTTAGTGATGGGATACCTGATCACTGTTCACCTACGAATCGACTGAGGACCGAACTCAGGTATCACAACTAAGGCTTGAAAGTTAGTACCAATGGATGTGTTTTAATGACTGGTAAATGTCTCTTGTTAGGAAGAATTATATCTGTGTCTATTTTATTGATATAAACTCTTAAGTTCACACAATAACATCATTCGAAGAATGCAGTAAACCGTATGTGATATTCATCCTAGTCTTCTCAACATCTATACACAACTTGCAAGTTATCATTTCCGATTTGTTCATAAATTCAAATAGCCATTTTGTTTTATTTGTCTTAATGTATATATATAAGTCAATTTATCATTTTCAAATTATTCCAGACACAAATCCAAATGATTTATCTGCTACAATCACTTCACCTTCTGGTCATACTACTCGTTGTGAAATTGTTCCCATCGATAATGAACATTATAACATTAAGTTTATACCACAAGAAATGGGTGAACATTTAGTAACTGTTAAACACAAAGGAATTCAAATATCAGGTAAATTGTGTTAATATTTGATAATTACTGTATACGAAATATACATTATCTAGTCAAAGAGCACAGAATGTCTTGTCTTCGGAATTTATAATTACTGAAGCGACTCGAAATTGTGTTATTCAATGAAAACGTGGTACTATACTGTTTTGATTCAGCTATGAACAGTTTGTTAACAGGGTATTATTTCTTTTTATTACGAAATACTTTTATTGACATTAGAACATGATGAAAATCAGCTGGATATTAGTTATCTATACCTATTTCGTTATATAAGTAGTTTTATTTTCAGTACATTTGATGATTTTTGATGTTTCAATAGTAGATTCATTTAATTAGTTTAAAAAAGGATAGATCCTGAGAATATCACACCTCACCTTGTCCTATAAATTTTCATTGCTGATGATAAGACCTTAAAAGTATACACTTAGCATTTCAAGACTAGTCTTTAACAGGTCGTTAATAACAAGCTTCAAACAGTTGCCCCTTGTACTCTGCAATCATGTCTTCAAGTCTTCAAGTGCATAACCTTATGTAATTTCCTCTTCAAGTCCCTTCCATGGTCTGGACGATCAAGAACTGATAATTGCCCACACACATGTTGAAATCACCTCATTTACGAAAACTTTGACGAAACTATTACTTATTTATTATTTATTTTAACACATAGATATTGGTACAAAGAGGCACCAAATATATATGCGCCACACAAATCTCATTTGATATGTGTAAGGGCTGTGATACTGCCCGGGTGCACAAACCGAAGCAGGTGGTTTTCTTAGGGAGCCACACCCGGAACCTTGGACCTGAAGGTCTGATCCACAAGGCAATGGAGCATCGTAAGAAGACGCAGTACCGTGGTACCCGATGATCAACGATTGGTTCATACGCCATTTGTTTCTTCAGGATACTGGATCCCATGTGCACTATTGGTTTGGAATCAGGGTTTTCCAACTTCCCTAGGTGGACTCTCAATGTCCACCAACCCGGTTAAAGCGCCGGGCACTCGCTTTTCGTCCTCTGAATTTCGTAAACAACACCGCCACGAGAAGGCAGTGAGTAGGACTTCCCTGACAGAGGCTATATACTCATGGCCATGTGAGAGCATTTCGAGAGGGAGAGCGGACTCTCCCGACTCTCTGCCGTATCAGGGCATTTGGGGTCAAACTATTACTACTTCACTCATATTCCATAGATTTGTTGTTTTTTTTTGACAAGAAGTGGTCAATTTTAGACTAAACCAAGAAAAAAGTTTTACCAGCTTCAATCAGTAAAAATCTCCTATAGATGATGTTTATCACTAGAATACTGAAAATATCATGTTTTCTTTTGTTACGTCTCATAAAACTCTTTGTTATCAGAGAGTTTCACATTTGTGACAAGGGTTATTATAACATTTTCAAGAAACTATTGTACAAGTCATATGAAATTTGAAAATATGACAGAATATAAATTGTGTGAATGTTCATTAATAGCACATAGACAATGACTTCATACTTTTCACGTTATACTGTATCCTGTTATTTTAGTCATGATACTAGGATTCTTTGTGGATTCAGTAATATTTTATAGTCATCACTTTTCATCAATTTGGTATTGAAATGAAACTAGATATAAAAATGATCTTAAACTGTTTATTCAAAATGGTTCATAGTATTCATGGTTTATTCAGTATATTCAATGTTTTCTACTGTCTACTGATACACTAGATGATGATGCTTTGTTTAGAGGAGTTTATTATGTTAAAGTAGATAACAGATGTTTGGAAAGTTTTTTTCCATTTTATTGTCGTTGTTCACATACTTCTACAATGTATAGTTGAGAAAGTTACAGTACCTTTACTGATTTAAATACTATAACAAATACTACGTTACATGGTATCAATCATAAATTATCTTTGTTTTGTCATTATTATTATTATTATTAAATATTTTCCAGGGAGTCCATTCCACTTTACCGTTGGTCCAATCACTGATGGTGTAGCTAACAAAGTTAGAGCAATGGGTTCTGGTCTTCAAGAAGGATGGACACATATTACTAATGAATTTTCAATATATACACGCGAAGCAGGCGCTGGAACATTGTCAATAGCAATGGAAGGTCCTAGTAAAGCAGAAATTGATTGCGATGTATGTATGTGGTGGAAATTTATTTTAATGAATAATAATAGTCATTATCGTTTTCATTTTATCCTTAGAAATATTGTTTCTTTACTGCATCAGCTTTCTGACTGCTTTGTGTTTCTAATAGTTTCATTAACTCCAGTGGATTGAGATTTGACGAAACTCCTGGTTGATAAAGTAGGTAGTAGATCTTAACCTCCCGAGGTGATTCGGATAATTTTTACATATGCTTAATCACCGCCTGCCTCGACACGCAATGTTTACTCACATAGAATTATAGTGGAAAATTATTATTGATTGCCAAATTAAAACCTATCACCTACACATCAAGTCCTTGACTGAGACGTGTATTAAGATACAGAATACCTGGTTGGAGTTGTCGTGGTTATTGTGATCAACTGTTGAATACATTCCATAATGTGGTTAAAAATCGATCATAATCTCACAGATTTATTCTCTCTTGAATTTTAAAGCTGTCATATGTTAGATTCCTGCTCAATGAGCGTTGAATTTCTGGTGCATATGTTTGCATCTTCTGGATTCTTCAATCCACAGATAAAAATCAGACATTTAAGTTGATTCACTTTAATTCCATTTTTAAATCATTCACATTCCCAATTTACTTTTCTAGCATGAGTGAGATAATCATCGGATGGAGATTTTGATATTTGAAAGCACTGATAGCGAACGTTGAATATTGACGACTGTTTCCCAAAAAATTTAGATAAGATTTATATTGTGTCATTAAAAGATAACTCTCTAGGATTTTGTCCCAGAATGATTTTATTATTTTATTTATTTGAACGCATAAATTTGATACAAAGGGGCACCGAATACATGTTCCCTACACCGCCTGATTGGTTGACAAGATAGAGAGAAGACGGGTCAACTGAAACACTACTCAATTTATTCCTGATCTCCATTCAAATTAGTGTAAAGGGATACATAAATAAATAGGTGACTAACATGAACACAACGCACAAACAATTAGAAGAATACAATTATATCCAAACTGGGCATTAGGGTAAAAAAAGAGTACAAAAGGTTGCGTTTAAATAACAATAACTTTGGAATAAAAAGGGGTATGACAGTGAACCATACATCAAACGAAAGCTAATGGTTTGGTAAATAAACTAGGGACAAAACTAAATGTTGGTGTTTTACAATCTTTGAATTGAGTGAAATAACGTCCCCCAATAATAGCTTTCGTTGTTTGTCATGGCTTCCTTGTTTCTCTATTTACATCATGAATATACTGTATATACTTTCTTTCTTGTTTTATTTTTTCTCATCTCAGGAAAGACGCGATGGTTCTTCAGCTGTACTGTATCGTGTTACAGCACCAGGCACATACGTCTGCTCACTTAAGTTCAATGATGAACACATTCCTTGTTCCCCATTCCGTATACATGTTTCTGACTCCACACAAACTAGACGTATAGCATCTTACATTCTACCCTCTCGTACCACTGATGTCCACTCTGCTCGCAGTACATCCAGTAAAGAAGAAACACTTCGAGTGAGTTTGTTAAACGTATTATTTATACATATTTATATTGGTTTAGGGAGAGGCAATCTTAAAGATTATTGAATTCTCGTCTTTCACACTACGGACTGACCTAAATTAGACAGCTGCCATAAATTAGGAAGCCGTGGATAGTTGTTTCGTCCTAATATGGGACCCAACCGGGGATCGAACCTAGGGTCTTCAGGCCTTGAGTCAAGTGCTTATCCTTCAGATTATTACTAGTATAAAATTACTATCAGATTTGACAATCTCTACAAATGCTCTATATATTAATGATAATTATAAACTCACTAATGACTAATTTCGAGGTTTTATTCCCAGAGCCGTAGTAAAAAACTGTAGTCAGTGGTATTCATATTTAACTTACCATATCTTTTTTTGATTAGATTGGACGTCCAATAGCCTTCACTGTACATCATGTTGAAACCCCTGGATATATTTTAAAAGCAAAAGTATCAACTCCTTCAGGTACTCATGAAGATGCTATTGTTCAACCTATTGATCCAGATCAATTTGTAATCCGTTTTGTTCCACGTGAAGGTGGTCCACATCTAGTTCATGTACATTCTGTACCTATAAAGGATTCAAATAAAGCTGATTGGAGTTTTGGTCCAAATTCATTGTATAAATCAATTCAAGGTTCACCTTTCCGCCTTGTAGTTAGTCAGCATGCTGCCGATCCAGGTATGGTATGTGCTTCTGGAGAAGGATTACGTAAAGGAAAAGTTGGTACGTTCACTGATAACATTCTTTTAGTTAATTAATAATAATGCCAATGTTATTTTGAGATAATCGTGGATATTTCGATTCAGAAAATGTTTTCATAAGTAATCGACAGCTTTATATTTAGTCAAATAACTATTCATTACTTGGATTAATGAAATAAAGTTACATTTTTCCAACTACACTGATGTGAAACTTATTTTCCTGGGATAAACAATAAGAATGATTGTCGTTCACCGATGCTAGATATTCAGACAAAACAATTGAATGAGTCTCTCATACGTTGATACAACTTAAATCGAGAAAATGTTATGTGTTTGACGAACATTTGTATACTATCCCAATAAAATGGTTAGAAAAATACTTTAATTGTCTGTCAGCATATTCATTAGCCAAACCCAATTTATTATGATCGAACACAATCACACTTTCATCTTCTACTTAACCAATTTTACGAATACAAGGTGTTTTATTCAAATTAAGTAAGCATTGAATAGAACGTTACATCTTGCTTTTTTTTGAAAAAAAAACTCATTCCTATACTATACTGTTGCTCTTATTTCTAGTTATCTCATTGTATTCTCAATTCGGGTATAGATCACCTCTTAGCATATACGTTACTTTATATCTTCTCTATAATATTTACAATACTTAAATTCAATTGGCATTGTTTTACTTGAATCTTTCCTTTGATGTTTAGAACTGTAATTGATTAGTCTGTTATTGGCATATGTGCATACTGTGCGTATTGCCTCAATATGACCTTAATTCACAAGCATTATAAGCAAAAATGGATAGTGGCTCGTGTTATACTGCTAGCCACTATCCATCTTTATTTACAACACTTTTAGTTTTAAATGAGCTCATATCAATTATCTATGCCAATATTTCTGTCCAATTCTATTGATACTTGTTCTTTATAACTAAATCTCTCTTATATTCTTTCAATGAAATTACTTCAAAGCTATTTCTACACTTTATATCACTTATTCCTAAAACTTAACACATACACTTTCAATATTTCAACGAATCTGATCATGTTCGTTACTCTATTAATCCAGCTTTCTCCCATTTATTGTGTAATTCAAACTGGCAAACTAATGTATTATACCGATCGTATTAATTATGATATAATAATGATAATAAATTGCTTATTACAAATGTACACACATAACATTAGTCCTTGCAATTCTATGCTACTCATAAAACTCAGTTGATTCACTTGAATATAGATAGTTTGAAATCTTTAATCTTTTACATATATATCATCATGACAATAATTGAAGAAGTATTCATCAAATGTATTGTATATAGAGTTCACCTTGTCAACAATTTAATCTTATTTTTGAATGTATAATCTCATTAATTAGATTAGAAGGTTTTACAAATAAATCAAAGTATTATTATTATTATTCTAGATGTGAAGAATTCCTTTTTCGTTAATACTACTAATGCTGGTTGTGGTGTACTAAATGTCACAGTCGATGGACCAAGTAAAGCAACTGTTACTAGTCAAGAACATGATGAAGGTTATGCATTTTTCTATACACCAACTGTTCCAGGTATTTATGAAATAACTATTAAATATGGTGGTAATTTTCATATAAGTGGTTCACCATTTCGAGTAAGTAATAGTAATTATATACTTTATTTTCTCCTAGTCTATATTATTGTTATAAAAATGTAATACATCGAATAATTAAACAAACTATCACATTGGTCACCACTTAATGATCCATCACTTGTAAATACTTCAGTTCTTAAAGCGGTTAGCGCCATTTCGAATCCTACAGAGAAGCTAAGTCTTGCTATTGAGTGCCATTTAGCACAAAACTTATATTTAAGGTCTCTTGCGACTACCTAATACCAAACCATAGTTCATCCAATGTCAAGTCACTTGCACTAGTAACCACGTCTCAACTTTATAGAAAAAATTCGGTCAGCACCAAAGGATTAAACAGCATGAGATTTCCCCACTTCTCTAGTGATCAATTAATTGCAAATATAATTATCCATCATCAAATATCTCAATTTGTTATTATGATTAAATAAATTCGAAATACGAGTAAGTTTGTTTCACTTTTCAGCCATTCTTTTGTCACCATAGTGAACAGTTATACACATTCTTTCACAAGAACTGAGTTAATTTTATGCTGAAATCTATGTCATCTGTATATATTTTGTATTCTTTTATGTGAATGATTTATGGATTATGTTATCGTTTCCGAGCCGTTAAGTCAATATTTGCTGTTCAGAAACACATTTCAGTTCATTTTGTCATTGTATGCCATCAGTGTACTTTTAAGTTGTTTTTTTTAAAAAATACTATTATCACTTGTCTTTCTAATTAGGTTGAAGTTACAGGAACGCCTAGATCAGAAGTTACTGATTCTCGTTCGGAAGATCGTCAATCAAATGTTACTTTAGAAACTGTTGGTAAAACAATGACAGGAGTGTCAGCTTCAGCTGAACTAGAAAATCACTGCTCAGGATCTCATCCTGAATTAGTCACATGTCAAGGACTTGGTTTAAAATATGCAGAACGTGATCGTCTGAATTGTTTCAATGTTGATGCAAGCCAAGCAGGTAGAACTTTATATCAATCAAATTTAGTCATTATTGATCCTTTATTTTTCTCACTTTTATTCCTTACCCAATAGGATCTTGATTACATTCTAATCTAATTTGTTATCAATCATTTTGCACAGACTAAAATTCGTTCGTTTATTTCATGATAATGATAATAATGTAATATATTCTGGAAATATTCATTCCAGTTTCCAAGCATGATCAGTTTAATGTAGATAGTAATGTTCATTGTAGAGAACAGATAGGTGATATTAAATTGTTTTAAGTTTTCTAGTTTGAAAAATATTCAGATAGTGCATTTTTCACACGTATTACAACAATGAAAGGTATCAGCAGAGAACTTTTAATTCCTTTTAAGTTGACATCCTGTTGATGTTTGAACGGTACATTTAAGGTCATTTCCTGTGCCATAACGAATTGATTATAAGCATCTATAACGGAAGCAAGAGAACACGGAAAAAAGGCAATATTTACTACGATAGGTTAATTAGGTTTACCATAATACATATGTCAGGTTATTTTATGATCTACTATTCGTGTTAGATATTATTCAGATTAGTTACGGTTGCCAGGGATGGTGTAAGTCTAAAGGTAGGTAATTTTACTTAGTGGATTTAGTGATAAAAATAGCTAAACATTTAAAGTACCTATAATCTTACCTATGGAACAAGATCATTTAATGCATTTTCAGAGTAACAGTAAGCATCGATGCAGCAAACAAAAGGATGAGAGTGATTTTATTTCAAGGATAGATTGTGGTTGATTATTCTAGAGTTGAAAATTTAGTGGTGAAGTAAATTCATATAAAGAAATGATTTAAAATGTGATTGTTTCACTAATGACAAAGAGTTACACATGCTGCATATTGAATTGCTTCACTGGATGTACAGGATAATTAATCAAGTATTTTGAAGAAAAACATTAGATTTAGTTTGTGTCCGCTCTTCCATCAAGGGTCCAGTCCAAGTTTATTACGTCTGGACTCATACTTTAAGGTACAATCAGACCCCAGAATGCGTAATGCGAATAGTCTCTGAACAGATTCCAACTTTAATTCATCATTTATGTGAACACTACTAAGAATAATCGCGCAGCATTCTGAGAGTGGTCAAGTGAAAACTTTATACATCATAATACATGATTCGTTGTTATAGAGATTACGAATTATGCGAACCATAGAACTTTGGGACCTGGAGGTCTGTTTCAACACCAGTTCTGCGAAGGACAAATTGTAAAAGTACCTAAGTCCACTACTGTATATAACTTAGATAGCACCTTACCATTTATGGCAAGATCCAAGTTGAGTGATGTATAACCGGAGCACATCCATCATCATTCAGCTGTGTTAAGCTTCAACTATCATTTTGAGCACCACCAGGCCACCTTGTTGGGCTCCATACTACCTCTACTACTATGGGATTTGAATCGACAACTGCATTTCTGTGCTAATGTGGTATGGCAACTCGAACTGATGGACGTACGTATGAAGTTCTACGTTGTTACTGACTGACTGACCGAATTGTGCATGTTGTTCAGCTCATGAGAAGAAAATGAATACAGTACTTTAGGATCATCTGTATATAAAAGAGACTTGCCCATTCAAAATAAATCGCAAATATCATTGATATAAACTAAAAAGAGCCAAAGGTCTCAGACTGTTGTGTTTTAAAAGAAATTTATGAGTAAATTCATCTTATACGCTTAAACATTTGTACCAAGCAAACTCTAAGACAAGTCACCTTCTAGCATTCAACTTATTAGGATTGTCTGACTGTAAAATTGTCTTCTTTTTTTCTTTTCCAATTATTTATTTCATGTAAATTTAAATCAGAATAAGTTCACTTGGTGTTGTTTCACTTGTATCATCCTATTGTTATTTAGGACTGCGATTGATCAGTCTCATGTGCATCCTGTGTGGATTACCTTGATATAGTCTTAAGTCACAAGCTTTTTAGGCAAAGATGGTTAGTGGCTATCAGTGGAATCCAGGACGCGTGTTTCGTTCTATTTGTGACTTGTCAGCTGGATGTACCTGCATCCCAGAGTTGCAGTCCTAAATAACGATGGGAAGATACAAGTAAAACAACACCAGGTGAATTTAAACTTCATCCCATTGCACAAGCACGTGGAGAACGCAATGGTGTTTGAAGCGAACGGCACTGTGTTCGAGTCCCGGAGTAAACATCGACCCCGGGATGCAGGTACATTCAGCTGACGAGTCCCAAATAGGGCGAAACTCGCGTCCTGGATTCCACTGCCAGCCACTACACAGCTTTGCTTAAATTAAAAATGTTTTTTACTTGTATAAGCTTTTTTTTCCTATTGACAACCTATTCCCTATTTTTTTATTTTAGGTAATGATGTTCTACTTATTGGTATTTGTGGTCCGAAACAAGCATCTGAAGAAGTGGTCGTCAAACATTTATCCAATAATCAATACACTGTGTCATATCGTGTATTTCAAAGTGGTAAACACTTTTTAGTAATTAAATGGGGTGATCAAGATATACCAGGTAGCCCATTCGTGATTGATATCCCTTAGAAACACAATTACAAACTGTTTATAACAATAATACTTAAATCAGCGTAAATAAAATAATTAATTAATTTAATTAACGGAATCATTTCACATAGATAAGTATGTTTGTCTATGCGTGTGTGTGTATGTGTTTGTGTGTGCTACTTTTTGTGTATCTTCTTAAATTGTCAATTTCTTGATGCCTCTCATAAACTTGTTTCTTGTTTAAATCTCCTCACTTACGAAAATAAAACTGCACAAATTTTGCTTGCCATCAGTAAGCCATATTAGTCAGTCACATACACATTCGAAAATGCAGCATATTCATTAATATTGTATCGTTTCTTTTTTTTGTTTTAAAAAATACCAAACAACTGTCAAGTGCCTTTCTGCATAAAAATGTTACCTGCTTTCTTCATTGTCTGCCTTATTATGATTATTATGATCACTTTCGTTACCATTACTAAGGTTTGTACAAACCAAATGCCTACCATTCAAATATTATTCCTTTTTTTATTTTCGTATACACTTCATAAATCTTCTTTATGTTACCATGCACACACACACGCACATACACACTTTATACGTATTAAATTCAATCGTTTTTCTGTTTAATCATTCAACATATACAACATGAGATCATTTCGATTCTTCTGTTTGTTTCTGATTTTGACGACAAAGTCGAATGATTTATATGTGTAATTCTCAATTTTAAAATAAATTGGTACTATTCATATGTTGTCTTACCTTATATGAAATGTATATTGGGGTAGGTTGGGTTGGGGGGAATTTATGCGATATTGTAAATTGAATGGGAAAATTCCGTTGTTTTTTTTTTTTGAAAAACTAGACGTTTTGTTTCAACCCTAAGTTCAACTCTGTACTACATTGGGAAAAATGTAAAACAACTATAAGTAGTTCACTTGGTATTGTTTTACTTGAATCTTCCCATTGATGTTTTTGGACTGAAATCGATCAGTCTCTCATCGGCATATGTGCATACTGTGCGTATGCCTCGATATTGCCTTAATTTACAAGCATTATAAGCAATGATGGATAGTGGCTAGCAATGGACTCCAGTTTGACGCGCGTTTCGTCCTGTTTTGGACTCGTCAGCTGGATGTACCTGCATTTCAGAGTTGATGTTCACTTTGGGACTCGAACTCGCTTCAAACCCATCGCGTTATCGACTTAGCTACTGAGTCCTGATAGCCAACTGCTTGAGCAATGGAGTGAAGTTTAATTCACTTGGTATTGTTTCACTTGAATCTTCCCATTGATGTCTTTGGACTGAAATTGATCAGTAGTAGTTTTTAGTAACAATGTCATTAATAATATCTGTTTACGTGTACAAATTGAATAGATTGGTATTCTCCTTGTTGCTTTGTTAGTGGTTGGACTGGTCTGGTCAACACCTGAACTAAGGGCAGGGAGTGAAGTAGTCGAACGCGTTGACAACACTTATCTTGGAAGTCTGATCAGCCCTAATGGGTTGGTGTCTGACGAAATCTCAGCACGGATTCGAAAAGCTCGTTTGGCTTTTGCCAACTTACGTCACCTATGGCGAAGGCGAGATATCCATCTATCAATAAAAGGACGAGTATACTGCGCGGCAGTCCGTTCTGTTTTAATTTATGGCCGACTAGAGGACACTCGTAAGCTACTAGTATTTGACTACAGATGCCTTAGAAATATTGCTGGCGTCTGTTGGCATCACCGGGTAAGTAATAGTGAGGTTAGACGCGGGGTATTAGGGAATGATGGTAAATCAGTCGATGAGGTTGTGAATCTTCATCGAATGAGATGGTTGGGCCACGTGTTGCGTATGCCTGAACACCGATTACCACGACGCGCAATGCTAACCGGTGTTCGGGATGGTTGTAAGAAAGTTAGGGGCGGCCAAACCAAAACGTGGCATCAGTGCTTCAAGTCACTAACTTCTAGTCTGAGCCATGTTGGTAGATGCAGACTACTTGGTTGCGGTCTGCGTGACTATCGTAACCAATGGTTGGAGACTCTTGGTGACATGGCTCAGAATCGATCACAATGGCGTCGGTGTATACACTCTCTGTATTCCCTTAGTCTGTGAGATCAAAATCGCTTCATATCTTTCTTTCTACCAACTAATTCTCTCTTCCTGTACTATATCCTCATTGCAATCTTTTTTTTATATATTACTACCTCTGAATTAACTACTTTTATGAATCCGGTGTCCATCTTGTGTTAATGAGGTATGGCAACTTGGACCGATGCATATATGTGCCTGGTACTACATTGTAGCTTACTTACTTACTAGTGGTTGGACAATGTAATTAGATGTCAGTGAATCAGATACAGTGGTATGTGCCATTCATGCGAGTGATGATTTCCGTTAACGGTACACCATATTTCTTGACGCATAATTGGCTTATCGGTTAGTCACAATAAAAATAGGTAATCTATTTGGCTAAGCCAGCTGTAATAATGAAGATTAGTTTGTGGTTAAAACTTCATATTATGTAGTGTTTTCGTCATCGTTATGTATTCTTTTGTTGCAACTGAATCGTTTGTCCATAATTCTCCATTCAGCATTTATTCGAGTTGAAAATAAAATATTTTTAACACCCAAATGGCTGTTAAGAAACAATTTATTTTCTGGTGTGATCAATCCTTATGGTGTCCTGAATAGTCTCAAACCACTCGTAGCCTAAATAGTTATATGTTTGACTGCATTTTCTATCCTGTAGCTTCCTAAAGTCCAGTGACGAGTTTTTGTTGGTAATCGTCTTCGATGATTCTTCAGACATTATCATTTACATCGCCTGGATTGACTCACTGTGATCAACTTTTTTAATGATTCATATAGGCAATAAATTGATCAGTCGTATCTTGTTTTCAATACGCACTACTCTTGCTTAATATGATCTCAGTGCAGCCTGGATTTACTTCAATATCATACATTTTAACTGCTACAAGACAATAATTTGAACAGACTGTACAATGTTTCAGTTGACCAGAAAATGAAATTTTCTCATGACAGTTTTATTTTGCTTCACAAAGTGACAGATTAGTAAGTGATCGAGTTCATATCTGTTGTTATCACTGACAAGCAGTTGTTCAACTCAGAAAATGCATTATTTGGCATAAACTTCTATAAATTCAGGCTTTATCTACATCCACAAACTATAGGATGGATCGTAATGTTAGTGATGCAAATTTAGACAGAACGAAATGCTTATCAAGTTTTTAGTAGCCTTTATTTGATAGGACTTATTTCTATTCAATTCTAACCGATCAAATGTTAACATAACAGTTCACGTCTCTCCAAATGTAGATCTTCCATAAACCGTTTACACAATTTGCATCGGCTGATAATAATAACATATTCTTAGGACGCTTCTGTACAAACGTCTAAATGAGTAAATGCCTACAATTAAGCCTGACAGATAAATTTGTGTAGACACTTTACGTATTCGTAAGACCTGCCACCAGAATCTATTGTAGCGAATGGATCTGTTGACGGTATGAGATGACGACCTACTGAACATGCGTTTTTTTTGTGACTAGTATTGTCACCGTTTTCTATATGTGATGACTTATATTAATTCTGATGCATTTAGTTTGTGGCTATTATTAAGACTCAAAATGCGCGTTTCGTCCCATATTTACCTCGTCAGACTGTTGTACGTCTATACCAGTGGTTACTATTAATACTAAGACTCGAATCCAGTACACTGCTTCAAACGCTTACCACGCCATTCATCGACTACGCTCCTGAGTTCAGACAGACACTAACTTGTGAACAAGCTCACTCAAGAGGCATACATAGCAACAGATACTAATCAAATGCAAATCTGAATATCAATCAACAATGGCAATTTATAAACTCTTAGTTATTCATATTTATCATTGTAAATTTTAATTAGGATATTGGTCATCATTTATTATTATCACCTAATTATTTCACTGATCACTAGACCAAATATACCACTGTAAGCAGTTGTTATAGAATATATACACTCGTTTGTTTTGATTACTTACAATGAATATCTGAACATAATAGAAGTTTGATTCACTCAAAATTACACAAAACATGAAAGAAAATCTTATTTTAAAAATAAGAAAAAAATCACTTAACAACAGAAGAACCAATAGTGTGGAAAGAGAACAATCTTGGCAACAAACATAAAATCTGTAAGAAAAGTCAATTGTATAAAAAGAAGAAAAAGGAACTCCATTGAACTTGCTTAATCATCCTGGTTTCAACAAAGTTCTATTTCAGAAAACAAAAATTTCTCTCTTGTTGGTTGTTTGTTTTTTCTCTTTTGTGTGTAAGGCTCTATTACTTTTTTTCTCTCAATGAATTCATTCTTGAATTAAGCTGATTTGAATAGTTTCAACGATACTAATCGTATCCATTATATCATTTCATGTATACTGTACAATCACATATTTATTATTACTCAATACTACTACTAATACTACTGATAATATTTGATAGTAGTATACACAGAGAAAGATGAGAAATTGAGGATCTTGAATTTAACAATAAATTCTAAATATAATTAAAAATATTAATAAATAATTATAAGAAGAAATAGTTGAATAGATTGATGAAGATTGATTATTGATGATAAAGAAACTTCGCGTTTTTTTAATTGGTTTCGATAGAAAACGTAACGCTTTAAAACGTGTCAAATTTTGTTGTTGATAATCATTATGAATTGTTGTATATTGTTGAATTGGTCTTGTTAATTTATTAGATGATAAATAAAAACTTTTATTGAATGATTTCAATATTGGAGTTATAATAGTATTACTACTACTACTACTACCACTTGTAGAATTGTCATTTTGTCTTTGTGCTGAAAATAATGAAAAAAAGAAACAATATGAGAGGTATTGTTACCAAGGTTCAACTTAATAATTTCGAATATTCAGTAAAGGGTGGTGGAGATTATCAAGTTATTGATTGAGATCATGAACCGAATGGTGTTGGACCATTGTTGAAAACCTGGAAGCACTGAATGACTGTTTTGTCCTATTGTGGGACTCCTCAATAATGCGCATCCACGATTCAATATCTCAATCAATAATTTAATAATCTCCACAACCATATACTGATAATTACCATGTACTCACTAGTGACTAGCTACGTGAGGGAATCCTCGGAGTTCTAGTGATAAGCTGTGACCAGAGGAGCTAATCCGTGTCGGGTAAAGACTGGTATCTACTTCAGTATAATGGATGATGGTCGCGCGATTTCGCGAATTGGTTGAGGTTAGACATGAACATCGTTGGATGCCGACTCAGTGGTCTGGTAAGTCAAGCGTTCTCATAATATATTTGTAATATTCCAATAAGTAGAAAAATTAGATTTTCTGATGTTTCGTAACTCAGTGTAAGCCACTTCTTCGGAGAATAAGTAGTCAAGTCAAAATTATTCCAATTTGAAATAGTACAACGAAATAGTGCATACATACACACATAGAAATTTATATACATGTCGCTTGTGAATCATTATGACTAAAATAATATGGCATTGATTTGTTCAAACCTGTTTTTTGATTAATCGCACTTAACATTCTTGCTTTGTTCCTTTGTACTATTTAAACTTGGATTAATTTTGATTTGATTATTTATTCTCTGAAGAAGTGGCTTACACTGAGTTACGAAACATCAGAAAATCTAATTTTTCTACTTATTGGGATATTACAAATATATTATTTATTTAAAAAAATAAGATAGGATAATGACATAATTGTTATCAGTGAAATCGTTGATAGATTGGTTTATGATTTAATAGTGAGGGATAATAAAAGTTATTGATTTGAATTTGACTAACCATTATCCAAAACTGATATGGTTGCTAATGTGTTAGATCTGTCAGAAATATACATTGCACTTCACACCATGTCATCCAACTCATCATCACCTTGTATTCCGTCTTTTCGAAACAGATTCTCTATGTTTAATCTTTCTGTGACGACGGACCACCGGTGAACTCGAGGAAGCTGTAAGAGGCTCAGAAGGAGCCGAAGACGTTTCATCTAATCACCTTTTGGAAGAATATTCTAGAATTCCAACGTGTAGCTTCCCGATTGGATAATGCTAATAACCCCCTGTATGCGGATTGGAGGACTGTAATGATGATTTCGTTCTCACTAAGAACTATAAATACCTGACAATTTTTTACTATGATTGACACTGTTTGGAATAATATTCCTTCCATTAGTCTTGTGTCTTCTTATTGCGACTTGGAAAGGTTTTGGTGTTCTAGTGCTCTGTTATACGCGGTATATCGAGAAATCAACTTTCAAGATATAACACATTCTGATTTGTAATTATTTTGACAGCTTGACTATTCATCTTGTTAATTTAATTTCTTTTTACTAATGTGATATGGTAACTTGAGTTAACGCACATATGTGTCTGGCTCTAGATTATTTATAGTCCAGGAGAATTTTCTAAATTACAATGACTTAACAACAAGCAATAACTAGGATTGAATACATGATTGATAGACTGTCCTTCAAACAAGTCTTGAAAGCTTTCATTTATACAGAATAGGAGGACTATCATCTTCAGAGAAAAAAACATTAAGCAGGTATTGTGTTTTTACCTTTCATGACTTGATACAAATATGAGATTGAATTAAGTGTTTTGAATCTCTTCCAATGTTCAAATGCATCTTCTTTTGTTAACCAATTTATTTAACTATAAAATTTATGATTTCTTGAATTTATTCAATTTACTCAAGTCATAGGTATCCTCCTCTTTCAGTTTACTGTAATTATCATCTTTTAGATTAAACGTTTATTATTATTTTAACACTATTGTGGTGTGTGCTACTGATGCCGACAGATATAAGTAGTATATATCATCAAACAAAAGTGAAATACCTGGCAGCAAAAAGTTAATAAGATCAAAGAACAGAGAACGAGAACAAAGAATGATTGATGTGGAAATGAAAGAACAATGAAGTCTGAGACAGTTGATTGACATTTTGCAAATGAAGCATTTAATGTATGGTTCTCAGATTTAGAGATTTTGTTATTTTGTACTCGAATATATTCGACTGTCCTCACTGGTGTTCTCGTTCACTACACTATAACCTAGAATTTCTGTGATATGCTCTTCAATCACATTATATATTTGAAATTCATTAATATAAACTCTATAATGTAAATGTCATGCATTCAATCTACTTCATTTTGCTGAAATTGTTAGTTAACTATCAAGAATAGCAATCAGAAAAAGTCATATTGGTCTACCTAATGACAAAAAGTCTGCGTAGAAAGATACTAAAAAGTGTGATTGATCTCTTAAAAAGTTCTTCTGAATACTCGAAATAACTGCTGTTTAGTTTACTTAAGTCATATGAGCACTTACTCAGGTTTGAGATATTCAACCATTGTATCATAATACAATGTAAAACTTGAAGATTCATTCATTTAGGTCATTCATTTAAGACGTTCAAAGATACATAGATTACGTTGGAGCAGTGATATTGTAGTGAACAGAACACGAGTGGGGACAATCGAATGTATTTAACACAAAATTACAGGACTTGTTAATAAAATCTAACAATCATAAAGTGATTGCTTGATTTGCAAAATATCCACCAATTGTCTCAAAATGACTCAGACTTCATTGTTCTTGTATTTTCATACAAATTACATCCTGTTTCCATTCTTTACTGTTCGATCCTCTTATCTCTCTGCTTCCAGACCTTCTGTTCACGACTAACATCATATACTATTTATGTCAATATAAGTAGCACACACCACAATAGGAACAAGGGTGAAATTCAGTTATTTGGAAGAACAGATAATAGTTGTAATGAATATACTTATAATATTTCTTATGTAAGTTTGAAAAAGCTACAATAAGAAATTTTATCACTAGACGTTGTAGTGTCGGTTACTATGTTAAGTATACATAGGTTATTCTAGCTTCTGAACAAACCAATTTATTCATACTTTTTGAGTCACATTTTGACCTTGTCAATTATTCGTTTATCAGCATTGACTATTTCTATGTGAGCGTATGTGTGTGCATCTTTTATCTTACTCATCATATGTCTGTAGCTTATTTTTATCTGACTGTAAATATTGATTAATGATTGATTAAATGGAGTTGGCTCACTTGACTTCTCCAATTCGCTCTTCCCTCTTTGCTCCGTTTGACTGATTGCTTGTTCAAATCACTGAGTGTACGAAATATATATATTTCAAATTGACTTATTTATTTCCATAATTGAATTCATGAGTCAATTAAAGCTAGACCATCATGGAAAACCTGGAAGCACTAGATGGCCGTTTCATCCTAGTATGGGACTCAGCAGTGCACATCCACGACCCCGCCCAGTGAGATTTGAACCCATGATCCATCAGTCTCACAAGCGAACGATTAACCTCTAGACCACTAAGCCGGCATCTAACGGGGTTAATATCTAACTCCATGTTTTCCATGGTGGTCTAGCTTTAATTGGCTCAAGAATTCAATTATTAAATCACTACAATCTCCATAAAACCCCTCTCTGATTATTTAATTCCGTTATTCACTAATGCAATTTAAGTCGATGATTATATACGAGAATAGCGGACATAAATATTTCAATAACAATCATTTTATACGATCTAATTGGAGTCACATATCGAACCACTAACGTGTCAAACGTTTTTTGAGAATCTGTGAACTATGAGTTGATAGACAGAGACCGTGTAAATGTACAAATTGTAAAGATTCAGAATGACATCAATTCGTCATTGTAATGAACATACATGTAACAGAAAATGTTTAGTATAGTAATGACTAGAAATTATTAGGTATTGAATAAGACGAAAGATTGAAGATTGGAAGTTTAAATAAAGATTAACTACATTGATAAAATCAGATATGTATTAAATAAGCAGATGAAATTCTACAGTCTTCAAAGATCTGATATAATCGGCAAAGATCAAACTGAAAAATTCGTTTGAGCATCAACGTAGGAAAATATTCGATATCATGAGTCGCACCCACTACCACTGAATGGTTTCTCAAACGTTTGTAAGAGAACAATACGTACCTTTATATATATTTATGACTTGATGCTAATCAACAACCCGATAAAATTGTTAGAAACAGACTCAGAACGGGAGTAGTTCAATATGTACATTGTATTCAAATTGCTAGGCATTTTCAACAATCCAATTTCATTAGATAAGGCGAAATGACCATAAAATTCTGTCTACAGAAAATCAGAGTTGATGTACAACGAAAACTATTCAGTTCATTCTGTATTGTTTATTTGAATCTTCCCATTGATTCATCAGTCTCTTATTGGCATATGTGCGTCCTGTGGGGATTACCTTAACATTGCGTCAAATCACAATCATTCTAAGCAGAAATGGATAGTGACTAGCTGTGAAATCCAAGACACTCGTTTCGTTCTATTTGGGACTTGCATCCTAGAGTTGATGTTCACTCAGATACTCGAACTCAGTACCGTTCACTTCAAACGGCATCGTTATATCCACCTATCTACTGAATCCTGATAACCACTTGCTTGTTCGATGAGGTGAAGTTTAAATTCATTTTGAATTGTTTGTTTGAATCATCCCACTGATGATTCTATTCCGAACAGATTCTAATTATATATATATATATATATATATATATATATATATATATATATAAGTTTGGTAGACAAAACGTTGAGTTGATGATCTTATTACTTAAACTGGAAAGTGAGTAGATGCTTAACATATTTATTAACAGAAGGGGATTTCGTGGAGATTGTAGTAATTTAATAATTGAATTCATGAGTCAATTAAAGCTAGACCATCATGGAAAACCTGGAAGCACTGCAATACACCAATGACGGCCGTTTCATTCTAACTGACTCATGAATTCAACTATATTTATTTAGCTTAAATGTAATGGCTGGTTTGTAAGCGATAAAATTATCGCATATTGCACAAAAATAACTTGAAATCAGCCACGACTTCATTGTGAAATACGTCAGAATTGCTTCGAAAATATGTTTATTAGCCTAAGTTCTACCACCACATTAGCACGACAAAATGAATTTGAAAATGTTAATACCAAAGGAATCGGAATGATGTAGCAGTAATGACAATGAAAAATACTGAACATTGAGAATATGATCCTAAAAGATAGGATAAAAAAAGTTGTATATGAAGGGATTTCGGGATTCATAATATTGAAGAAGATATAGAGTGAACATATATAATCATCTGAGAAAGATTACGAATCATATCATTAAAAGTCTCCAAACACTGATCACAGTTATCACTTGAACCGCATCATTTTACTTTGACTGCACCTAACATTCTTCTAACTTACTCTTACACTAGCTAACTTTCCCCATCTCCTTCAAGAAATATTCATAACCGTCAACCAATTCACCACCTTTTCCAAGTACCTTAAGCGTATCTCCAGCAATACCTACTTGATTAGTCCATGATGCCCGATAAATGTTTCCAAGATATCTATAATCAGTTTATCCATATCTTCTACTTTCACAGACTATGTTTTATAGACATAGAATATTACAGAGCTAACTGTTATACAGTAAACCTATTCATAGATTTTATATTACAATTTATTTATTGAATATGTAGAAATGAACTTACTTGAAGTGAGTAATAATTTTGCAAATGCTTTATTTTCATCTAATTTAATAGCTTCGAATGGTGTAGTTTCATATTGACACTGAGGTGAATGATACATAAAGATTGTGTAATTTTGATTGCTATGATTATTACCATTACTATTATTCATATCATCATTATTTCTGTTGATTTGAATGATCTAGGAGAAAAATACATATTCATTAAGGACATACTAGTAAACTGTTTTTGATAGAATTTACAAGAAATTATATTATGGTTGAATTCATGAGTCAATTGAAGCTAGAATACTATGGAAAACCTGGAAGCACTCGATGGCCGTTTCGTCCTATTGTGGGACAGTGAGCATCTACGAGATCCGAACCCAGAACCTATCAGTCTCACGTGAGAGCGCTTAACCACAGGACCACTGAGCCGGCCGGGATCCAACGGTGTTAATGTCCAACTTTAGCCAATCCACGAAATTGAGAAACACATTCATCATTGTCGTCAGTGAGTTATTATCACACAACAGACCCGGTTGAACTCCACTGCTTCTCACTAGAACTCCAAGAAATACCTTTTGAAGCTAGTCACGATTATTTGTTGAAGTTGTGTTATTTTATTTAGATAGTTAGTTTAATTATGAAGCACCAACTGTCTTTCTAGACAACATCATTAGTACAATCGTTAGACAATCCTGTCTAGAAAGACAATGAAAGATTCACGAATATTATATTGCATTTTATAGTGATCCAAATAACCTTAGCTAAATAACCACCGAATTTCAGTATTTAAATTTTCTTACTAAAATAACTTGAAGAAAATGCGATTAGCCACTGTGCGTGGACAAATAGATGCTATTAACCGTGTGATTTTCTTGAGATGGTAGAGAAGATTTATAGCTCAGGTGGACGATTTTGATAGAGTTTTGTTCACTAAACTGGATGGTTTTTCGTGGAGCTTCTACCTGAAGTTTATACTGATGATGTCGTTCAGAAGAACGATGAAAGCTCCACGACAAACCATCCAGCTCAGAGAACAAAACTCCATCAAAATGTGATTTCCTTTCCTGGCATTGATTTCTACGTTAAACTTGTTGAATGTAAACTGCTTGTAATGATGTTGTACAAAGTATTGTCTAGTCTACACTCTGGTTCTTTATTTTCTGCAGTGAATCGAATATCCAGTAAGGCATGATCTAGTCATTGTATAGCACAAAATATTCGGTCAAAATCCCGATCCCCATTCCTACTATCGTTTTATAATAATGCATCGTGTGAAAACTCTCATTATCCGGCAAAGCTATTTGCATAAATAAGAGTAAAGCAAATAAACAGATCAATATATCCTTATATATTGTATGTACTATGATGAAATAGCAGTAAATAGATTTCGCTTACTAGACAATAATACTGATCTGTAATTTTAAGATATGTGATAATTAAGAAATAAGATGAGGAAATAGTTGAAATTCCATCAATATTAAACGATGCAATACATTGATGATCTGTAAAAAAGAATTTGAAAGATAATATTCAGTGAAAAAGTTAAGTTTTACTTCTCTATAAAATGATAATTGAAGCACACTTTAATAATGATAATAAATACTACACAGGATGAACAAATGAGTGGCATACTGGACCTATTGGTTCAGTAGATAAGGTATTAGAAGTTTGAGACAAAGGGCATAGGTTCGAGTCCCGATGCGAACATTAAAACAGGTGAGAATACATTCAGTTGGTAAGTTCTGTTAGCTAAGTCACTGGACAGTACTTCTGATATGGATCTCTCCACAGGAGCAGTTGAATTCATAAATATATAATGAAGCGGTAAAACCGATTAACATGTGGTGGTTGGTATTCCATATAATTCTTAAACTTTGTATAGAATTCGTCTTGATAACCGTCAGTAGATAAATCCCCGACGGTATATTAATCAGAAGGCGAATATAAAGTGTTGATTACGTTTATTATGGAACCACACACACTTATCTAAAATTACAGGGGCGTTAAACAGCATGAAAGAGTTGTGCCGAAAGGCAGGCAGGCAAGCGAGAGAGCGAGTCAGCGAATATGACTACGAGTAAACGAGCACAGATAAGCGAGAGAGAGAGATCATTGAACATAAATAACGTAGACATATATAAATACATAGTGAAATGAATGAATCATCGAATCAATTAAGCGGTTAGTAGTAAGGCTAGCAGCGTGAATAAATGCGTAGGCAGTAAGCAATGCTCAAGCATACATATTCATACATTCGCAACAATAATAAAGATACAATGATATAGATAAGTTGTTGTTGTACGGATGACTCAGTTCGTTAATAAGTTAACAAAATGACTTAACCGAATTAAATGTGAACCAACTCAGTTGTGCGTGAGTTGCTGTAAACTCGTCGTTTAGTTGTGCACTCATCAATGATAGTTTAGAAAGTGAAAAACAAGTATTTGATGCATGAAATGCTTCTTTTCAAAGCTCTAGTTACTTTATCAAGTAAAACATCACTACTTGTACTAATGCTTGTCTCTTCCGAACGATCCATGAATCTGACTTCTTTACTGTATACAAATGTTCCGTTAAAAAAACTCCCTGTGTGGCACATTTCCATCAGCATATCAAAAATGAAGCTTAATTCTTTATTTACGGTATTGTGACAGCATATCTTTCTATCTTCACTCATAAGCAGAAAAATTAGGTTTTTATGTACTGAAATAGTTCGTAGCTAAAGTGATATGCGTATTGACACATAGATGAACTCATTACGTAATAAGATGTGTGTAAATAATTAGATAGTGAAGAATACAAAGAGGCGGAAAATTACAAACAAATAATGGATGTGGAAATAAGGTTAACGATAACACAAATAGAATAAAATAAATAATGATAATAATAAAATCTAAAAAAAATTGTTAGTTAAGTTATAACTGGACATAGAAGGGATAGGGGGATCACGTATTTCTTCTGTACACATAAATTGGGGTTATATGTACGAATTCCAATGGCTTCAGCTATATAGGAGACGGGAACGGACTCCGTCGGGAAATGATGGAGGTATACGATAGATAACTCGAATTGATTTCGATTTATCTACTGCATGACCGCTATCAATAAGATGTGCCAATATAGAACTGCGAATAGATTTTCTCTGGCCCTTTATGTACCAAGTTTGTAGATGTTCACTCATTCGTTGGTTAAGTTGCCTGGTAGTACGCCCTATATAGCTATCTCCACAGGAGCAGCTGAGTTTGTAAATGCACATAGAAGAGGCCAACTCAGGTAACTTATCCTTCGTTTGAGTAGACATCGCTGGTCGACAGGAGAAGGTCAACGCAAGATTGGCTGCGTAGAATGTCCTGGTGATTACTTTGGTTAACCTATATTTCAGTGTCACTAGCCACATCCCCGTTGAATTTCACTTTCATGTATAAAGGTTTCTTACGAACAGTCGAAATCTCCGACTTCTTTATTATATCATGCATGTACTTCTTAATGAACGCGCTGGGGTAGCCGATCTCGGTCAGTGAGTTGTTGAAAAATTCAAGCTCCTGACTTAGAATGTCTACTGTACAGATCTTTTTTGCTCTGCTAGTGAGATAGATGAACTATTTCTATGCACACTTTTACTGAATGACTCATCTTTCTGATCAGTAAAACATCAAGAAAACTGAGTTTTTTTTCCCATGCTGTTACTCTCAAATGAATATAATTTTCAAGGGAACACCGTTAAACTACCTCAAGGAGTAAATCGACACTTCCAGTTTGAATTAAAAGAGAACAATGAAAAATAAATTACTTTATGATATTATTAATTACCTGATTTAAATATACTAGGATAAATGGTAGATTCACAATAATGTCTAATTCTTAGTGTGTTATCGAATTCTCCAGAGATACCTAGATGCGGATTGAAATCACTGATTTCTATTGAACATGGTCCTTGATAGCTTTTATCATCATTAGCTTCATATGTATTCAATAACTTTCCATTTATATGAGACATGATATTTGTATGATCATCTTTTCCCAAACGATTATTAATAGATTGTTTATTTGTTACATTAAACAGATCGTCCTGACTACCAAACTGTGTTGTTTCAGTATTGAGAATAAACAATTTACCAGTAAGACGTATTTGATATAGTCCACATTTAGTAATACCAGTAGGAGTGATAGATTCTGGAAAAATTGAAAATTTAAGAACAAAATTATTTTTATTAAAATCACGAATTGATTTATGTTTTTTAACCACTGAAAATGAAGAGGCACTGGGCAGCTGTTTCGTTCTACTACGAGGCTCCTCAGTAATTCATATTCGCAGCCTCATCGAAGTTTGACCAAGGATCTTTAAATCATATTAAGAACACTTTAATTTTAAACCGCTTAGCCATCATCTAATCGTTTACATGTCTAACTTCAATCAGTTCGCGATACTATAAAACTAATATGTTTCAGTTAATGATCTCAATAACACTCAGAAATCTTCACAAAACCTTATTGATGAAAATCATTTTCATAAAATCGTATAAATATTTACAAACATTTTAGGCTCTAGATTGAATAAGATGAGTTACGTGGAACAATTAAGACAAATGGCATTCGAAACACAGGACCTTTGGTATCGTATACGAATACCCAACCTCTAGATCACTAAACCGTCATCGCTTCTCAACTCTCTAAGCTAAGACCATGTGTAATATCATGAAGTGTACGGTATATATAAATCATATCAGAATAGGGAACAATTTTTATGACATTCTGATAACAGTGATCCTAACACCAATGTTTTCATCATAATTCTTAATTTTCTATTAGTCATATAGTTCTCTACAATTCAATCAGTATCTAGATTAACTATAATATTCTAATAAAGTTCATTCTTTTTTTTTAATCAGATCCATTGAAAATAGAACATAAATGAACGTTATACAACAATCACATTGATTAGGACATTTGAACATGAAGTTTTCTTCTTAATGTTTTATTAATTTCACTGGTTGAAATCATAAGTCAATTGAAGCTAGATCATCATGGACAACCTGGAAGCACTGGACGGCCGTTTCATCTTAGTATGGGACTCCTCAGCAGTGTGCATCCACGATCCGCCCCCCCACGAGATTCGAACTCAGGACCTAATGTTAATTTACAAACATAGTTGGTTCAATATTCAACTTTTACACTGAGGAACATAAATACAAGAACATGGTACATTGAACAAACATTTCACATTGAAATGTACAATATCAAATTAGTACTTTAATTTATTATCATAAAAGTTTCCCCCTCAACCCAAAAAAACGGAAACATTTTTTTGTGAAATTATAAAGGAAAGTACATAATTATGTTAGTCTACATTTAACCAATAAATGTAAATAATAATTAATATATCATAAATAAAAAGTAACATATTTGTATAAGAAGGGGTTTTGTGGAGATTGTAGTAATTTCAATAGTTGAGATCATGAGTCAACCGAAGTTAGACTACCATGGAAAATCTGGATATACTGGACGGCCGTTTCATTCTATTGTGGGACTCTTCATCAGTGAGCATCCACGATCCAAGACCTATCGGTCTCGTATGCAAACGCCTAATCTCTAGACCACTGAACCAACATCCAACGATGTTAATGTCTAACTTCAACCAATCCACAAAATTCAATCACCGTCTACTATTGTTTTCAGTGAGTTACTATCTCATAATATATTTGTAATATTCCAATAAGTACAAAAATTAGATTTTCTGACGTTCCATGACTCAGTGTAAGCCACTTCTTCAGAGAATAAGTATTCAAATCAAAATTGATCCAAGTTTAAGTAGTACAAAGGAACAAAGCAAGAATGTTAGGTGCGATCAATCAAAAAACAGGTTTAAACAAATCAATGTCATGTCATTTCGGTCATAATGATTTATGAGGGACATGTATGCACAGTGTATGTGTGTAAGGTCAGGGATGAAAAACATGTGATCTTTGTGGTGAGAAAGGATAGTTGTTTAATTTGTACATACAATAATGGTGTGAGATATGAATAATATCAGACATGGTAGGTTGGATAGATGGTCTAAGTCGGATGGTTAGTGAGGCCTTCTTTTCTATCGAGACCATTAGGATTAAGTATTATATGGAAAGCTTCAGCTACTCTATTTTCTTTGTAATCGGAAAAGGCTTTTTGTAATGTTTCGACGTTTATGATATCGATTTGGTGGTTATTGAAAATGGCATCAACTGCTATTGCTGATTTAACTTGGAGTCTTTCCAGTTCTATGGGATTATTAGGTGTTTTCTTTGTGTACATAAGATATTCTTTAATTCAATCAAGATTTCACAAGATGACTCTTCAATACATAAGGCGTCACAATCTGCACTTCCTAATTTGTAGATACGATTCTGTGTTAATATCAAAGGGGTTTTTCTATTAAGCGAATTAAAGTATTTCGATGGATGTTCATCGTTTTGTAATATGCTTTAATTCTGTACTATTTTTATATTCTTTGAAGTTCTTCTGTTAATTAATATGTCAGTAAAACAAGTCAAAAACTCTCAACTATCACAATATTTAATTTATTTCTATATTATGCTAATTTTCTATGTCAATAGTTGAAATCATGAGTCAATTGAAGCTAAACCACCATGGAAAATCTGGAAGCACTGGACGGCCGTTTCGTCCTACTATAGGACTCCTCGGCAGTGCTCACCCATGATCCCGCCCCCTACGTGACTCGAACCCAGAACCTATCAGTCTCGAGAGTGAGCGCTCCACGAAACTCCTTCTGATAATTTTCTATGTATTTCTTGTTTTAATCTATCAACAATGTAAACTAATTGCTTTTTTGTATTCTTAATGGTCTATTTCAAATGATTGAAATTCTCATTAAACGTGAATGATTAGTTGTTATGATAAACATTAGAAATCATTAAATGTTACTAAAATATTACTTTTAATTACCCCTAGTAATCAAATGATCATTTGAATTGTTAAGAGTGTTTACATCATTAAATACTTAGTTAAATGAACTAAATTACATTTGTATAATTTAACTCACTAGTTGATCTTAACTAAAGCTTAATTAAAAATAAGAAAGTACTAGACAGTTGTTTTATTCCAGTACGAGACTCCTCATCAATTTCCACAAATTGTTTATTCGGTGAAATTGATTCTTCTTTGTAATGAATAGTTTGACTCATTTATGCATTATTCTATTGTTACAACAGTGAATGATATTTGGTAAAATATTAAGCTAATAGACACTTATGGTTAACATTATCATATTATTCATTGTTATTGTTATATCTGGTACTTACACGTTTGACAACATCTTCTAACCATATTCTATTTCCCTAGAAATATCCTACATTTGAAACCCGATTGGAAGACAAATAGCAGAAAGCATGAAAGTATGCATACTTCCAAAGTTAGTTTAATTGTAGTAAACAAGAATATTCATAAATTTATAAATGAAATTGGTAGTTTGAAATCTTCTGAAAACGTGAAAACTAGCGACAAAATCGGTAATTATCCAACCAAAATTTCACAAAAGATCTATCTTTTTTTAACTCATTGGAAATATCCTATTTAATGTTGATAATGTGGTGTGTGCTACTGACGTCGACATATATAAATAGTATGTATAATCAATCGAAAGTAAAATGCTTAGAGGCAGAAAGTTAAGATCAAAGAAAAGAGAACGAGAAATAAAGGAACAATAAAGTCTGAAAAAATTGATTGACATTTTGCAAATAAAGTATTTACTGTATGGTTCTCAGGCACGGATGGGCAAAACAAGAGCAGCATATCTACAGTTGAAGAAATTCTGAAACTCAAAACAACTGTCAACCAACACAAAACTCAAAATTTTCAATACAAATGTCAAGACAGTTCTATTGTATGAAGCGAAAGCTTGGAGAACTACGAAAGCCATCATCCAGAAGATACAAGTGTTTATTAACAGTTGTCTACTCAAAATACTTCAAATCCGTTAGCCAGACACTATCAGTAACAACCTATTGCGGGAGAGAACAAACCAGATTCCAGCGGAGGAATAAATCAGGCAGAAGCACTGGAAGTGGATAGGATACACGTTGAGGAAAGCATCCGACTACGTCACAAGGCAAACCGTCACTTGGAATCCTCAAGGCCAAAGGAGAAGAGGAATAGCAAGGAACACATTACGCCGAGAATTGGAGACAGACATGAGAAGAATGAACGAAAATTGGATAGGACTGGAAAGGAAGTCCCAGGACTGAGTGGGTTGGAGAATAGGTTGGTCGGCGGCCTATGCTCCATTGGAAGTAATAGGATTAAGTAAGTAAATAAGTCTCAGATTCGACTAAGATGTTCTGCAATTCTTTATTTTAATACATCCGATTGTCCCCCACTTGTTTTCTCATTCACTATAATAGAACTAAGGCTTTTCTCAGCTTCTAAAAACTTTTCTAAGATGTTCTCAATGACATTCAATAGTTAATTCAATGTTTATAAGATAATTAAAAATAGATACTCACATAGAAAACATGATACTTCTTTTTGTAATGATACACTTATGTATAATAAAGCTTACTTTTATCCGCTGTATTTCGTATTAATATATTTCCTCTTAATGGATAAATTGTTCGACTATATAAGTGATTATCATTATTGAATTGACATATATCGGTTAAAAGATGTTTACCACCGACAGCTTGAATATTAAAAAACAACTATGAATGAATATCATTAAAGAAATTAATTCAAGTAAATCAGATAAATATTTAACTTCAGTAAAACCTACAATAAACGATTTCTATTCATCTTTATATAAAACTTAATACTTTAACACAACATAGAAATTCTTTTACATAATATACACTTATATAGAGACTGAGTTGCTTTTACACTTCGCTTTCATTCAAACTATATCAATGTCCTAAATAATATCAGATGGGTTTTGTGGATATTATAGTAATCTTAATGGTTAATATCACGAGTCAGTTGAAGCTAGACCACCATGGAAAACCTGGAAGCACTCGACGGCCGTTTCGTCGTATTGTAGGACTCCTCAGCAGTGCGCATCCACGACCTTGCCCCCTGCGAAATTCGAACCCAGGACCTACTGGTCACACACCCGAGCGCTTAATCACTAGACCACTAAGCTGGTCGGCATCTAACAGCGTTAATTTCTAACTTCAACTAATCCACGAAATTGAGCGTCACATCCACCATTGTCTTCAGCGATTCACTATCTCACAACAGACCTGGTTGAACTCCACTGATCACTACTTCTCACTAGAACTCCAGGATATACCTCTTGAAGCCAGTCACTAGTGAGCATATGTTGATTAATATCAGAAAAGGGTTTTTGTGGATATTATAGTAATTTCAATGGTTAAGATCATGAGTCAGTTGAATACAAAAGTAAATAGGTTAACATCTAGTAGTCTGGTAGTAAATTCATTCAGTTAGCAAACAATGAATAATTGTCATTTTTGTCGCTTGGATCATAGATATGCGCAAAGCAAAAACAATCGACTGTCGGTTAGTCATGATTTTCAAAAGATAATCTTTCTATGAATAAAATATATTTTGGTTATAAGCAAAGATGGATAGTGGCTAGCAGTGAAATCCAGGACGCGTGTTTTGTCCTATTTAGGACTTATCAACTGGATGTACTTGTATCTCAGAGTTGATGTTCACTCTGAGACTCGAATATAGTAATGTTCGCTTCAAAGGCTATCGCGTTAGCCACAGTTTGCATATATACCAATGAGAGGCTGATCATTTGCAATCCTAAACATCAATGAGAAGATTCAAGTAAACAATATCAAAGTAATTTCTATTTTCGTTAGTTATTTTCTTTTTTTGTGTTTTCATTTACGCATAATCAAGATTCACAAAAGTTTGTTGAGGTGATCCAGAAAATTCCTCGAAAGAAAACCAAAAAAAGGCTCTGTAAACGCTAAGAAACATTTTATCCAATCAGCATTCAAGAGATATTTTTACAGAAACATCTAGAAAGTAAAACGTTACATGTCGCGTTTCTAACTGTATGATTACCTATACTGCTAATTTGTCCAGTAGCGTTCCAGAATTTTCCGGAAACTCAAGGCCATCCAAAATGCCACAAAACCTTAGATTTTCTGTACATAAACGAACCTTAGAGTCAAGCGTTTCTTACATATTTCACACCTTTTCTCTCGTGTTCAAATCGCTGTGTAGATTTAGCCTGGTGGTTGCTAGAAGAGCTTAGGAACCGAATCTAGTGTTCAATCAGAAGACTTATTAAGAATATTTTAAAAAATTGGTAAATGCGCTTTCTTGCCATCATTTGCTTAATTTCACACATAAATCAACAGACGCCCATGTATGATTCCTTTCTAAAAAAACTATCTGGTGTTTATTAAAGTAATCAGTTTAAAATTATAAGAGGCATTAGTTCTGTTAACGCTGATGAAGAATCCCAAAACGTATGAAACGTATATTGGTGAGACTATAATTGATGGACGACCTTCGAGTGACTCTAAGATAACCTTGAACATGTCCACCCACTAACTAATGATAAACGAGGGTTATAGACCAGTGCAAGGAATTAGAATTATGATTGGATTAGGAGTTAGATTTAGGGTTTTCATCATGAACTGACGTCAGCTATATGCAAAGACGCTATTAATTAAAATGGATGAATGGATTTCGCGCCAAAATCCAAGGCATCTTATCCTAAATCTGATTGTTCGTCCATAAATTGTAGTCCCGCCACTATTAGTCATATCGCAACTTGATTGATAGAAGTCAATCAACACTAAATGACTAGATAGACACGATACTGATCAGCACTAAGAGAGACTTGGTACTACTCAGTGATGAATTAATTGTTTAGAAAATTTTCTCTTTTATTATTAGTAATCTCGAATGACTAAACACGTACTTTGTAAATGTTTATTTCTTTTTCGCATTGATGATGTTAGGACTGCAATTTACCAGTCCTGATGGCATATATCGACTGTGACTGAAATGACTTTATTCTCTCAAATAAGTTTTACATTAGGTCGCGAAACGTCGGAAAATTTAATTTTTGTACTCCCTAGGATATTACAAACTTATTGTTTTTTATTTGATTGAGATCATGAACCGATTGATGTTAGACAACCATTGGAAACCTGGAAGCACTGGATGGCCGTTTTGTCTCGTTGTGAGACTTCTCATCAGTGCTCATCAACGATCCCACTCACGAGATTCGAACCCAGAGCCTTCAGTTTCGCGTCCGAAAGCTTAACTTCTAAACAACTGAGTCGGCATCCAACGATGTTCATTTCTAACCTCAATCAATCCGATTTTTTATTCCATAATACACTTAAGTAAAGATGAAATGTAGTTGATAGGGAAATCCAAGAAGCATATTTAATCTTATTTGAAACCTTACATAATAATTCGACTACTCTGAATACAATACAGCTTTACTAAACATCCAAACAATATAGTTCAAATTTCTAACTTTAACTAGTTTATGATATCGCGAAGTAATGTCATTGTAAATGAATTCGTGTTAAAATATAAATAACAGAATGAAATAATTGTATTATGTAAAACGATTACTTACACATTCTATAAAGTATTGCATTGACATTTGATGATGTTTCGAAATCATTTTTATTACCACGATAGATTTCTAAACATAGATCTCTGGAATAACTAAAATAAATGTCAAAATAAATTGAATCAGTCAGTCAGTAACAACGTAGAACTACGTACGTACGTACGAACATACAAACGTACGTATCTACATTAGTTCAAGTTGCCATACCACATCACAGAGATACAATTATCGATTCAAATCCCATATTGGTAGAGGTAGTAAAAGTATAAACAGTAACCAGTAAGATTAGGGTTTAAAGACGTTATTCAAGGAGTATAATCTAATGAAATAAATTTGGAAAGAGAAAAAATGGCACATGAAGAATTCAGAAGATTAAAATTTGGGAGAACACAAAGAGTGGATGCACCTGCGCCCAATCTCCTGGTTTGAGAGTGAATAATACGTCCCGAAATAGTTTTGCAAGATAAACTGAATGATTACTATTGAATCTATGAAATTTCATTTAAACAAATATATTTCTAATTACCTCCACAATGTAATCACATTTATTTCTTTTATCTTTCATGGGTTCATTACAGTATTTTTCTTTTGCCTATGTTTTCTCAAATGATTGTATTATGATTTTCAATGTTCAATAAATGTACAGTATCCATCAATTTTCAACATTTTTTCCATTCATTTAGTTGCAAATTACTGCATGTAAGAGTGTAAATTTCACGGAAAATTTCATTTCAAATCGTAAATTTCAAAACGTTTATGTTCTTTATAAAGACTATGGAGATAAGCTAAACTGACGTGCTTCCAAATGCCCTGGTACAGGTGAAAGTCAGTTCTTCCTCTCGAAATACTCTCACATTGCCACAGGTATGCAACCACTACCAAGGAAGTTCTACTCACTGCCTTTTCTCAGCAGGGGTGTTGTTTACGAAATTGAGAGAACAAAAAGCAAATGTCCGGCGCTTTATCCGGGTTGGTAGATATAGAGAGTCCACCTTGGGGAGTTGGAAAACCCTGATTTTAAACCAATAGTGCACATGAGCTCCAGTGTCCTGAATGAATAAATGGCATATGACCCAATCGTCGGTCATCGGCTAACATGGGACTGCAACTCCAGATGCTGCTCCACTGCCTTACGGATCAAACCTTTAGGTCGAAGGCTCTGGGTATGGTCCCCTAAGAAAACCATCTGCTTCAGTTTGGGCATCCGGGAAGTATCATAGCCCACGTACAAATCAAGTGACTTGTGTGGTGCATATGTATTCGGTGCCCCTTTGTACCAATATTTATGTGTTCAAATAAATAAATAATAAATAGTAAACAAATGTGGATAACTTTAAATGCATGAAATAATATTATTAGTGAAATGGACACTTTTGAAATGAAAGGGAAAATCCCCGGAAATGCTGATTACAAAAAAACATTCATAGAACATTAAAGAATGAATTGATAACCTTACAGATCAATTCCTTGTTGTTATTTTATTTATTACTACACACTTAACATGATAACTATCATTTCCAAATCTAGTAAATACAATTAAAACAAGCCTGATCATGTCACTATCTAATTCCATATATTACAAACATCATATCTTTTTATATTCAGTCAAATCTACACCAAAACAAAATAAATGTCATTACATTTAACCAGAATAACTTTACATTAACACGATCAAACTTGTTTGAATTATTTTTTGATTGAAATCTTGAGTCAATTGAAGCTAGACCACCATAGAAAATCTGGAAGCACTGGACGGCCGTTTCGTCCTATTGTGGCACTCCTCAGCAGTGTCTATCCATACCCCTGCCCCGAGGGATCTGAACCCAGGATCTATCAGTTTCGTGCGCTAACGCCTAATCTCTAGACCACTGAGCTGGCATCCAACGGTATTAATGTCTAACTTTAACCAATCCATGAAATTGAGCCACACATCTATCATTGTCTTCAGTGAGTTACTATCACAACAGACCCGGTTGAACTCCGCTGGTCACTGCTTCTCACTAGAACTCCAGGAAATACATTTTGAAGCTAGTCACTAGTGAGCACATGTTGATTAATATCAGAAAAGGGTTTTTGTGGATATTATAGCAATTTAATAGTTGAGATCATGAGTCCATTTCAGTTAGACCACCATGAAAAACCTGGAAGCACTGGACGGCCGTTTTTTCCTAGTATAGGACTCCTCAGAGATACACATTTACGACCCCACCCCGCGAGATTTTATTCAGTAAAACCTAAGTTTGTTTTTTATTGAAATCACGAACTGATTACTGTCAGAATACCACTGGAAACTTGGAAGTATTGGATATCTATTTTATCTTAGTACCGGACTCCTCAGCATTGTGCATTCACGACTCTACAGGTGGGAACCTGAACCCAGGATCTTCAGTCTCTATTCGTTTCAATAAAAAAATCATTTGTATTAATCCCTTATGATTTTGGATTAAAATGGAGACTTGTCAGTTTAATTATTTCTAAAAATATTGACCACTGAATTTAATCGTTAAATAGATGAGTGAACTTGAATATAATACAGTTCTTTCAGTGTCTTTCCAATAAGTCTTCCCCAAAAGCTCTCCTGAGAGTACTTTCTTCTTGCTCTATGATTATTAACGCTGAACTGTTGTAACGTGTGTTAATAATTTTCCCAATCTAGTTTTCATAGATCATAGCTCGGAAAACACAACACTACTAAAGACGAATTTCAAAGCCAAAGCTACAATTTTCTCCAACTTTCAAACATCTTGAAAACTACCTAACTAATTCTAGGTTTTATAGTAAATAGAAAGTCATTCGAACTTCATCAAGTTTACTTCAACTTACCATCCATTTGTTTGATAATCACTTCGTAGAATATAACGATCATATAGGGATTCTTGTATTTCTTTAACACAATACAAATTCATGGTATACGATATACCAGTCATTGAAGATATAATTAATTTGTCACTTTTAATGAAAAACTGAGCTATTAAACGACTACTTGGATGTTCATATCCCAATGATTCTTGGATTGAACTTGGTTCAATTAAATCCCATGTACCATAATAATTTGGATGAAATTTACACGAATCATGAATAATGTTACCTACAATTTGATGGTAAAATGCATTTATTATTATACGACATCATACATTTACCATGAATTCAGCAAATATCTATTTGGAATGGTGCGAATAACCATGATGAACCAATAAAATACCGCAAACAATTGCGTAACTGTGTTCTCTTTTTTCTAATCAACATCTGTATGTTTTGATGAACATCGTATCAACCAATTCAGTTGAATGGATCATTAATCACAAGCTTGTTGTAAGGTTTTTATTTTATTGACAAACTACTTGATTTTTAAAAGTAGTGTGAAAACGAGGCTAAAGTTATTCGTCTTTATTTGCATTATTTACCATCATTGTCAGTTTGACTGACATATCAGAGAATAGTCCACTATCATGATATTTTTTATGTATAATGCAACATTGTCTGTGTGATTGTGATTTATATCATTGATGTTTCAAATTGGTTCAAAATGACCCACAAAGTGAATGAATTCAACAATGTTAAGCATTACTGAAGCCATCATTATAAAGAAATTTGAACCTAAATTATTCGTCCAAAATGACACTAATCAATCGTACTTTGACCCGATAATCTTAATTTCAATGATCAATTACGTATTATCGCCGTTCGTACTCTAAATTCTAAAAAAACTTTCCTGTTTATTGCTTCTTTTACAAACTTTACTAAGTCATTTATCTAGCTTGTATTATGTAAGGTATGACATTAATTTTCCACTTCTAGAATCCTATGTGCAATTACTTCTGTGTTCTTTTCTGGAGTATTCGTACAACTATTCTTCAAATGACCATTCGTATGAACGATTTCTTTGATGTTTCCATATTCAATACTTTCATTATTCCAAGTTCATGTCAAAAGCAAGCCTAATCAAGGTTTTTGTGCGAACGCTAAGTAAGGTATGTATAGTTGTAATTAACAATTAGTATTATGGGTTATATCATGGATTGACTTTAAGTGGACAGACGTTTAAAAGGATAAAGCACTGAGGACCTATTTAGTTTTATTATGTGACTTAGATTTGAACATCCACTGCCCCATCCAGAATCGAACTCTGGATGTTTAGGTGTTAGGGCGACCCCTATACTAGTTAACATTATTATTGTTGGGTTATAAGTAGATGAATAGAATGCATGAAATAAATGATGAATTCAAAATACTCTACTACCATTGTTATTCTTGTCTTACTGAAATGAGTGGATTTCCGTTAGTCCATTCTTGAAAATTTTCATTGGTAAAAAATTAACAGTGACAATACTATCCCCTTCCTGACGAGTATTGGGACTCATTTTAACCAAATCTAGATATCTTAAATGCAGTTCGAATGAGTAATGTAATCATGGCCAGCAACTGACAGTTTATCCACTGTATATTAAGAAATACTCTACATATTACAATGTCAATTAATGTGAAAGCTTGATAAGATCTTGTTACAACAAAGCTTACCACAAGTCTGTCCTGGAACTAGACAACTTCTATGACAAAAAAATTGATTTCTAGCATTATGTTCGCAACCATGAGTACAACTGACACGTTCATCATCACAATTTCCAACTAAAATAACAAACATAAATAAAGACATTATAAGCAGAAATGGATGGTTGTTAGCAGTGGAATCCAGGATGCGCATTTCGTTTTATTTAGGACTTGTCAGCTGGGTGTACTTACATCTCAGAAACCATGTGTTTATGCTTTTTAATTCTTCATATGTAACAGCGACATTGTTATTATTATGCTTCTATGTTGAAGTATTACGAAGTGATTGAATCGAACTTTTCAACTCAGAGAATACAGTACAAAAGGTTTCGCAAATACTTGACTTTGCTTTTGTTATCTGACAAATTATACTACTGTAGTAAACGAGAATACAAGTGGGGACAATCGAATTACAGAATATCTTAGTAAAATCTTGGACCCATACTGCATATACTTCATTTGTAAAATGTCAATCAATTGTCGTAAACTTGACTGTTCCTTGTGAAAATATCAGTCAATCGTCTCATACTTCATTGTTCTTTTTGTTTCCACACTAATCGTTCTTCGTTCTCGCTCTCTTATATTTGATCGCCTTAACCTTATGTCTGTCGACATCAGTAGTACACACCACACTACGTCATTCTGAATTGTTAGAATTTATAGACAAGATATTTTCTAATGACATTACTGACATTTGTAAAATTCCAAGCAAATAATTGTATCATACTCTATTTATGTTACCCTAATGTCCCATACTTGGATAAAACGGCAGTCCAATGCTTCCAGGTTTTCTATGGAGGTCTCAGTTTCCATCATTTGACAATTAATAAGAACAAATGAATGAAATCAAGATCACAGTATTGTTTAAAAAAGAAAAGAATTCAATGAATATCAAGTTCAGTTTTGTTACCATCGATGATATACTTACAGAATATTAGTTCACTTCTAAAATATTTATTGAATTTGTATTTTTCATCTCTCAACAAGGATATTTAGCTAAACTTTGTAGAAATGGATAGTGGCTAGCAGTGGAATACAGGACATGCGTTTCAATGGGAGGATTCAAATAAACAATTCAAATAAATTTAAACTATACCCCACTGCACATGCAAGTGGTTATCAGGACTCAGTAGCTAAGTGGATATAACGATTCCGTTTGAAGCGAACGGTACTGGATTCGAGTCTCTGAGTGAACATTAACTCTAGGATGGAAGTGTGTCCGACTGACGAGTCTTACATAGGACAAAACGCGTGTTCTGGATTCCATTGCTAGTCTCTATCCATCTCTGCTTATAATGCTTGTGATATGAAAAAATATCATGGCAATCCTCATAGGATGCACACATGCCAATATGAGACTGATGAATTTCAGTTCTACACATCAATGAGAAAATTCAAACAAATATTGCAAAATGAATTAAATTTTATGGATTTTATTACTCATTTACATGGATACATTTATTAAATTGGTTGATCTCATGAATAGTGGTACAAGGGAACATCAAATATGTATGCGCTACACAATAAAAATGAGGTTTTGAAGAGGTACAAAATGGTAGGTGAGCATAACATAAGAGAAGTGGGATAGTGAACAGAAATTAATGTTTGAAAGTGAAACAATAACGATGGAAAAAGAAGTTCAGTTAGGAGAAATACAACAAGAATGGAGTTACTCTTATTTCTGTGAAGAATGTAAAAGAAAGTCACAGCAGGATTGCCACTAACTTCTATTCCGGGCCACGTCTGATGATGCCTCAAGCCACTCTGTTAGAACATCTCCAGGATCCCAAACCGGGGAGTCGGGAAGCAAGTCAATCCTGTATAGTTTTCTTTCATACCACGACATCACGTCTTGCACTGACCAGCTCTCCACTTTTTCCAACCAGTCTAAACGTCGTTATGATATGGAATTCTCTGAGATGATATTCGTAGAACATGTTCAAGCCACTAAAGTTAGTGTTTCATGGATTATAACACTAATTTAATCATCGTCACTGTGCCCGGACACACGTTGCCAGACTTCTGCATTACTAACATGGTGTTGCCACTGGATGTCAGCAATCCTTTGGAGAGATATTAATGATCAAATATAGGGAATTGTCTAATATCCTCAACTCAGAGAGGCTATGTTTTACAAGCATAGGGCAAAAACAGCTCTCACCAACGCGTTGTAGATCCGACCTTTTACAGTCAGACTAACTTCACGAAGGCATCAAAAATGGCCCAGATTAGCATAAGCCACTCTTTCACTATACAAGGATTGATCCAAGTACTTATGCACCTACCCGTATACACAAACTTCTCGACTACTTCTGTGTGCTTACTACACAGAGGGATTGCAGGTTTAGGGTCCTGCCAGTCATGTGAAAGTACTTTGCAATTAAGATGCGCAAGGCACATTTCATGACTACTGACACTGATTACTAACCAATTATCTTCTGACTGCACGGCTTGGGTATCGTCGCACAGTGAGACAATATCATCCACGTACTCATAATCGTAAAGTCATTCTCCAAACAACAGATCCACACCACCATTACCCACATTCATCAGAGCTTTTTCCATAACTTCATCGATAGCAAAGATGAAGAAGACTGGAAAGATTATGAAACTCTGCCTATCTTTGATGTAATGAACATTAATGATTCAATCATTCAGTCAACTACTGTCAATGTAGATCCTGGAACTGATGCATATTTGCTTCATTTCCCACACTGCACTAATACTATGAGACGAAATTATTAAGACAAAAACAAAAATGTGTGGTAATAATGAATTGATAATGACAGTGAGAGTGCGTGAGCATTGAGAAAAGACGCAGTGTAGATGTATATATGAAAGGAGACTGGAATTCATGATGAAAAAGAAGAATAAAAGTGAATGTATGTTCCCCATTGTGAACAATTCTGAGTCGCATCAGACAGAGTCTCGAGCTATTGATCACGACTGATGCTTTGAAATTCACAATTGACTGACCACTAAGTAGTGACCAACATCATGCTTGCTCTATCCTATAGTACTGATCGAATACGACAGATTATATTATGATGTGGCCACTCGTTTAACTGACTCAATCTCTTCCATACCATGCCAAGACGTTTGGTGGTTAAATCTATTCATCGAGAAACTCAGATATTTACTGAATTCGAAAATTATTAAACCTGCATATTCATCATTTATCAGGGGAACATTAATTCTCAAGGGAATACAGGTACACCTTGCTGATAAATTCTATCTAAGATGAAGCCTGTGTTTAAGATTTTTTGCCGACGATTCTTACCCATAAAACTTTGAAATCAAAGATGGATAGTGGCTAGCAGTGGAATCCGGGACGCGAGTTTCGTCCCATTTGGGATTCGTCAGCTGGATTTACCTACATCCCAGGGTACGTCCAGCTGACGAATCCCAAAAAGGACGAAACGCGCGTCCTAGATTCCACTGCTAGCCACTATCCATCTTTATTTAAAAACCTTGTAACTTAAGGCTATATCGAGCCAATCCGTACAGCATGCACATATGTCAACATGAGAGTGACCAATTGCAGTCTTAAATAACAATGGGAAGATATAAGTAAAACAATACCAAGTGAATTCGTACAACTTTGATTTCTAATTAAACCATCTCACCAAAATCTGAGAACCATAGAGTAAAAAACGTAGTTTGCAAAATATCAATCATTCATCTCAAACTTGAATTTTCCTTTTGCAAATATCAGTCCATCATCTAAGATTTTATTGTTCGTGCATTTTCATACCAATTGCTTTCCGTTCTCGATCTTTTCTTTATGATCTTCTACAGAAATACATTCTAAATATGTTCATTGTTATATACTACTTATATGAATATAAGTAGCTCACATCATATTACATTAAAATTTAACCAATTAACAATAATTGAAATCACTTACATGCTCTTCGAATTTGTACTTCATATAGTTTTATACTTGCATTATATAATACAATTTTTTTGATTTAGAACTATAACGCTCAATAGAATTCCATGTATAAATACGGTTAATTATTATTTGTTCAATTATTTTATTTAATTGTAAACCATAAATAATCCAAATTGGTGAAAATTTTCCATACGTTTTTGATTCTATTGATAATTCCTCTGGTAATTGTAAATAAACCTTGAAAATTTGAAAGAAAAAAAAGAGCGCGTCTATTTTATAAACAATAAAATCTATAGCCAAGTCTTGTTTTCTAAAAATAAACGTGAGAACGGTCCATGGGTGAACACGAGGAAGCCATTGAGAAGCTCAGAAAGAGCCGAAGATATTCCATCCAATCATCTTTTAGAAGGATATTCTAGAATCTCTACGTGTAGCTTCCCGATTGGACAATGCTAATAACCACCTGTGTCCGGATTAGATGGCTATAATGATGATTTCGTTTTTACTATAAACTATAAATACTTGACAGTTTGTACTATAATTTGACACTGTCCGGAATAACATTCCTTTCATTAGTCTTCTGTCTGTTCATTGTGACTTGAAAGGGTTCAAGCGTTTTCAAGTGCTCCAGTTGTATGCGTCACATCAGATTATAAGCTTTAGATATAACAATAAATATTTCTTTATATAAGATGACTGAAATTAATTGGTTAAGTGTATTATGGAATCAATGATTGTCGTTTTATTATATTATTTATTTAAACACAAACGTTGGTACAATAAGGTACTAAATAGATATGCGCCGCACAAATCATTTGATTTGTGTGAGAGCTGGGATACTGTCCGGGTGTCCAAACTGAGGTAGATGGTCTTCTTAGAGGGGCACACACGGAGCTTTCGACCTAAAGATCTGATCAGCAAGGGAGTGGAGCAACGTTAGGAGATGCAGTTCTATGATAGCCAGCGACCAACAATTGGTTCATAAATGATTTTTTTCCTTCAGGATAATAGAGCCAACTTGCACCATCGGTTTGAAATCAGGGTTTTCCAATTCCCCTAGGTGTACCCTCCATACCCATCAACCCGGTTAAAGCGCCGGTTATTCTCTTTTTATCCTCTCAATTTTGTAAACAATATTAACGCCACGAGAAGCTAGTAAGTAGGACTTCCCTGGTAGTGGCTGTATACTCTTGGCAATATGAGAGTATTTTGAGAGGGCGAGCTGACGTTCCCCACCCTCGGGTGCACCAGGGCATTTGGGGGTCAAACATTATGATGTATTTGGAAATGGCTAGCAATATTTGATCAGAGACATGTTGTTGGGTTTAAGCTATCTGATTCATATCGTCCAATTAATGGTGATCAATCTTTGAAGACAGAAATTCAAATAATTTATAGCGCTTGGGGGTGATTTAAAAATACTTCCATACATGTTTATTTATAAAATCTAGTGATTTTTATCCCAACGATTTTCTGTACATTTAATCTTCCTGACTACTATTAACAAAACTACTATTTTAAGTCATTTTGTTATTTATTTCATGCATTTCATTTAGTTATAGCAATATGATTCAATGATGACTATTCTATAAAGCAAGTTACACTGACTTATATTTGATGAGTTTACTTTTCTATACTCGTGATCATCCTAATACCCTTATGTAATCAAGACTATTAATAGTTAAGTATTTCAAATAGGCAATTAAATAATCACTAATGCGTTATATTCAATCATGTACCAATGTTAGAAATAATCTATTTGAAGTGATCACCACAAATCATTTCAAATCTGGAGAGACTCTAATTTATGGATGACCTTTGAACGAATCTTAAGCGACCCTGAGAAATAATAACCAATAAGCACACAATCTTCATAGAGTAAAAATATGTTATACAAAACCAAGGAAATAAAGTGGATACACTTCTTATACGTGATTCAAAAACTTGTCAAGGTTAGAAAGAGGTTCGGAGGTTCTAAAATCGTAATGCATGTAGTAGAAGAAATCATCCGTACAGCTACAGAATAGTCGGCCTCTGGAGCCATGATAAAGTCTCAAAAACTGTTTCAGCCTCAACCACATAGCTTCAGTGTTGTTTATGTGCACTCCGGTTGTTGAGTACATAAAATGCTACTTGTGGATAACGACATGATGCACAAACCAAACCTATGTAAGAGTCTGTACACTCTCCAAACATCCGTATATATGGTAGTACCTGGCTGAACCCAGTGTTACTGGTGCTTTTATTATCCAGTTCGCAATAATTGTCATAATTTGCCTTAGTTAGGAGTTATATATGGGGTTTTCATCACAAACTGACATCAGCTATAATGCCAGAAATTTACTTAGCCAAATGGATGAAAGGCTTTCACGTTAAAATCCGAGATCTATTATCTTATACCTGATTGATTCGTCCACAAATTATAGTCCCGCCGTTTTATTTGTTATAGCCGCTCAATTATCACGTTTTGTACAAAATTCCCTGTGAACCGATCCTACGTTAGCATTAAGCACTGAATTTGGCGCCGTAACCTTGAGATCTCTAACACGCTTCTGATTGGCTCGTCCATAAATTAGAGTCTCGCCCAAATCTCAGTAATAATGGTTACAATGAATGAAAATAACCGTCAGTTTTTTTAAAAGAATAATGTTTAGCCTTTTTGTTTCCAACATCAAACAGTTTTATGTATAAATTAAAATATCAAAGAGATAACATATTCAAATCATACAAGTCTGGTCTTAAATTATATACACTTACCAGTTGATAAAATTCATAAGTATACTGATTTATTTGTTGATAGATGAGAATATAATTCAAACTATTCAGTTTCCATGTTGAATGACATTGAAATTGAGTCTCTGATACAAAAATGAAATAAAATTTTCTAATAAAAATAAGTCAAGAAATGTTTAGTTCTTTATTGTTTGACTTCAATAAAACCATTAATCCATTCCACAAAAGAGTTGAAACATATTTATATATATATACATCTGATTATATTATTAACTATTTATTATAGAGAAGTAGTATTAGAAGGGGTTTCGTGAAGATTGTAGTAATTTCAGTAGTTCAGATCATGAGTCTGTAGTGTGGCGTCGACTTGTGGTTGACTATGATCACCGCTACAGGAAGACTATGTGCCACTGAACAGATAAGATCCCCCATAGGCCAAATATCGGAAGGCAGTTGATGGCTATAGTCGAGATGTATTTGTTGGCGATCTCGTGCCAGTTTACAAGTGTGGTTACTAAGCGTAACCGAATTCATGCATAGTCACAATCAACGGGAGAAAGTATGTATTCTGGTACAGTTAAACAAACAAGTACAGTAAAACAATCTCTGGTAAAATTGGTTATAATAATAGTTGTTTCAATTACACCAATCGCGTTCTCTTGATAAAATTAGGTCACTACAAGCTAGACTAATATGGAAAACCTGAAAGCACTGAACGGCCGTTTCGTCCTATTGTGGGACTCCTCGGCAGTATGTATCCACAGTGCATATCAACATATGCTCACTAGTGACTGGCTTCAAGATGTACCTCCTGGGGTTCTAGTGAGAATCAGTGATCAGTAGAGTCTAACCGGGTCTGTTGTGAGATAGTAACTCACTGAAGACAATAGTGGATGTGTCGCTCAATTTCGTGGATTAGTTGAAGTTAGAAATTAACACTGTTGGATTCTGACCGGCTCAGTGGTCTAGTTGTTAAGCGCTCGCGCGCGTGACCAGTAGATCCTGGGTTCAAATCCCGCACGTCGGGGTCGTGAATGTGCACCGCTGAGGAGTCCTACAATAGGACGAACCGCCGTCGAGTGCTTCCAGGTTTTCCATAGTTGTCTAGCTTTGATTGACTTATGCTCTCAACTATTGTTGTTTGAAATAGTATTATTTTTCCCCAAACTATAAGTTCTTACGAAATGTGTAAAACAAATATTACGAATCGACAGAATGTTCTGAAGACTGCACCCGTGTTATCGGGTCTAATACTCTTTAGTGTGATCCTTAATAGGATATTGTATGTTGTAAACAACTGTGTTTGTGTAAGCATAAAGGATTATTGTTATTCGATAATCTACCCACATAGTTAACGATGAGTTTTCACCATTTCTTAGTCTATTATTTGATCACCGTACTAGATTTGTTTGCTTAATCACCTGAAATAACGCACTAAGATTACTTTTTCTAATTTTAGTTACGAAATGACAAGTGACAATCTATCTGAAGAAGATAAACAATTTCAAGTCGATAAACTGTAAAATAATGTTTACTAAATAATAGATAAGATTTAAGTGACAATATTATTATACACATTTCTACATTATAGAATTCGTACAACAACAAAGCACAGTGAACATATGAGATAATTCAACTATATGGTACAAAATACATTGACTCAATACTTAATTCATGTTGGTGTCCGTAATTAATCATTCTTTAGTTACAAGTGAGATGTCGAAAAACTAAATTGATCAATAATCAGTTTACAGAGAAGAAGAAGAAGAAGAAGAAGATTGATATCAGAAGAAAAGTATCTATTCATTACATATATATATATATATCTTTATGCTTTCATGACCTTAACAGTCTGTGGTATTTCGTAATAAAAATTTCAATAAGATTTAACATACTCATACAAATTAAATTGGTTAGAATTCATTGTGCACAACGTAATTAAATAAACAAAGATGGATAGTGACTAGCATTGGAATCCAGGATGCGCGTTTCGTCCTATTTGGGACTCATAAGCTGGATGTACCTGCATGCTAGAGTTGATATTTACGAAATAGAGTCAATACAAGTTATTCTCCGACTCAATTTATGAAACTTATTTTTACCAAGTTCTATTTGATGAAAAAAAGCTGATGTGAACAGAAAAACAAGAAGTCATGACAAACTATACCGAAACGAAAAAAATCGAGTAGCGATACAGTTGCATCGTCTTCTCTCTCTCGCGCGTGCGCTTGTCAATCAATCAGATGATAGAATAGTTTATCTCTTACCAACTCAAGCAATTAGTCTAACTTTGAACTCTCGTATTTCTAGTCTCAATGTTAGGCCAGTTAGCCTATCTAGTCAAGGTCTTAATCTAGATTGAAACAAGTTATCTTCTATATATTTGTGAGTAAACAGATTAGAGACATAACTGAAAACTTTATGTGTGTCTAATTATTAACTGTTGGAGTGATCCAGAAAATTTCTTGCAAAAGACAAACAAGGATCAGGAAACACTAAGAAGCGCTTCATTCAATCAGCGTTCACTTGAAGTTTTAGCCAAAAATATCAAGGAAGTGAAACTTCACATGTAGAGGTTCTGATTGGCTGATTGCTATACTGCTACTATGTTTAGTAGCGTTCCAGAATCTTCGAGCAACTCAAAGGCATTTAAAATATTATAAAAACCCTATATTTTCTGTATTAAAATGAACCTTTGGAGTAAAGTACTTCTCGCATATTTTGTGTCTTCCCTCTCTCTCTCTCTCGTTGTTCAGGTCGCTGTATAGTTCTAGCTTGGGGATAACAGAATAGCTTAGGAAACGAATATAGCGTTCAATTTGCAAGACTTATCATTATCCTTCTCAAAAAGAAAAAAAACACATTATAAACTTAACACACATACTTGACACTTTCAAAGTTATAACTTGAAGTAAGATTTAGATTCTGATAAGAAATGGTTACATTCTATGATAACAAACTATCCTTTAAGTAATAATATATAATAACTATTATAAAGTTAATACATTTCCTTAAATTTTCTTTCATATACATAAGAGCAACAAATCAGTTATCTGAACAATCAATACAACTAGACAGATGGACTATGAATGATAATATACATATATGGATAAATATATACAATGTTCCATTCATTCTTAGTATCCTTCCGTGTGTATATTTATCACTTATACTAAGATTATCCTTTAATCTTGACTATTGATAACATTTCCGCATCTTTTTTTCTGTAAACAGTGAATACTTTCTTTAACGAAAGAGAGTAGTTCTTTCCTTATTAAACCTGACCACTTCATATATATATATATATATATATATATATATATATATATAAGGATTGTTGTAAAACGTCAATTAAATTCATTGTAACAGATTAGACTTATAGTTATCCACGTTGATTTGCCTAGTTATATGTAAGAGTTCTTAGTTTAACAAATATTATTCATGTGATTTGTACTTTGTGGAACATTTCACAGTATTGATTTTTATGATTTTATATCGTTACCATTTTACAAAACAAAAAAAACATATTCACTTGATATTGTTTGGCTTGTATCTTCCCATTGAGGTTTTAAGACTGCAATTGGTCACTTTCATGTTGACATATGTGCATACTGTGCCTATTGCCCCGATATTACCTTAATTCACAAGCATTATAGGCAACGATGGATGGTGGCTAGGAGTGGAATTCAAGACACACGTTTCGTCCTTTTTTCGACTCGTCATCTGGATGTACCTGCATCCCTGAGTTTATGTTCACTCTGGGACTCAAACCTAGTACATATACCAGTATATGGGATGGTTTAAGTAAACAACACCAAATGAATTTAAATTTCACCCAATTGCATAAGCAAGTGGCTATCATGACTCAGTTGCTAAGCGGCTAATGCGATGACGTTTGAAGTGAACGGTACTCGATTCGAGTCCCAGAGTGGACATCAACTCTGTGATGTGGATACATCCGTCTGACGAGTCCCAAATAGAACGAAACGTGCATCCTGGATTCTACTGCTAGCCACTATCCATCTTTGCTCGTAGGTTTAAGATAACACTTCATAAATAAACTGTTGTAGAACAATAATCGAACTAATAATTTCAAAACATTAAACAACCATTTTTCAGGTGAATTTATCGTAACTAATAACATTCGTTGTTATTCCTAATACTTTTGTTTCATTTTGTTAAATTTTAATTTATTCAATATTCATTGTCGTATATATTCATGAAATCGCCACTGGAGACCAACAACACTTAGAGTATATACTATCCAAGTAAGTACTGAGCTAAGGAAGCATATTATTTGATTCACATCAAAATTCTTCTGACTTTTTTAAAATCTATCAAAGGATCAAGATGGATAGGATTAACAGTGTTAAGATATCTGATGAATTAAAATTAGTGTTAAACGTTAATTATTCATCTAACAAAGATCCCAGATTCATCTGGAAGTAAACATATCTATAATTCACATTATGGAAAATCTATCAAATTAACAGTCTTCAATATATGAATTAGCAATTTATTTTGTTGTATTTGTTAACAACAATTCATTTTCAATAATTCAGACAAACGTTATTATCACTAACTATCCTAGTACATCCGATTGTATTGATATATGTGTTCAAAATAATTAGCAAATCTATAGGTCTCACTCGTCATAGACTCATTTCACTCTGGACCCCAATGAAAACCAAAAATCATTGCCATAGGGTTCCAAACTAGAATGAAATAACCACGCACTGTCACATGACTTTCAATGATATTCCAATTGAACTCAGTCTGTAGCGAATGAAATCTAAAAGTCCAAGTAGTATCTACGAAGTCCTCGTTCAACTAAGTCACCAGTAACTTACTTCTAGACAAATTGTTGAAGTTCTAGTGTCAAGTTATAACCGATGGATTTCAGATATACTGACAATGAAATAGTTGTCACCTATGCCATTGAATGATTGTTACAATGTATTGAACATTCACCTAAGTTGAAAATATCTACCGCTTGATCCCGACTCGGTAGTTCTAACGGTTAAATATTCACCTTATCAGCTTGAAACGCTAGGTTCGATCTCTGTTGTGATTATAGCTGTTCACTGTTGTAATGTTCTATATCAAGACCCTAAATGTGATAAATATTTAACGAATACAACCTACAAACTAAATCATCTCCTTCAAAAAAATAACCCATTCAACCAAATGAAGAAAATTGTTTTTTTCAATAAATTGAATATTGTCTAACTACTTCATCATTAACGACCTTGTTCAATCATTCAGATATGAAATTTATTCTTTTGAATGAAAGATGTTTCTGTCAAACAAACAAACAACAATCATATTCTTTGTTCTGTTTTGTTTTCTTTTTCTGTGATTTTAGACCAATATAATTTCAATGAAATAAACAATGTCAAAAACTGGAAAATAATTTACAAATTAAATTAGTTCCATTACTATTGCTATTATTATTATTATTAGTAGTAGTAGTGGTGGTGGTAGTGGTGGTACTAAAGATCATAAAAATCCCTCCTTTATTCCAATGTAATAACCAAATTATTTGTTAAGAGTGGTATTTAATAGCAAGAGTAAAATGAAGCATACATCTCTCACTTTTCAAGTTAACTAACTAATTAAAGCAAAAATACATTATGATTTATTATCCTTATTATACTACTAATATATTCTATAATTATTAGTAGTAATGACTTGTGTTTATAATAAAATTATTACTATGATAGTTGTGTGTTAATTCATAAACTCTAAATGGATGATCTCAATTACACGGTGTGAAATTATAATTTCTGTATATGGGTGGGTGTGTGTGTGTACGTATGTGTGCGTAGGGGGCAGGGAGGGGTGACTATAGTTCTTCCACTATATTAATGAGAAACAAAATAGATTAAAGAAAATATAAATGAATTTTCTTTTTAAGGAATAATGTTAACTTTTTTATTTCATGTTTATTACTATTAAAAAAAAGCATCAAATGTATTTACTCCTCCCCCACCCTCTTCCCACCCCTCTCATCGTTTTTTCATGTTCTCATACATAATATTTAATTGAATTATGGAAGAAATTTATCATATCACTCTTACCTAGTTTATTTATGGAAAATAAATATTGAATTATTATTCTGATTTGAAGTATGGGGAACACTCATAATCGTAATAATAATAATAACAGTGATAGTGGTAGTAGTAGTAATAATAATGATAATACCAGTAATAGTAATAATAATGATAAAACAGTGAGATAACCCAAGTAATTTAATTACAAGTTGACATAGACAAAAATAACTTGAGGTGAAAATTAGCTTAAAGGTTAGTGTATTCATGAACTATGCTATTAGATCATATTTATTATGATTCTGAATAAATAAACAATGTTAGAGTAGTATTATCTCCATCTATGGTTAATGAATTTAATATTAAACCGTTTATTATTTCTATAAAGCTTGTGATAATTTCCCCGTTTCTTTTTTTCATTCTGTAAAAAGAAATTCTGTTTCTAACAAAATAATTTTGACAATACTATTGTTAATTGAATTGAATTTTCAAAATAGAAAACGTCAATCATTGAAGGTGAAGTTTATTTCTTCTTTTAACTTAATTTGTAATAAAGCATAAACTAGTTGGAAGTTTAATAGTTAAATTCATGAGTCAATTGAAGCTAGACCATTATGGAAAACCTAGAAGTGTGGGACTGATCAACAATGTGCACCTACGATCCTGTGAGCGAAATTTGAAACCGGAACCTATTAGTCACGCGCGCGAACTCTCAGCCTGCATCTAACGGTGTTAATGTCGAACTTCAACTAATCCACGAAATTGAGCGATACATCCACTATTTTCTTCAGTGAGTTACTATCACACAATAGACCTGGTTGAATTCCACTGCTCACTGCTTTTCACTAGAACTCCAGGAAATACCTCTTGGAGACTGTCACTAATGAGCATATGAAATCTTTCAGAAACTAAATGATAACTAGACAGTTATTATGATAACTTAATTTTAAAAAATCTTTTACGGCTCAATCCAAGAAAAAAAATAGAGAGGAGTAATGATATCAAACTGTATCTGATTACATCGTTTCGTTGTTTGATTCGTTTGGATTGAATTAGACCGAATGGTTGTTGACATTAACTAATCAATAAATTACAGTACAAACAAACGATTGAAATATAATAAAATGAAACCACTATCATCAACAGATTTGGTTAATTTACGATGTTGTATAATTACTACTTATTGACAGCTATATTTTTCTTTGATTATTTATATCTGAAATTGAACACTTAGCATTGCGGTCAACACAAGACATTTAAATAAACCAAAAGGCTTCCTCATTAAATGGGGTTAACACCATGGATTGACTTTAAGTTAATAGACACTGAAAACCAGAGAGCATATTAATAGATATTTCATCCAACTATGATACTCGTTAGGAGGGAGTTCTCACAACCCCATTGGGTATTAAACCTATCATCTTCAACCCTTGTGAAAATCGTGTTAGCTTTAAATGACTTGATTAGGAATTCAGTGATTTTATACGACCCACGACCACGCCTTGCGAGATTCAAAACCAGGATCTATCAGTATCGCGCGTGAGCGCTTAACCACTAGACCACGGAGCCGGTCGGAATCCAACAGTGTTAATTTTTAACTTCAACTAATCCACGAAATTGAGCAACACATCCACTATTGTCTTCAGTGAGTTACTGTCTCACAACAGATCCGGTTAAACTCCACTGATCACTGCTTCTCACTAGAACTTCAGGATATGCCTCTTGAAGCCAATCACTAGCGAGCATATATTGATGTGCACGTGGATGCGTACTGCTGTGGAGTCCTGCAATTGGGCAAAACGGCTGTCCAGTGCTTCGAGGTTTTTCATGGTTGTCTAGCTTAATTATTTGATAGTTTTTCATCTTAGTTATCTAGAATTAGACTTATTTTGTACTGAAAGTCATATAGAACAAAAGTATGGGCTTAAAAAAGGCTTGTAATGATAAATATTGGTTGTATTATTTTAAATCCCATCGGAAATTATACTATCATACGAAATGGGTGTACATCTCGTTAGCCTCAATATCATATTTTATAGTTGATTCAAATAATTGTCATCATTTATTATTGTATATTTTTGAAGATAGTTGATGAAACTATTGTTTTAACAACTTTTGAAAACTCAATTAAATTGTCAGTGTTTATAACCTTCAATCTGTTTAATCATCATTATGTAACAGAAAATATGAATTAGCTTATTAAATACTTACTATAGTTTTGTACGAATGGATTACATTGAGGTTGTAAAAATGTCCATAAGATACCTTCACCTGACATGCACTCACTTTCCAAAGTCGAATAAACATGAGGTTCACAGAGGACCTATGTAGAAATAGGCAAAAAATTATTATGTGGTGTAGTCAATATATATGAAGTAGCCTTAAATACATGATAAATTGTCATTCACAATGTAAGCATTTAAATATTGGATTTTCTTAAAAACTTTATATTTTGTGTTGGATAGTCGTCCAATTCTAATACTGATCCATGAGCTTCTTATAACCGAACCCAACTATCTACTTGGGTGAGAAACTCAAGAGTGAGCAAAACTTCTATTGGGCAACCTGAATCGAAATATATGCATGACCTCATTCTTGAATATAAATACATGTCTTCTTTATATAATTAAAACGAATCTTCAACCGATAGCGTGTTTGTGTTCCCCTGGATAATTAAGCTAACACCTGATCAACAATGTGCTCATCACCATCTCATACTTATCGTTTCGCTCTTGACTGATATCGGGTTCGCGCAGCCTATCACCACTTCATATGATTTACAAGCTTTGCATTAAAAATAAACTTTGTATGTTATGTTTAATATAGATTAATTAACCTAAGTCACAAAAAAGGGACGTATTAACCATTTTCATCATAATTGATATCTGAATTATGCATTGGAACACCTTTTAGGATGAATCATGTTGATTATTAATTCACTTGCAATCAGATAAATTGTTTAGCTACATCGAAACTTAAACAGATGATGTGCTAGACAGAAATGTTATCACAATATCATTTTCTGTATGAAAATTACTAGGTTGGAGTTTTGGAGTGTACATCGAATCTGGTGTTCATGTGCATTCAGCTGACGAGTCCTAAATGAGGTGGGATGCACGTCCTGAATTCCACTGGCGTCCACATTCTATCTATTCTATATCAACTTGTCTCATAATGAATATATTTGAGGCGATCCGCAAAAAATCTACATATCCCAAACGAGATTGATCAAATTCCTGTCGAAATATCAACAACGGAGTAATTCAAACCATCAGAAATCAAACTGATAGGAAATGTGTAGTTTATTTAATTAAATCAATTAATAATTTTCATCGGGGACCAATCTTAGTTACACATTTACTGAAAACCATGAGACGCTTGACAGATGCATTACGCATCTTCCACTCCACAAGGGATCAAGCCCAAGAGGTTTACACATCTCAATGAGCAATTAACCTAAAACCAATAAGCCGGCACTAAATGGTTTTCATTTCTAGCTTCAACAGATATCTAACGATCATATTTCAACACCATTGGTGGGTAACTGTCCTACATCCACTACTATTGAACTGCTATGATGGTAGCCTTCCAACAGAACTCCTGGAGTTAATCCTCGCTGAAAGAGATTGGAAGACCCTACCGTCAGTTTCAGGTAGGATCGGTGGTCTAAACTGTTAAGGAGTACCATATTAAGACGAAACAAGTATCCAAAGCCTTCTGTTTTCTAATGGTTGTTTACTACAATTCAGCTTGCGATGCAAACTACGCAATTCAAACCCCCTTAGTAAGAAATTAAGAAATTCGTGATAAGACATCTGATTTCTTTGACCAGATACTACAAATGAAGTATCTGGATTACCGAATGGATACAGATAATGAATTAATCGTTACATTTTAAAGATCAAAATTATGATCGATATTAAATAGAAAGTATCTTTGTATTGTTAAAAGACTTCTATCTGAAGTTTGTGCTGATGATGTCATTCAGAAGAACGATGACAGCTCCACGACCAAACCATCCAGCTCAGAGAACAAAACTCCATCAAAAATTGTATTGTTAACTCAAATGATATAAGTAATGATCAAACTTCAATAACACATCAGATTTTATAATAATCATGCGAATAAGCAAAGATGGATAGTGGCTAGCAGTGGAATCCAGGACGCGCGTTTCGTCCTGTTTGGAACTCGCCAGCTGGATGTACCTGCATCTCAGAGTTGATGTCCACTCTGGGACTCGAACTCAGTACCGTTCGCTTCAAACGCCATCGCGTTGTCCACTTAGCTACTGAGTCCTGATAGCCGCTTGCTTGTGAAATGGGTTGAAGTTTAATTCACTTGGTATTGTTTTATTTGAATCTTCCCATTGATGTTTTTGGACTGAAATTGATCAGTCTCTTATTGGCATATGTGCATACTGTGCGTATGCCTCGATATTGCTTTAATTTACAACCATTATAAGCAAAGATGGATAGTGGCTAGCAGTGGAATCCAGGACGCGCGTTTCGTCCTGTTTGGGACTCGTCAGCTGAATGTACCTGCATCTCAGAGTTGATGTTCACTCTCGGACTGATCAATTTCAGTCCTAAAACATCAATGGGAAGATTCAAACAAAACAATATCAAGTGAAATCATACGAATAGTTTACTCAAAATATATAAAACTGACTTCATTATTTTTTAAATCTAGTGTTTGACTTATTTGAAATCCACCTGATATTGGGCATAATGTTTTGCTAAGCTCTGTATTTGGTGACAGACCTAAAATTTTAAAAGAATGTAATGATAATAATAAACTAAACAGTACCATGTAAATACTAGTCATTTTATAATAAACAATATTCAAATTATATTCCCTAAAATTCTAGTGAGAAGTCGTGACCAGCGAGTTTAATCCGTGTCAGTTGGAAACAGTTATCCACTTCACACAATGGATAAAGGGTTGCGTAAGATCACAGATCGATTGAAGCTAGTTGCTAGCTGAGTGGTCTAGAGGTTAAGCGTTCGCACTCAAGATTTGAGGTCCTGGGTTCAAGTCCCTCGTTAGGGGTCGTGGTTGCACATTGCTGAGGAATCCCATACTAGGACGAAACGAACATCCAGTGCTTCCAAGTTTTCCGTAGTGATCTAGCTTAAATTAACTGATCAATTCAACAATTAAAATATGCAATTTATTAACTAAGGAAGTTAGACAGTTAACACTAGTGGGATTCGATAGACGTCACGTCATACCACCAGTAGATTTACAATGGAATCAATGACCACTGGATTACAACTGAATGGTCTTAAGGATAAGAGTTAGCTGTGGGTGTTTTTGGTCCTGAGTTTTATTCCTATCGGGAACATCGTGTGTCATGTTGAGGAGTTTTATACTAGGATAGAATAGTCGCCTTATCATTTCCACTTTTTTAATGGTATTCTCAAATGATACGAGTCCTTGACATATACTACCTGCGAATCAACTCATCAAATGAAACTGTAAATCTCATTATTTTTGAATAATATTCGTAGTCTATTAAAATATTGTTTTTTGAAAGTTAAAAATCAATTTTACCATAAACAACTTAATATTCCGTATAGATTGGTCTCACTTTGGATGGTGTAAAATCAGAGAAAACTGAACAGCTTTTTATCGTAGTATAGGATGCCTCAGCATTGTACACCCATGACCACCAAGAATAAACCCAGTACCTTCAGGTCTTGTAGAAAGCGCATAAACTTCAGGAAATTGGGCTTGTTTACTGGTAAGTACTTCCAGGTTTAATTAATTTGTGAGTATACTTCGATGACATTGGTTATGGCTACTTCTTTCCTGATATACCTGAAATCCGCTGGTCACAACTTCACAGCAGCACCTCAGAAACTCATCTAGACGTAAGTCTCTAATAAGCTGAAAGTTTTCAGTTTAGATAAGTGTCTTGTAGACATAAATTCAATTTACAGGTAATATTCTACATAGATTGATATCAGTTAAGATACTAATAAAAGGAGAGAACACTAGACAGTTGTTTCATTAATTTATGGAATTCCAGTGTGAAATCATAGCTGCTGGACTTTGAAACATACTTAGAGAGAAACAGTTTTGATAGTCCCACTAAATTGAACATTGATTATATTTTGAAATGTTTACCATTTGATATCAACCCAATGATTCTAATGATTAAGCTTTTCCAGCGAAAAACGTGAATGTTTTAGGTTCAATATGATAATAACTTTGTAGGTTCACACTTTTAAAGCATCCTATTTTATAGTAAACTAACTGTCCATTCATTACTAATTCTCAAGAATATTTCAACTGAAATGAATCCATGTGGAATATCATCAACATCTACATTAAAAAATATATAGTTATTTATCATATTTAAATACTTCTTAGGACACTATTCAGCTTACTTACTGGCAATCCATTTTGATGAATCATATTTAAACGCTGTAGGATGACACAATGTTAAATCCGCTGTAGGTGAGGTATATTCACCTATTTATTAAAAGAGAAAAATAAAATAATGAATAGTTTAGTTAAAATTTACTAAACCTCTTATTAGACTTGAATATAACTACATGTATCACATATTTGGTTACATATTCTATTCATTCAATAACCATTAGAATGCCTACAATCAGTGACTTGGTTACATATGTACTCACTTATCTCAACTAATCGGATTGTATTGTGTTTCGTATCATGAGTGTGTGTAAAGAGTAATTTATAAATAGTATAACATTACCCCCCTCCCAACACCAACACCATTCTGATATGTAGTACATTGTCAGTAACATAGTTATTAGTATACTGATTAAAAAGTATCGAATTACAGGTTTTTCATATTGAAACCGGTAATGATATCAGTTTGTATATGAAAATTCGGTTTAATTTAATACTACTAACCTATAAATTATTTTAGAATTAAAATATAACCTAAATGTTACCTAATGTAAAACTAACTAAATAATTGAAGTTATACTAGGATAGTGTTTCAATGAAGTATGTAGATTTGAAAATTATATACTACTTACTTATCTCATACAGATAATACATAACTTAGATACGTTGTTCTAAACGGTTCACACGAACAAGGATATGAACGTGTTGTATCCCGATAAGAATAAATGAATGGTAACTGTTGGGATCCATTTATGCACCAATATTACGAGTATATTTTGATCGTATAATTGTTGCGTAACTAAACTGTTCATATTCATGTCCCTCTTATTGTGAGCTTTGTTTTGACCCATGAACTATTATTAGACGATTTACCATTCATGAATTACTCCCTGTCTGTCCCTCATTCACAGCCACATCTGGCTAATTCCTGTACAAATGCTGTTTCATATTTTATTGGTACGTTGTGATCGGTTTGATTGGTATATAAACTCAGTATGCTTGAAATATAATGATTCATATCTCAGAGGCTGAGACTTGCGTTTTGGACTCAACTGGCTGGGCTAGACAGGGAAGCGGGACCACTCAGAACTCTAGACTGCTCATACGGTTTTACGTTTCATTGATCCGATCGATAATACGCTTTGCTCTAATCTGCAATCCACAGTCACAACAGAATGAAACAGTGAGTAAAAAGGAGAACACATCAATGAATGCAATGAATAATGAGGTTGATCACCTAAAAGGTATATATTATGTTCTAGCTGTTCAGAATGGAAGGACGCTGTTAAGATGATTAAGATAATAAGAACAATGAATTGTTATCAAACTCGAAACATTTAACGTACCTTGTTGAAAGTAGATTCTTCATTAAATGTTTAAAAACTATGTGGTAGTAAGCGTACGAAAGATAAATCGAACAGATTTCACAACTTTAAAAATGTTATTCCCCTCTTTGATACTCACTTTTATTATTATACGCCTCTTTGATAATTACTGTTATTAATGCTTGCCTTCGTTAATGACCTCTCTTTTATCAACCGCTTTCTTTCGCGTTTTTATGAATGAATACCATTTTAAACGGAGCGATGTATTTTACTCGCTTATATCATCCTTTGCATAATGTCTCTCAGTCAGCCGGACAAAAACATTGAGATACATCAAAGAATTATATATAGTTCTATCCGATTCATGTAAGGCATGTTTATTTCGTAATTTACCAATGCTTTCTCCTCAAAAAGTAACAATTAAGCATTGGACACTACAATAAAGCTATTCAACAGATAGTTTTGTCTGAAAAATATACCCATCTAGTTGCCAGAAGATTAAAAGAGCAGAAATAATACACCGATGTCTGTATGAGATTTGCAGTTATGAGTGTGGGGAGTTTTGTGGAAGCTATAAAATTTATATAGGTTTCCAATCACAAATTGATCTTAATTAAGCAACCATTGGAAACCTGGAACCACTGCATGATCGCTTCGTTCGATTGTTGAATTCTTCTGTACTGAGCATCAATAACCTCGTGATAAGAACTCGAACATAGGACTCACGGTATACTAAGCTAGCGTGTCTAACTTCAATCAATTCACAATATGGTTTATGGTGGATAACTGTATCACGCTCGACATGGTTAAACTCCACTGATCACATCTTCTCACAATCAATCCAGACGTTGGATCCAGAATACGTTATTTGTGAAGATTAAATATTTCTCATTACATAGACTGCACTAATTAATAATAATCACAACAGTAATTCCTGTTGTGGAGTTATGGACGCATACTAATGTGAAGAGTCTCACACTGGGAAGAAAACAATTGTTTAGTGCTTCCATATTTTCAATGGTTGTTCATAATTTGAAATTCATGAAGATTATGCAATGATTTAACTCTAAATAAGTCATCTTACAGTAATGATATTACAAAAAAGGCTGAAATATTAATAGAAACGTAGAGTAGAAATCAACATACACTAGTCAACCTAAACCTATTTTATCATAATCTTTTCCATACACGATTGATACTTTATAAGTAGAGAGAGATATAGAAAGTCATCAAATGAAATGTAAAATTAAAACAAACTAATAAAACATGTATTCATTAGTGAACTCACTTAAAAATAGATTAAACACTGATACTGAATCTATTTCATTGATAAGTTCAAATTTAACACATTGATAAATGGATCTGGAAAACAATGAAAAAATTTTTTTAAAGAAAAAACATTTTTCTCCGATCTTATTTTCAAAAGAAAAACAACCGATCAATCATTTCAAGTGTATCATGAAAGAATAAAAAATGATAACAGACCATAGATACTAATTAGTATTAATATAAGAAGGGATTTTTTTGTGTGGATATTATAGTAATCTTAATGGTTGAGATCATGAGTCAGTTGGAGCTAGACCACTATGGAAAATCTGTTAGCACTGGATGGTCGTTTCGTCCTGTTGTGGGACTCTTCATCAGTGTGTATTCACGATTAAACCTCGCAAGATTCGAACCCAGGATATGTCAGTCTTGCGCGGAAACGCTTAACCTCTAGACCATTGAAATGGTATTCAATGATGTTAATGTCTAACTTCAAACAATCCACGAAATTGAGCAGCACATCCACCATTGTCTTCAGTGAGTTACTATCTCACAACAGACCCGATTGAACTCCACTGGTCACAGCTTCTCACTAGAACTCCAGGATTATTAAAATGAATTGTGTATTTCATCAACCAGCCCAAATTGTATATCGGTGAAATCTCTGAGTAGATGTACAAAATTTGTTTAAATTTATATCAGTACATGTCAATTAATAACTATTATTATAAAAAATGTCGAGTTTAGTGCACAGATATGATAATTCTTGATGTCCCTCTATGTTTATCCAAGAATTATTTCATATAAACAAAGTTGAATGGTGAATAACAGTGGAATTTAGGATGCGCGTTTCGTTCTATTTGGGATTCGTCATCTAAATGTATCTTCATCTCAGAGTTGATGTTCACTCTAGGACTCCAATCCACTAATGTTTACTTCAATCGCCATCGCGTTATCCACTTAGCAACTGAATGCTGATAGCCATTTGCTTGTGCAATTGGGTGTAGTTCAAATTCACTTGGTTTGGTTTTACTTGAATTTTCCCATTGATGTTTAGGGCTGTAATTAACTAGTCTCATATTCGTGTATGTGCATTCTGTACAAACTGCTTCGTTATTGCCTTAATTCATAAGCATTATAAACAAAGATGAATAGTGGGTAATAGTGGAATCCAGGACATATGTTTCGTCCTATTTGGGACTGACCAGCTGGATGTACCTGCACCTCTGATTTAATGTTCACTCTAAGATCTGGACCCAGTACACTTACCTTCAAATAACCAATACAAAAATGAATTAATTATTTAATGTTTTATTTCAGAATTTTATTCACTTCTTTTGAACTATTTGTCTTATGTTAATTTGTTTTATCTATTTTGTATTTATTTACACTTACATCATTAATGTAAATTGAGTTAACTTTTAAAAAGATAAACACTCTAGTCAATACTACATAGATTATACTCTTTGTCTAAATTGACTTAAGGCGATATTTAATTCAAATCAGAAGTAAAACTTTGTTTTTTAATAAGAAGAAAAGTTCTTGAAACTGTAATATGAATTCGAACTGGTTTGTTCTAGACTTTAATGGTTGTTTATTACACATTTCATAAGAATTAGTGAACATGTATCAATATCTTGTTTACAGTCATTATTTTATTGAGATGTCTATTGAACTGATTTATATAGCACTGCTTGAAATTTCTTCCTGATACTTGTATTCTTACTGACCAAAATCAAATCAATAATATTGTCTCCTTTGTCTAGATAGTTTAATAAAGGTATTATGAATAAAACTGAATAACTACTTGAAAGAAGCCTATATACTCATTAAATCTAAAATAAATATCATTATGATAATATATAAAGATTAAAGTTTTTGTTTTTATCTATTATCGGTAAACGTATTAAGGTCACAACTCTTAGCTAACTTATACAACACATGTATGTAACAGGAAAAGTATGCATTTAAACAGTATTACGTATGTAGTGTACAAATGTGTTGGATTTTTGGAAATTTTTGTTCAAACTGTAAATAAATGCAAATTACAAACAATTAAGATTATTAGAAATTTCAATAGTTGAAATCATGAGTCAATTGAAGCTAGACCAATATGGAAAACTTGGAAGCACTGAACGACCGTTTCGCCCTAGTATGGAACTCTTCAGCAGTGCGCATCCACGACCCCGCTCCCCACGGGACTCGAAACCAGAACTTAGCGATCTTGCGCGCTGAGGTGTCCTATACTAGGACGAAACGGCCGTCCAGTGCTTCCAGGTTTTTCATGATGGTCTAGCTTTAGTTGACTCATGATTTCAACTATTGAACCTTCTAAAAAAAATTTCCACAAAAACCCCTTCTAATTAAGATTATTCTTACTACAAATAGAATCTATTGTGAACATGACTTTATAGCAGATGACACAATACTGTAACAATAATTATCAAAGATGAAATGTGAAAAGAAAGTATCATTGTAAGAGAAAAGTTTATATATAGTAGTGATAAACTAAAATGGAATAACAACCAAATATGATCTTGGGATGAAGAACACTTAGCAAACTAAAAAAAAAGGAGAAAATAATAAAGGTCATATGAAAATACAAATTTAAAATATTGTACTCTTGGTTATCATTACAAACAAACAAAAAGTGAATTAACACTTATTCACAGAAAAGTGTAATCTGGAATCATTTTAGTAACATACAATGAATGGTAGTTTTAAAGTGGATTAATTATATAAAGTTTACATCCCTTTAAACGAATCATCATCCAAATATCTTCATATGATCAAGTTGATTAGTTATAAAGTAAATAAGTTAACTGTTATGATCCTGTGTCTAAACTGTGAATACTCTAATCATTATATTTAACTTGAATTTGTCAAATCTATATGCATTTATCAATTCAACTGCTCCTGTGAAACTAGTTATATAGGGCATATAATTCAGTAAGTTCGTCATTGTATAACAGAGTATCATCCGTCGGGGTTGAGTAAAGAATAGGTAAGAGTGATTAAGAGTTCTATTCTGGCTCACTTGGTTGACACAGGTCATCAAGTTGAACTGAATTAATGAACGTTAGAAATAAACTAGTGGATAATTTACTACGCATCAGTTACTACTTATTATAATTTGTATATTTTGTTATTTCTATTTTCATAATTCTAATTAAATGTCCAATATAGTGTTTAGAAAAACTAATTCAAGACAACAGATTATAATAATCATATTGTACATAACTGAACTAATCGTTTGAAATGTCAACAATTAGAGATTTTCAGTTTATTTACGTGAATCAGTATTGTATGAGAATATTCTACATAATTAAGATACTCAATATCCGTTGGCTGGATACCATCAGCAACAGTTTACTTTGGAAGAGGACAAATCAACTTCCAATTAAACAAGAAATTAGGAAAAGTTATTGAAAGTGAATAGAACATACATTACAAAAATCACTAAACTACATCACGAGGCAATCGCTTGCTGCCTGGAATTTTGAAACGAAACAGAAAAGAAGATTAAAGAATATACCAAGTTACAAAATGGTAACAGATATCAAAAGAATGAATAAAAACTGGAAAGGATTACCCCATTACAGAGTTGAGTTAAGGAATACTGGCAAAAGGCCTATTTCCTCAACGAGGAATAACATGTGTAAATAAGTAAGTAGGTAAGTAAGTACTCTACACAATTCTTTCAATTATTACTTCTCTTCATAATCTTTTTCTATTTATTTTATTCATCAATTGTTTTCTAGTCTAATTATAACCGTAACAATCACCACTGTTTATGACAATTTCAAACAATCACAAGTGTGAACTACTCATCTATTCACATTCCAATAGTACATAACAAGTAAATGTTAAATTTTCAACAACAAAAAAAACCCGAAAAATTACTGAAGAGAATTAACAAAGAAGGAAAAAACCTAATAATAAATAAATAATAATTTAATAAAATTAAAAAAAATATTAAAAAAAAACATAAACGTTTCCCTAAATGATTCAAATGTCATTAGTTGCTATCTAAATCAGTTTCTTTTTTTTTTAATATAAATCATTCGACTGTACAATGTTTTTTTCTTTAAAAAAAATTTTTTTTGTTTGAATCCATTAAAAATGGTATTCACAAAAAGTTACCGCTTAAATCAATAAACCATTTAAAAGTAGATTAGAATATAAAAAAATAAATAGTTTTCCGGTTTAAAGAAAAAAAGAAGAAAAACAACAACAACAACAGCAACAATGACGAGAAAAACTCCATAGTGATTACAGTATTTATTAAAAGAGAAATAAATAAATGAGTAAAGGAAGTTATTTGAAAACATATCAGATTAAAGAGGGGGGTTGTTGTTTCTTTTTTGTTCTTAGTAGAAAGATACAAATAGAATGTATGTTAGAATTAAAGATGCGCCAACATTATTATTATTATTATTAGTTAAGACTTTTTTTAATTCATTTAGATGGGTTGTGTTTTTCTTTTTAATTATCTTGTCTTGTTTTTTGTTTCTTTCTTTTTCTTTGCTTTCTATTATGAATTTTTTTGCTTTATTTCTTTCTAGAAGGAAATTTTTATTTCCATCTATTCATTAACTTATTATCTGTGAAGAAAGATACATTGATTAATGTGACAAGAGTTTATTCTTGTGTTGATAGAATATAGTGTGTTTCATCCAAAATGTAGATGATATAGTAAGTATTTTGATTTTGATTCATTTCGTTCAGACTACTTACAATTACCTAATATCTTACATATGGAATTGTAGTATGATCTATAGAATGTGATCAGCATGAAATGCCAAGATAAACTATGTTATAACTTGTGTTGTGGTGTATGCTACTTATATTGAAATAAGTAGTAGATGATGTTAGTCGTGAACAGAATATCTGGCAGCAGAGAGACAAGAGGATCGAATAGTAAAGAATGGAAACAGAATGCAATTCGTATGAAAATGCAAGAACAATGAAGTCTGGGTCATTTTGAGACAATTAGTGGACATTTTGCAAATTAAGCATTTACTTTATGATTGTTAGATTTTATTAACAAGTTCTGTAAGTTTGAGTTAAATACATTCGATTGTCCCACCCGTGTTCTTGTTTACTACAGTGGGTTTGCGCCCCTAACAATGTATAACGTAATGATACCGTCAATTCAAGAACAGTGAATTATCGACCGGACCAATGATACATAAAACAAGTACGAGCAATCTAGAGTCATTATTGGTCTTTCTTTCTGCTTAGCCCTGCTTGTTAAGTCCAGAACACCAATCTCAGCCTCTACGATATGAATCATTTATTTCAAACATGCTGGGTTTATATACCAACCAGACAGACCACATCGTACCATAAAATAAGAAACAACATTTTTACAAGATTTAACCAAAAGTGTCTATGAATGTGGGTATAACTCAAGAATGGTAATTTGTATAGTAATAGTTCATATGTCAAAACAAAGCTCATAATAAGAGGGACACAAATATGAATAGTTTAGTTACTTAACAATTATACGATAAAACATATACGTATAGTAATAGTCCAGAAATAGATCCCAACAGTTACCATTCATTATTCTCATCGGGATATAACAAAATATGATAATAGTCACAATTCAATGATTAATCAATTGTACATGAATTCAACATTAATGTATCATTAATGATGATGATGATGATGATGATGATGATGATGATGATGATGATGATGATGATGATGATGATGATGATGATGATGATGATGATGATGATGATGATGATGATGATGATGATGATGATGATGATGATGATGATGATGATGATGATGATGATGATGATGATGATGATGATGATGATGATGATGATGATGATGATGATGATGATGATGATGATGATGATGATGATGATGATGATGATGATGATGATGATGATGATGATGATGATGATGATGATGATGATGATGATGATGATGATGATGATGATGATGATGATGATGATGATGATGATGATGATGATGATGATGATGATGATGATGATGATGATGATGATGATGATGATGATGATGATGATGATGATGATGATGATGATGATGATGATGATGATGATGATGATGATGATGATGATGATGATGATGATGATGATGACGATCTATGATATTAAAATATTTTTTTCGTGAAAAACAGTCAAGCTCTGAATACTTGAAATTAAATAAGAGATTACCATACGAGCCATTAAGATAAACTCGAACTATTCAGTTGAAAGAAATAGGTTCAAGATGCTTTTCTATAGTAACGTAATATGCTCTGGATAAATATCCTATTTTTTCTTTGTATCATTTTACAGTGTAAAGTTAACTCATTTAATAATCTACACGATTGAACCATATGTTAAGTATTCATTTTGATTTTATTATCCTCAACTTTATTGGATCATTGTATGTTATACATAATACTTAATGAGATAAGTAATATAATTAAGTTATGAATTGTGTTCTTACTTCCTTAATCTTACATTAATTATAACCATTCTAATAGTTTACACAATTTTACTTGACCGATGAAGTGTATATTACGTGCTAATCATTTCAACATGTTTTAAAACTAATAATCAGAATAAAGTACATTATTGAATTCAATTCGAAATGATTTGAATGATTCTGCTATTCATATATAATTGAAATCTGAACGATTTCGGTTGATACATGAGTATCTTGTGTGGAATGCTTCAATATTAGACATTATGATGTAAATTGATATAGAATAGAATGTATCCAACTGATGAGCAACAAATAAGATGATACTCTCATCCTTGATAATATTGCTGGCCACATTCCGTCTGTTCTGTGTCAACTTTTGTCATAATGGCTATATTGAGGTAATCCTCACAGTATGCTTATATGCCAACCAAGACTAGTCAAATTCCAGTCATAATTTCATCAATCAGATAATGTAAACCATTTCAAATTTAGTTAAATCTCCTACCCGTTGCACAAAATAGTGCTTATCTGAATTCAGTAGCTAAGTAAATAATGCAATGACATTTGAAGCGACCTGAACTAAATTTATATGGTATTGTTTGGTTTGTATCTTCCCATTGAGTTTTCAGACTGCAATTGATCAGTCTCGTGTTGGCATATGTGCATTCTGTGCAGATTACCTCGATATAGCTTAAGTCACAAGCATTTTTAAACAAAGATGGATACACCAACAAGAGACTGATCAATTGCAGTCGTAAATAACAAGTAAAACAATACCAAGTGAGTTTAAACTTCACCCGATTACACAGGCAGGTGGCTATCAAGATTCACTTGCTAAGTGGATAACGCGATGGCGATTGAAGCGAACATTAGTGGATTCGAGTCCTAGAGTTAAAATCAACTCTGAGATGGAGATACATCTAGCTGACGAGTCCCAAATAGAATGAAACGCGCATCCTGGATTCTACTGCTAGCCACTAGCCATCTTTGTTTAAAAAATATCATTTCTTGCTTTATTACAATTATAAGGTTTCTTTTAATAAAAAAAATTTTAAAAAATTGGATCAAAATTGTTAAAATGAAATCTGAGGTAACCTAGACGATTACAATTTCTCACAACTGCAGAACAAACGCACATACATACCAAATTACAAGATAACTTCTTCAACTATCATAGTTGTTATATCCGAGAGAAGATTAAATCACGAGTAACTTCTGAGACATTAATTGACTAATATTATCTATATGTTCTTATGGCATTACTATTCAATAATCAGATTATGTATATTTATATTTCTCTTATTATAAGCTTCATTTTGATCTATAATTTATTATTGTACGATATAATGTTCAGTTTATTGACTCCTGCCTCCCACATTCACAATCACTTCTTGGCTTTATTGTGTGCAAATGTTATTTCCTATTTTATGGTGCGTTGCGATCTATTTGGTTGATATATAAACCCAGTATGTCTGAAATAAACGATTCGATTCGCATAGTGAAGCTGGTATTGGTGTTCTGGACTCAAGTGGACGGGCTAGGCAGATATAGAACCAGTAAGGACGCTAGACTGCTCATACCGTAACATCATTGGTTTGGCACAGTGCTAAGATTGTATAAGTCGTATTTTGACTGGTGGAAAATCACGTGATGAAAAGCCGGACATAAAATCATAACAATAGTCATCTAACATCTTTTTCTCTAGTAATGAGTAATATCAATGAGACTACTTATTCTTCATATTCTTTACTGATAGATTTTATTTCATACAAATGACTCTAATTGTGAATTTGAATAAAGTTAAAATAATAGTCATGACATAATAATATAAATTCCTTTTATTTAATATCTTCTCTTCAGATGCTTACAGCCATATTCTTACTAAAGTGTAACATTCAATTATAGTATAATATGAAGTAGTTGACAATATTGATGAAAAGAATTGGAATTCCAGCGATTATTTATGAGAATTATATATTTGAAGGGGTTTTATGGAGATTGTAGTAATTTCAACAGTTGAGATCATGAGTTAATTAAAGCTAGACCACCATGGAAAACGTGAAAGCACTGGACGACCGTTTCGTCCCATTGTGGGGCTCCTCAGCAGTGCGCATTCACGACCCCGCCTCGCGGGATTCGAACCAGTGCTTCCAGGTTTTCCATGGTGTTCTAGCTTCAATCGACTCATGATCTCAACTGTTGAAATTATATATTTGTGAATGAATATATGTTAGGTCATTCAAAGATGGAATTTAAAAATTTAGACAAAGAGAGATAGTAATTTTGTGGAGTCCAGAAACTGATAAGATAAACTATGGAATAATGATAGGAGATGTGAAAAGTTTAGATCAGTTTAAAATCATTTAAAAATAAGTTTTAATATCTAGCTTCAATCAGTTCATAATATTACACAACCATCTTCCACTGCCTGTGATGAATACCTTTCCTAAGTGTGATATTGTTGGACTTCACTAGTCACAACTTCTTTCTAGAACTCCAGGAATGACATCTAGAAACCAGTCTTTAGTGAGTACAATTACCAACTCTTTCTAGAAACAATGATCCGATTTGAGTTCATTAATCCTTATTGCTTCAGCGAAACAAAAAGAAATGCTGGGTTTCTTTGTCTGTTTGTGATATATGTATATATAACTACCTCAAAGTTTGCAACGTTAGATGATAATTTAACAGATTTTGTTGTATTTTATTCCCTTTAAATTTAAACTCTTTTATATCTACTCAAAAAGCTCTAACATGAAAATTTAATACAATGTATCAATAATATAAATGTTATAACTTCCACATATGATCTAGGTCAGTTACTATTATAGTGTCATTCACTATCATCTAAAATCTTTCTTAACTCTTATCCCTTTTCAATCAATAATCACTCTTAAAAATATAACCAGTTTAGGTATTATGGAGATTGTTAAACTTTTTTAATTGGAATCATAAGTCAATTGAAGCTAGAACACCATGGAAAACCTGGGAGCACTGGACGGCCGTTTCGTCCTAGTATGGGACTCCTCAGCAGTGCGCATCCACGACCCCACCTCGCGGGATTAGAACCCAGGACCTATCAGTCTCGCGTCAGGCGCTTGACCAACTAGACCACTGAGCCGGCATCCAATAGTGTTAATGTCCAACCTCAACTAATCCACGAAATTGAGTGACCATCTTCTATTGTATTGAGGTAGACACCTGTTTCTACCCGACACGGATTAGCTCCATTAGTCACAGCTTCTCACCAGAACTTCGAGAATTTTCTCACGAAGCTAGTCACTAGTGAGCACATGGTAATTATCAGTTTAGGTGTTGTGAAGATTGTTAAGTTTTTTTTGGTGCGTACTGCTGAGGAGTCCCATACTAAGACGAAACGGCCGTCCGGTGCTTTCAGGTTTCCAGGGTGGTCTAGCTTCAATTGACTCATGATTTTAATTAACAATATAAGTTGTGTTATACACATCATTTGTTCTGTTTATCTTACAGTAAAGATCAATGATAACTAAACTGATTAATAAGTTGATGTTATGACGACACAAAACACATCTAATCTGATTTAATTTTTACAAGTCTAACTTATATATCAACCTATTTTAAACTGATAAAATGAAATAGTTTATGAACTTTTCTCGTTACCAACCACTTTTAATTTTGTAGAAGTAAGAATATTCTTTCAAATGTATTCATGAAATGTTAATTATTAACTCTTATGGAATATGTATTGGTGTATAAATTTGAACAAAATGTATATAAATAATCAATCTAAAGTTAAGTTACTATTAGGTAAGGGTGAAAATAAAATTGTATCATTCGTCTTGATTTGTGATCTGTCACCATGATTGACTAGTTTTCTATTTGCATTTAAATATCCAAACTGAATAATTTCTTATCTGATGAGATCACTAACCGATATAAGTTCGACAGACCCTTGAAATCTGGAAATATTGGACGGTCGTTTCATCTTTTCATAGGACTCTTCAGCAACTTGAATTGATGACCCCCCACACGCATGCAGGGATTCGAACCAAGACCTTTGATGTCGCTCGCGAACGCTTGATCTAAGTGATGGGATCCAATTGTGTCGAATTTTGTACTGATCCATATGTACATGAATCATTAATACAATGAAACCTACAGTTGTGATGTGAAGTAATATGACAAACGGATACAAATTGTTGTGCGACTTGATCTACATTTGCATGTATTTTTGTAAGGTTATTGGTCATATTGTATGTCTATCTCAACTCCTCTATATTACTGTCGTCTCCTTTCATATTAACTTGTTTCAGGGAGTTGCTGTTAGCTGAATTCCAAGTTTCACCTATTGATTTTTACCGTATTTTTCCTTGTGTATGAAAGCCTATAAGATACAAATCTGAAGAGCTTCTGTTTCGGCTTTTATTTATACGCTTTATTAACATGGTTACTTGACAGAAGCTATTTGATGAGAGACGCCAATTAAAGTCACTATTTAGTTGTTGTCACATAAGGGGGATAAAAAGTTCACCAATAAATAAATATGAAAATATTTTAAAATGAATGAAACACTGTACTCACTTTCCTTTAGGATGTGTAAATTGTACTAAATAAATATTTTTACCCGATTGCCAAGAACATGACAGTTTCACATAGCCTAATGATGCTTGTAAACTGCTTGTAGGATTAGTATTCTCATTAATTATTATTATTATTATTATTATTATTATTATTATTATTATTATTATTATTATTATTATTATTATTATTATTATACATCAATTTTGTATAATTCATACTTCTACTGTTTGTAGCACTAAACCAATGTATATTATTACTACTATTACTTTTGTAAGTAGTTTGGTCATCTACACTGCAAATACTCGTTAAGTAATCTTTAATGATGTAAAAAAAATCTGATGTTTTGTATAAAGAATATGATGACATGATAGAAATAACCATGCATGATGTGAATCTCTTGTAAATAACATTTGTAACCAACCATATTGTAAATTTAAAAAATTAAATTTATAATTGTACAATTCTTCCGGTAATTGAAGTGAATAGAATAATGATGTTTTCTTAATATTATTATTGTTGTTGTCATTATTACTATTTTGAGATTGTTGGTGTAAATTATTTAAACCATAATCTGTCATCCAAATTGATTCATGTGAATGATGTACAAAACTTGGAAAATAACAATTTTGTCCAGCTGTCCAAACTATTCGATTATCCAAGGCGAATTGATAAAGTACTGTAATAGAGAACATAAAAAGACGAGTATTATTATTATTATTATTATTATTATTATTATTATTGCTACCATGAATTCTAAAGACTAAATGACACTTGCTTATAAACCACTGGAACTAGGAATGTATTGAATAAATGTCTTAAAAGAGTGAACAAGCAAACCTATGACTTTCGAAATTGTCTAATTCATCCGGACACACGTCACTGTGAACTCTTCATTGAAAAGTAATGACTTTCTGAGCTGCTAATGTATTTGTTAACCTGTTTAAAAGGAAACTGTTGGAGAGAAATTTCAGTCAACATACTTTAGATATTCACGTATTCATGTTTCTGCTTTTAAAAAGTTAAGAAGATTGCCATGACTTTGAACGAAATCTAAACATATATTCATATTGATTGAGATCATGAAGAGATTGACGTTAGACTATCATTGAAAGCCTGGAAACACTGGACGACCGTTTCGTCGTATTGTTGAACTCATCAGCAGTGAGCATTCACGATCCCGTTTCGCGATATTCGAACCCAGGGCAAATCATTCACGCGTGCGAATGCTTGACATCTAGACCACTGAGTCGGCATCCAACGGTGTTAATGTTTAACCTCAACTAATCCCGACACGGATTAGCTCCACTGGTCACAGCTTCTCACTAGAACTCCGAGAATTTTCTCACGAAGCTAGTCACTAGTGAGCACATGGTTATTATCAGTATAGGGTTCTGGAGATTATTATGTTGTTGACTGAGATCATGAACAGATTGATGTTAGACCCCCCATTGAAAACCTAGAGGCACTGGACAACCGTTTCGTCTTAGTATGTGACTATCATCATGTACTCAGTTTAAATATCATTAAGTTAATAGTACTAAGGTTATAGATTGAAATATAATGTCATTTTTTGATATATATATACTATTGTCCTTTAATTATGTATAAGTACATTATAGAGCGAAATACTCAAGTGACTGCATAAATTTTAAGTTTCTACTCCATCGCCTTATTAAATACTGCCTCATATAACTAACAATTATTGCCATTTCATTGAAGTTGGTAGTATAAACTGGTATATAGTAACTCAATAGGTCCAATGATAAATGTTTTCGGTAAAACACAAAGGTCCTGCTTTAGATCCTTGAAATAGTTGTAAGTGTACACTTCTAAGAATCCCAAGTTAGAATGAAATAATTTTTCAACATTTCCTGGTTTTTACTAGTTGTGTAGCTTATACCATTGCGCGTTGTAAACTACCGTCAAAATAATGTACTAACTAATAGTTTATGATTACTAGTTAATTTTTCAATTACATGAATATTCTTTTTCCAGTTATACGAACTATTTGTTTAGCGTTCATCATGGTGTTATTTCAGTAGACCATTCGAAGAAAGTATTCAACGATATTCTTTAACTTCAAATGATTGAATTCGATAATTTAATAATTATTAGTTGCATCTGTGTTTAATTTGCCATACAAAACCAGAAAGCATTAGATAGCTCTTTCGTCGTAATAGGGACATGCTCAATAGTGGGAATGCACAACTTCATCACAGATCCAATTGACAACCTTCAGATATTAGGGTAAACACAACCAATTTGTGATGTAGCGCAGCAGCCATCCAATGCCGTTGGCTCTTCAAGCCAAATTCAGCAAAATTTACACTGTTCATACATATATCTTCGTTGTTCGGATCTTCCATTGATGTTTACAATTAGAAGTGGTCAGTATTTTGCTGGCATCTGTGCATCCTATGCGGATTGTCTCAATATCGCAATTAAGTCACAAGCATTTTATGTATATATGGATGATAACTAGCACTAGTATCCAGAACGCGCGTTTCGTTCGATTTGGGACTTGTTAACTGGATGTACCTGTATCTTATGTTTACTCCAGGACTGAATTAACGAAAAATGTGACATAAAAGCATCGATAAACAGATAGATCTAAAAATCATAGTACACTCGACTGAACTGTCACGTTTTCAACCAGTGTAATAAACTATAACGGTTAATTTGTTCAATGAAATAATAATGCAGTTAATCCTTGAAAATCAGAAATACTGGTTCTTTCTTTCTCTTCTTCGCCTTTCCCCGAAATAGTTTTGATGTTTTATTCAACAACAACAAAATATCATGTATCATAAACTTGTTCTGATTGAAAGTGTTAAAGTCATTTGTATAATCAAGCTTCAGATGTATCATTTTATTATTCTGGAGAGATTACTTGCATGAAATATTAACAAACTTCAAAATATTCATTTTCATCATGCAGGTAGATATTTATCATTGATTATCAGTTAAATTATTGACTTGCTTCAATAATTAAACAAGTTACACACTACTTGTTACTCTTTTTAGCATCGACCTGAGAACGCCAAAATAGGATAAACCATCAGTATGAGGGGTGTAGAGATTAGACAAATTTCGTTTCATTATACAAATCCTCAGTAGTGAATATTCACAACCCACCTAATCAGGAAACAGAGCTGAGGAGATTCAACCTAGCACTCAAACTTCTAATCTATAGAACATTGAGAGCCAGAATTCAATGGTTTAAAACTCTGATTTCAATTACTCCATTGTTTCATTGATAACTTCCTCATAATCTATGCGGTTTAACTCCACTAGCCACGACTTTTCATCACCAGAACTCAGAAATTCCGTCTTCAAGCTAGTCACTAGTAAACACATGATATATGGCATTATAGGGTTACGGAGATTGTTGAATTTCATTAATATTAAACATTTGAGCACTAGGTTAAAGGAACTAGATTTGAAACCCAGTTATGGGGTAGTGAATGCGCACTGTAAAAGAATCCTATACTAAAACAGAATGTTCGTCTAGTATTTCCTGGTTTTCAGTAGTTGCTAATTTTGATCCATTTGTGATTTTTAATGAAAAGAAAAAGAAATTTATGTGTGTACTAATAATTCTGGCTCTTCTGTTAAACGGGATTGAGCTGTACTATTAGGTTGTCATGTGAAGTCTGGATGGTGTCCGGTCCTCCTGAATACCAATATTAAATTACTCTAACTCACAAGGGTATATTATACAACTAACTATAACTAATAACTCTGTTATGTCATTAATTGAATAATAAAATTTAAATTATTATTATCATTTATTTGTTTATTTTAGTTGAAACTTACGTTGAAATGTCAATTGTACAATGAATACCTATGACTTAATGAAATAATCGCATTCATTAAGATATGTCTTAGTAAAAAATGAAGTACAATGAATAGAATGACCGATGAAATTGTTTATTAAATAAATAACCTTAGTGGTCTAAAGGTTAAGCGCTCACGCATGAAACCGTTAGGTCCTGGGTTCGAATCTCGCGATGCGGGATCATGGATGCGTACTAATGAGGAGTCCCATACTAGGATGAAACGGTTGTCAAGTGCTTCCAAGTTTTCCATAGTACTCTAACTTTGACTGACTCATGATCTCAACTATAATATCCACAAAAAACACCCCTTCTGATATAAATCATAAAATGTAGTGTGTTTTTGTTTTATCAAAACACGATGGATTATTTTAATCAGATAAACTTTGTGATAACAAGATTTCAGAGAGAAACGTGTTTATTCCCCGGAATCGACGATTAACTAAAAGTTTGTTTGTTTTGTTTTGTCTATGAAGATGATTAGTTTTCATTTTATTATGAAAATGGTACATAAATAAAGGTCACAATCGAAATCAGTAGTATGTGCAAAGAAAACAGAAAACAGTGAAATATATATAGTAGAAACTTCATCTGTAAAAATAATAGATTAATTAAGATGTTGTAATGAATCAGTTGATTTCTAGGTTATTTGCGTTATTGCCTTATCTCAGTTGGGATATCACTAAAAACTAGGAAGAATATGGAAGTTATTTCGCAAGCTCCTAAAATTCTAATGAGAAGCAGTAATCAATGAAGTATAGACATATCTAATAACCCTAGATGATAGTCAGGCTACATTGCAAACCAATGACAGTTGTAAATGTATGCCAATGGAAGCTGATCGATTGGCTCTAATGTTCATAAGATTGACATGTGAGAAAGAAAATAAAGGTAGAATAGCCTTTCTAGATGTTCTACATACAAGAAGAAAAAACGGGTCATTAAGAAGAAACATAAACAAGAAAACTAATTGGACGGATCAATATACAAACTTTCTTAGTTTTGTTCATCTACAAAACAAAAGGAAGCTGATTAAGACACTTTACCATAGAATCAAGACCACATACTCTCTAGTTGTAGTCGAAGATGAAATAAAGGAATTGTACGCGACCCTGAAAGAAAACGGATATCGGGAGAATTTATAAATAAAAAGGTAGTCAATAAAGGAGAGCATAGAGAATACCTAACCGGGAATAAAAAGGATCTGTATATGCGCTTACAATTCAGAGGTGATGCACCTAGTAAAATGCTAAGATTGAAGTTACGCAGATTATTTCAAAGAACTTCTAATGCAGGTAAACTACTGGAGGTCCAATGATCGCTCCGAGTTTGAAAGATAAATTGCCTAGATTAACCACTTCATTCTGTCTCTTCCAATTCAACTGCTCCTGTGGAGCAAGTTATATTGGCAGATGTTCTAGAAATTTGTATATTCGGACTCGTGAGCAACTCCCAGTGTGCTTAAGCAAAGGTGTAGTCAAAATGGTTAACAGTTTCATTTTACCCCATTTAATTCAGACGGGAACCGATTAAATAAGCTATGATTAATTGAATAAAAAGAGGGAGGAGTAGAACGCTAGTAAAAAGGAATCATTTTAGTAATGACTATTAAAATAGTTTACAACAGACGTCAACATACATATTTGGAGCATATATAGATTGTGACTGACAGTGGAATTCATTTGACATGTTTCGCCCTGATTATTCAACACTAAACTCCACAGTTGGACATAATTTTACTCATGTAAACAAATTGTGACACAATAACTGTATCGAGGAATTCCATACAAGATGTATTAATTCCAATAAAGACTAATCAACATATCATTCTTAAAATCAG